GTACGCATCCACACTCTCTTGTGCATACCATCCCCACTCGCGACTCCTCGTATAGAGCCGCGCGCCGTCGGGAAACGAACGAACACAGTCTTCGGTTTTCCGTACGATCCCCGTCCTATGTCTCGTTTGTCCGTCTCGCTCTCTCGTCTTCCTCCCCCCCCTCCCTCTCTCGCCCTCCTCTCTCTCTCTATGACTCGGTGGCCCTGACGTTTCGCCGGGGCCGCTCCCCTCGTCCGTGTTGACTCACTTCCTCCCTCCCTCCCCCCTTCCCCTTTCTCTCCCCCACCGCCCGACTCGGACAGCGTTCGAGGTACCCCACCCGCCCGCCACACGCAGCGTTGAATTCGTCGTTCCTACTGACTGTACCACGATGATGCACTGCCCAAGATCAGACCAGACCAGACCAGATCAGACCGGGTCAGACCGGATCAGATTGTCACTGCGTTACACGATGACGATGCAGCAAGGCCATCGACATCGCCGCACGGTGAAGAGCAAGGGAAAAGACGAAGACGAAGATGAAGACGAACGAGATGGGATTGGAGCAGAGCGGGGTACAAGCAGGGTAAGTTAGGGCCAACGAGCGACAGTCGAGCAGGTGCGAGTCGCTATCGAGAACGGACGGACGGACGGACGGTGCAGACGGAAGCAGGGACAGAGAGGGGGGATTCGAGCAGCGCAACCGGCGGCCACCGATGTGGTTCCTCACCAGGAGGATCGTGGCCGCGCACTGGTGGGCTGGCCTTAGAAAGGCGACGCCTACTCATGTATGTAGGTGCCGTGCCGTGCTGTGCTAATCGATAGACGGGCAATCGGCGGGCTGGGCACAGGAGGCCTGCTGCAGGATCGATCAGATCTCCTGCAAAGGCCCCCACAGGCCCAGGGAGCGGCGGGAGCGGCGGGAGCGGCGGGAGCGATTCGAGTCCGGGCCGCAGCGGGGCGGCCCGAGCGCGGGTTGAAGGGCAGATGAATGGGGGAAGGGGGGCGGGGCAATTGAGCGAGCTTTCTAGCACTTGTCCGCCACCACCACCGCCTCCTCCTCTTCCTCTTCCTCGGCATCGTCCTCGTAGTCGCACTCCTCGATGGGCTCGACGGAGCAGCTCTTGATGAGGTCGGCGGCAATCTCGGCGATGGCGTACGTGGCGCTCATCAGGTGCGAGCTCAGGCTGAGCGGGATGATGCTGGCGTCGACGACGCGCACATTCTCGGTGCCGTACACCTTGAGCGTCGAGTCGACGACGCCGCCGTCGTGCTCATCGAGCATCGAGCACGTCGACGACGGGTGGTACTCGGTGCCCACGACGCTGGCGACCCATCGGTCCCACTCCTCGTCGCTCTCGACGCCGGGGCCGGGCGCCGTCTCGGCAGAGACGAGGTCCTTCATCGGGGCCGTGGATCCAATCTTGCGCGCCACCTGGAAGCCCGAGCGCAGCAGCTCGACGTCGGAGCGGTGCTGGAGGTAGTTTGGGTTGATGAGCGGCTTGTCAAAGGCGTCGGCCGAGGCAATCTGGACGGTGCCGCGCGAAAAGGGAGCCTGCAGCGCCGTCTCGATCTGGACGCTGCCCATCGAGATGCCCAGCAGCATCTCCATGGCGCCCTTGGCGGAACCCGTAAAGCCCGACTTGGACTCGCGGACCAGCAGATCGTCGAGCAGCAGGTCGTACTGCTTCCTCCAGCCGCGCTTGACCGCCTCGGGCGTCGTCTCGGCCGAGGCGATGTAGTCGTCGCTGAACCGGCGCGCGCGCTCGATGAACTTGGCCGCCTCCTTGGTGCCGTACATCTTCTCGAGCGTCAGGTAGGCGATCGACGAGTCGACAAACGAGGCCTGCTTCGAAGTCTCGCCGGCGGCAGCAGCGGGGAGCTTCATGCCCTCGGCGGGCGTGTAGACGACCGACGAGGCGAGGTGGTCCTGCAGGTTCTCGCCGACGCCGGGGAGGTCCTTGATCAGGGTGATGTTGTGCTGCTCGAGGAGGTAGGGGTTGCCGACGCCCGACAGCTGCAGGATCTGCGGCGTTCCGATGGCACCGGCCGACAGGATCACCTCGCGGCGCGCCGTCACGGTGGCCCGCGGCGCGTCGGGCGACGAGGCGAACTCGAGGCCGAGAGCGCGGCGGCCCACATCGGCGTCGACCTCGTAGTCATCGCTCCACACGATGCGGGTGACGGTCTGGTTGGGGATGACGACGATGTTCTTGCGGCGATCGGCGATGGGGTCGAGGTAGGCGTTGCGGCTGAAGCTGCGCTGCCAGGTAGCCGAGTCGATGGTCGAGGCGGCGATAAAGGCGCCCTGGTTCTCACCGCCGTAGGGCGACTGCGCCGCCGGAATGCCGAGGGCGCCGAGCGTGGGCACCCAGTCGGCGACGGGCTGGTACGAGACGCCCGGGTACGAGACGCAGACGGGACCGCTGGCGCCCATGAAGTCGGACTCGTCCTCGATGTAGGCGTCGAGCGGGCCGACCGTGTTCCTCGAGAAGCGCTGCGACTTCTGGCTGGCGTCGCGGATGCTATGCCAGCCCCAGCTGCCGAGGTCGCCCGAGAGGCGACCCCACACCTGGTGCTCGCGCTTGCTGGCGGAGACGTAGTAGAGGCCGTTGATGGCGCTCGAGCCGCCGAGGACCTTGCCGCGGGGCCACGCGGCCTCACGGCCACTGGTGCCGTTGGCGTCGACGAGCTTGTCCTGGGGAACGGTCGAGTACTGCCAGTCGAGCTCGGTGCCGACGGAGCTCTTGAAGTAGGCGTTGCTGGGCGTCAGGAGCTGCTCGTCGTGGTCGTAGCCGCTGGCGCCGGCCTCGATGACGGCCACGGTGACGTCCGGATCCTCGCTGAGCCGGCCGGCCAGCGCAAGGCCAGCGGTACCGCCGCCGGCGATGACGTAGTCAAACACCTGGTCGCCCACCTGATCCCAGGACGTGGCGATGGCGGCGCCCGGGGCGCTCCGACGGACGTTGTGGCTGCCAAAGTGTCGTGGCCGGTAGCCGCGTCGATGGCCGCCGCCGTTGGAGGCGCGGGTCTCGAGCGACGCGTTGGCCAGCAGCGGCAGCGCGGCCACGGCGAGTGCAAAGAAGGCCTTCATCGCGTAGGTTGTGGGAAGTGATGCAAGGAGCGTGTGGTAAACGAGGGATGCACTGGCGGACAGTCACGGACAGACAGGGACGGGGAACGCGGGGCTGGATAGGGGGACAGGATCTAGCGAGTTGGACCGGCCAGGTAGCGAGAGAGGAACGGTGCCAGGCGAGAAGATCTCTGTGCTGCGCTTGGATGGATGCAAAGGAGAGTGGATCGCGGTTGATTTGGCGTTGGAGAGGAGCAAAGGGGGCAGGGACGATGGCGAAGGGGAGGGGGAGGGGGAGCGGGGATGGTGGTGGCGACGAGCGCGATGGGATGGGGTTGGGAGATGGGGAAGGAGGGGAGAGGCCGGGGCGGGGAGGGGACACGAAGCGGAATGACGGATGATGGTGAAGAGGGAGAGGGGCTAGCTACTAGATAGATGAAAGAAGAGCTGGCGAGGATCAAGCTCAGCAACCTCATATTGCAACGCCGCCGCCCCGCTCCGCCTAGTCACGGGTCGGACGGCGTCGGGCCAGAGCAGCGAGATGGCAGGCCTGCGGCGAGGCGTAGTACTTACTGTACTGTAGCGGGCCAGGCCGGCGCAGTCGAGCACGGCGGTGCTCGACGCGCTTGCCCTCGCTCATGCCTTCTTGGCAGGCGTGGCCAAGCCCGGAGCCAAGAGCGAGCAAGCGTTCCTTGCACTGTGGCTTTCAGCTTCTAGCGTGCCCGCGATGCCATCCTCAATTAGGGGCCGAGGATGCTGGCAGGCACAAGCGCTGGCCAGCTCGTGCAATCCGTGCACCGGATTCAGGGAGCAGAGGAGAGGAGAGGAGAGGAGAGGAGAGCGTCACGGGCGCCTTCGGAAGGATGCACGCGCCTGCAGGATGGATACTGTAGGACAGCGTGGTCGACGAGCTAGGAACGGGCCACGGCTCGTCGAGGAACAAGCAGGCCCGCGAGGTATGAAGAGCGCAGCGCAGCGTGGACGAAGCAGAGCCGGGTAGGGAAGGCGCAGGAGCGAACGTATGGCGTCGAGGTCGATGCCGAAGCAGAGGCAGAGAGGCATTGGCAGGCGAGGGCGCAACGACCAGAGGCAATGGCAGGACGCGCGCCGACCTTTTGGGGGCGCCAAGCCATCGAGGCTCGGGGCAGACGCGTACTGTAGGCGGCCGCCTGGCTCCGAATGGCGATTTCGGATGCGTTGCCCTGAGAGACGGGCACGCACCCGAATGCCTCTGCACAGGGGGGCATGTCCACGATGGAAGGCAACGAGGAAAGCATGGTGCGTACATATGTGCTGCCAGGCCATGCAACGCAGCGCAGCGACTCGTCCGAGCACAACCCTCGCCCAGCTGCTATGGACCGGTGCTGGGACGAGAGCGCGACCTTGGGGCGCGTTCCTGGAGGCTTGCCTGCCTGCCTGCCTGCCTGCCTTTCTCGGCGAGCGAAGAGATGCCTCTGTGCGTCGTCTAGCGCATCCGCGTGCCGAGTTGATGGGCAATTTTCTTGGCGCCCAGCTGCACATGTATGCATCCAATACAGTATTCCGCGGGACAGGCAGCACCAAACGTACCAACCATCCATCGCATGCCGCCCTCGCTACATACGCCCCGGGCCAGCCTGCTGGCGCAACCTCTCGACGGTCCCCGACAGAGGCTAGGGAGATCGAGACGGCACCATCCAGCCGGTCTGCCTGTCCGCCATACCCTCAGGCGGCCAACGCCAGGTTGCATCTCGAACAACCGAGAGATCCGCGTTGCGCATCTGCCACCGTCGGCTCCCATCACCGCACAGGATCGTCGTGATGCGTGCCAACAGATCCGCGCGCAACTGCCACCCGCGGCAACCTGGCCTGGCCTGCTGCGCTGGTGCAACGCGGCACGCACATACAGCTGCGAGAGGCCCGTACGTGACTCTCTACGAGCACAACCCGCCACACGCTCCTTCGCACTCGACATGCCAAGCTCAGATGCAGCTACTCGCCGATCCACACATACGATGCCTCATCCCCTCTTGCCGGCTTGGCTCGGCGAGGCACCGTATGTGCGGCCTTCTTGCCTGCCGGACCTTACTTGTCCTCGACCGAAGATAACGCTGAGGGCATGAGCATCCGCCTGCTGTCAGACCGAGGGTCGGATGTGCCGTCTCCCCTTGGCATCGGGCAGCAACCTCGACGTCCAGCATCGGGTAGGGCCCGCTGCTGACCCCTTCGGATCCGGGCTGCGTATCCATGGCTGTGCTGGCCAGCATTGGCGTCGCCACGGCTAGCCACGGCTCAGCCGCCTTTCCCTCCCTGCCTGCCTTCCTCCTTCCACTCCACACTCCAGCCCACCACGGCAACGAGCGAGTCCTGGCATGCTGATCAGAGGCCGAGCCGGAGGTCGCACAAGGTAAGGCGCGCCCGCTTTGGTGGGGCCACCCTTCGCCGACCCGCAGCCCCACTTCCTTTCATTTGCCAGCGCCCCGGGCACAACCAGCCAGCACACGTACGGGCCCCTTCAGGTAGGCCTCCTCGACATACGGTCCAACCAGCACGTGCGTAGAGCTCGCGCCTGGCCAGGCAGAGCGGCGAGTGGCGGGTAAACACCTTCCAGCGGCGAGCCCAGCTCTCCGTACCCGTCCCTCTTGGTCTCGCTCTACGATGGCTGCCTTCGCCGAACATACCTCTTACGCTGCAAGCCCCCACATACAGCAGCTTCCGCAGCCATGATCACTTCCGACAAGTACGATGAGGTCAGCGTCCATCCACTGCCAACACTCGTCGTCAGCGGCAGTAGCGGCACGCACGCCTTGTCACCAGCGCCACACGGACACGAACACGACACGGCCTCTCTCCTCTCGTCTGATCCGGTCTCAGACGTTGCCTCGCCCTCCTCGTCAAGCCCATATACCTGGCCGTCCATGAGAGGCCAGGCCTCTCCACTCGTATCGCTCTCAGGTGGTCTCGACCCCTTTGACCGAGCCACGCAACCCACCAGCGCCCAATTCTGGGAGCCAAGCAGCGCGGCCAAAGTCGAGGTCGACGCTCTTTCCATCCCTCGATCGACGTACGGCTCGGCCCTCTCGTCCATCCTCCGAGAGATGCAGCTCGATGAGGACACCGATATCGCTACCAGCACATCTGCGTTGCCGGGTACGTCACGAGAGCACGTTGCCAAAACCCGTTTCCTCGGGCTGTATATCGTCAGAGGAGCTGTCGACGAACCAGACTGCTGACTCGAGACCTGCGCTCCCATGCGGCCTACGCCAGACTTTCCTCATACCCCTTCGCCTAGGGCCAAGGTGGTCAAGCCGAAAGTCACTCCTTCGCCCACGAACAAGAAGATGCGAAGCTCGCTTCAGTCACGGGCAAGCAGCATCGCTCTCGGCAGCAAAAGCCCTCTGCGAAGTCCAGCCGACGTTGGCAGATCCGTCGTCGCCCTCGCCGCGGACCCCGCCACGCCCGTGAGCATCAAGCACATCCGAAGGCGGGCCCTGTCGCACTGGACGGGTCGCCGGCAGCCGCCTTCACCGGGCAGAGGGAAGACGAGCCACCACAAGAAGGCGCGCAGCAAGGTCGAGCGGTACGATCCATCCTGTCCCCCGCCTTGCCCTCCTCCTAGAGAGGCGGTACCACCCACGCCGGCCAGCATTGTCGATCTACTGCGGGAGAGCAGCACGACTTCGCAGGAGGGGCCGAGCCCGATCGGGCCCACCACGTACTCTGCCCAGCGCGTGGCGCTCCGCCTTCAGTCCCGCAAGCACAAGGACAAGGCGTTCGGTGTCGAACGGCTCTTCAGCGACGTCTTGCCGGAGCAGGAAAAGGATGGAGATGCCAAACGGCCACTCACGGGAAAGCGAGTGCCGAAGCAGAGCTTGGGCACCCGACAGCGCCTGCTCAGTCTCTTCAAGGGCTCGGCAGGCCGGGCCGGGCCGGAGACAGCCGCGCCACCGCTCCCGCCGCAGCTCCTCGCGTCCATCGTGGTCGCGGCGGATCAGCCACGTGCTCCTGCCGATAGCGTAGACCCGCAGGCAGGGCCATCGAGCATCCCGTTGCAGCTTGGCCAGGCGCCACCACGCATCCCCTCGCTCCTGCTATCGTCCGAAGAGCTCGGCGAGGGCGTGCCCATCTTTGCGCCCTCGTACGCCGGGCTAGCTCCCGGCACGGCAGCTGCCACGTCTTCCATCGCCTTTCCGACGTCTTCCAGCTCTCAGTTGCACGGACACCCGCCAAAGCAAGCCTCGCCGCGCAAGCGTCGATCCTCGCTCTCTCCTGGTTTGCTCGGTGGATCGATGTCGCCCTCTTCCCTGCTCGACAAGGAGATGGAACGCAAGAGGCGCAGACACGAGAGGCGAATGGCTCTAGCCGCCCTCGAGGGCCTCTCATTGAACGACGGTGCGACGGCCAGGACGGGGTTCGATGCTGCACCGCGCCGGTCGGGGCGCGAGGATGACGATGAGGACGACTACGGAGTGCCGACTGTTGATGAGGTGCAGCATCGGCCTCTCAAGAGGTAGTGCCGCGTATGGGCCCGTGCCTATCGACCCCGAACGGTACAGCGGGCGGTCCTTGTGAATGCGAAGTCATGGGCGACAGCGGCGATCTTACCGCGAACCCGCGGCTACTTGGGCGCCGCAGCACTGCCGACCATGTCGGGGTTCGCATCGGCATCCGCTTCGACCTGCGAAGCCACCATTTCCAACCCCTTGACACCGCCCGCGCCGACCGCGCCTTCTGCTCCGCCGCTCGGGACGCCAGCGCCGCCGGCGGTAGCGACGACGAGTCCGAAGCGATCGACGACAATCTGGACAATGTCGAGCCACTCGTACATGGCGCCGGCACCGACGTCGCCGCAGGCGAGCCGCTTCTCGATCGGACCGACCACCTCGTACCCGAGCACCTCCTTGACAAAGCCAAGGTGGCGCGACGTGAGCGGGTGCAGGTACATGAGCGTGTTCATCGCCGGGAAGACGATCGTGGGCGTCGTCGAGGAGAGGGCGCGGAGGAACGAGGTCTGCACAGGGAAGAAGGGGGGGTCGAAAGGGAGAGGTACAGCAGTCGGGAGTCAGTCCTGACTCGTCTCGTGCCGTGCCATGCCGTGGCGTGTGGCCATCTCAAGTCAAACTTACCAGAAGCGAATCGCAGATCCCACCGTTGAGCTTGGCCAGCGTATTGGCGCTGCAGGGCGCGACGAGGACAATGTCGGCCCATCGCCGCAGCTCAATGTGCAGCACGGGATCCCCGAGCTTCTTCCAGTCCCTCCACTCGTCTTCGTCGGTCCAGAGGTGCACGCGCGGCGTATAGAGATCCGCATCCGCATCCGCCGGCACTGCCGCACCACCACCCGCGCCACCTCCGCCGCCGTGGTTCCTGCTCCGCACGGCAGCGAGGTTCTCGGCTGCCAGGTCTCGGACCGTGTACGTCCTGTGCGCGACCTGCCTCGACGCGCCGGCCTCGCTGCCTCCGCCGAAATTGGTGTTGCGGCTGCCGCTGCCATCCGCAGCGTCGTTGATGCGCTGCAGCTCGTTGCGGTCAAAAAAGTGGAGCGACGAGGCCGTCGGCACCACCTGGACGCGGACGTTGGCATACTGCATGAGCTCCTCGACAATCGAGGGCACTTTGACGCTCGCCACGCTGCCAGTGCAGGCCAGGACGACGTGGACGGGTCGTTCGGCCGTCGGCGGCCGCGAGAGGCGCGCATAGGGCGACTGCAGCGAGGCTGGAATCTTTTCCTCGACGGCCACTTCTGCCTTCTCGTTGCGCGACGACGAGGACCTACCGAGCGAGGCGAGGTAGGAGCCGGTACGGCGATGAGCGGGGCGGCTCGCCGATGACGGCGTCGGAGGTGCCTGCTTGAGAGGCGGCGGTGGACCCGGCAGCTCGCGCGAAATGCTTCCCGGCGAGGCGAGCAGGGCTCCGCCAAACGTCTGGTTCGTCGGCGTGCCGCTGCCCGTGCCGAAGCGACCCAGCATGGGCAGCGAGGCGAGTCGGTCTCCGATCGAAGGCTTCTCCCGCGCACCGTCGAAGCTCGACGACAGCAGAGCCGCCTCGGTCCCGGCACTCGGACCCGTGCCTCGTCTTGGCCTGCCCGATCCCGCCGATCGGATGCTCCTTGCGTCGCTGTCGTCCTGCCGTTCATCGGCGGCGCCGGTCCCGACGGCATTGACGCCTCGCGAGTCGCCTTCGTCGCCTGCAGCCGGTGCCGGATCAAATGAGCTGCCGCTCGGCTGCTGGGAACGGTTGCCCGACAGCGCGCCCCTGATCTCGTCGAGCGTCTTGGGTCCATCGGCGCGGCTCCGCTCCCAGGTCTCGTTGGTGACGGCCATGCCGGCGCCCATGACCCGACCGAACGCAGAGATGCTCGATCCCATCACCCCAGTGATGACCTTGTTTGAAATGCCGGCGAGGTCGCCGATCTCCTGCGTCAGGCGGCCGCGCAGCCGGTGCGGGATCGAGAGCGCCACAGCTTGGGGTGCCAGCTGGCCGGCAGCTGCAGCTGCAGCAGGAGTTGGAGCGGCGCGGTCGCCGCCGCCGCCCATTGCAGATCCTCTAGTGTAGTCGGCGGCAGTGGCTAGGGCGCCTTTCGGCGCGGTCTTGTCGGCAGGAACCGATCGATCGGTTCGGCCGGAGGATGGATCGTCGTTCCGCTGGATGGGCTCGAAAGCGCTGACTCGGGATGCGTCGAGTCCGAGGTCCTTGACGTCGACGTTCTCCAAGAAGGCCACGGCGGCCTGGACGTTGACGAGGCAGTAGGCCGTCTCGCCGCGCACCAGATTCTCTGCACGGAAGCGCTGGATAAAGAAGAGGTTGCTGGCCAGCTTGGGCGGGTTGGCCGAGACGATGGAAAAGATGAGGATCGGCAGGATCAGATCGGCGCTCGACGTCTTGCCAGACGCCTTTTGTAGAGCAACATCGTCCTCGCCGCCGTTGTCCGCGTTCCTTGTGGTCTCGGTGGCAGATGTTGTCGCCTTGCCGGCTAGATCGGCCGCTTGCTCCTCCTCGTCCTTTAGTCGCAGGCCGGAAACGCTCGAGAGGCCCTCTACGACGATGCGATGCGCCGAGACGAGCACCTCGAGCTTTGCCTGGGGCGATCGGCAGAGCGGCGACTGCAGCTTCTGCAGCTCCTCGCCACACGCCGCGACGATCGCATCGAGCTGTTTGCCAGCGGCGCTCTGCTGGTCCATACCATCGCCCTCGCCCGCTCTCTGCCCGCCCTCCGGTAGCTGCAGGCCGAGATGGGTCAATGAGAGCCCCAGGACGTTGAGCGCAGCAATGCGAGAGGCCAGCGCGTCATCGTGGTAGTCGTCCCTGGACGTAGGCGGGCAGAAGATGCGGTCGTACACCTCCTGGGTCACTGCCGTCTCGACGGCTTCGAGCAGGCCATCGACGCGATCCATCAATGCCTGCTGCTCCTCCAACGAGGCCGAGGCCGAGGCCGCTGCGGCGACACTGCTCGAGCCGCCCTGCGATGCCGATCTCGCCTTGTCGACCTTTTCCTGCTCGGCGCCCTCGAGCTGGCCGCGGACGCTGGCGTAGAAGTCCTGGAAGTTCTCCGACATCTCGTCTGGTCCGGCCAGGTAAGGCGCGCTCGCCAGCGTCGATGGCGAGATACCAGTGGGCGATCGGAGCGACGAGCTCGCTCCCGAGGCGGCCAATGCAGACCAAGCGGACGTCTGTTCACCCTCTGCCCCCGGCAGGTGAGCGCCCGAGGTCTGGACGACAGGTGGCACGAACATGGCCGAGAAGCTCGATACCACCTCGATGATGCCCTCATCCAGGCCAGCGCGTCGCAGCCGCTCGCTAATCCGACCCGCCATGACCTTGCCGACAGCGCGGAGCACCGACGAGCGTCGGATGACTCGGTCGACGACCCACACAGAGATGGTCCGCTTTGGCCTAGTCGCAGCGACGGATCCACCGTCCGATGCAGACGAGCTCCTTGGAGCGCTATCTGGCATCGCTGTTTCGGTGTGCATCTCGTCAGGCTTGGCTTGCTGGCTTTCCGAGGCTGCGCCGAGGACGCCTTCAGAATGCGATCGGCCACCCGACGGAGGCCTCGCGGGCGACGATGCTCCATCGCCGGAGTCGGCTGGTACCGGCGCAGAGAGCTGGGCAGCATCGAGCAGCTCGGAGCCTGTGGCTTCTTCCTGGCCTCGCTTCTTTTCGCGGCCACTGCCCCCAAACAGGCTGGCGAACGACGCCGAGGCTCGAGAACCTGCGGCGTTGAGGCGCGAGCTCGATTGGGTCCGCTTTCTCGCGTGCGAGCGGCGCGATTGCAGCGGGGGCGGCAGTGGAAAATCGGCTCGGTAGGCGCTGAGCTCAAATGTTGGAAAGGCGAGTGTTGCCAAGGCGTCTAAGGTGGCATCGATCGAGACGGGGAGAGGCGCCAGGCTGTCGAGCATTTCGTGTCTTCTTTGGCTGTCCTGGAGGTCCTGCACAACAGCACCAGCCCTAGGAACGAAGCTCTTCAGAACTGCTCGTGCGGGCCGTCTCTCGCCGATGCCACTGGCCAGGGCGGCATCCGGGTCCTGACCTTGACCCAGTTCTGGCGTTGCCGCAGGCTGGAGCTGGCCCCGCAAGCCGGAAAGTGTGACGAAGGAAGGAGCTGCATCTTCTTCGGGACCAGCTGATGCCAGTGAGGATGGTGATGGAGAAGGCGAGGATGAGGCCTGGTCGAAGATGAGGTGGTCATGGGCAAACGAGAGGCTGAGGCGGGACCCGGACGAAAAGACCGAGGGCGGTTCCTTTGGCAGCAGCATGGTCGCCTCGCCGCTGGCCACGAGCGATGCAATGGTGGCCCACTCGCCCTCGCTGGCGGCCTGAAGCGCCTCGATGATCATCCAGCCGGCGCTGGCCTCGCCAAGACCGAGCTGCCGCGCGGCCTCCTTCATCTCGGCCAGCTGCATCTTTGCGAGCGACAGCTCGGCGGCCGAGGCGGCTGACATGGACGCAGCGGATCCCGCAGAGGGTTGCGGTCTCGCAGTCGAAACCTTTGACTCGGACTGCGTTGGCGCCTGCCTGCCGATGAAGGAAGGGAACGACGGCGAGGTGCTCGAGCCGAGGGAGGGGGCGGCGCGCGATGGCTGGATATGAGAAAGGGTAGTGGACGAGGCTGCTGGTGATGCAACCTGCGCCTGATTGAACTGAGAGCTGTACGACTGAAAGACCGGATGGTTGGTGCGGAGGATGGACTGGCGCTGTCGCGGGGCGTAGCTGAGGCTGTGGTAGGTCTTGCTCGACGGCAGATGCTGCGATGGGGCGCCGGGCTGTTCGTTCGGTTTGGAAGAGGAAGCGGCGTCGGTAATGGCTGGAGCATCGCCGCGCCTGTCGATGCTGAAGCCGATGGTGGCCCTGCTCCAGTCGCGATTGGTGCTCGGGATAGGGTCAGCATGGGGTGCTGACGATGCAGGTGATGTGCTGCGTGGCGGATAGAAGGATGCGCCGTCGTGGGAGGTGGCCCTGTCACGTTGGGATGCGTCCCTGTGTGCGAGGCCCGGGGACGTGGGCACTGCCAGGTTGTTTGGGGAGGCTGCTCGAAGGAGATTGCCGCCCTCTTGCTGTGGGTCGATGTCGAGCGGGTGAGCGGCGGGGGAGGATAAGGGAACGGGCGAAGAGCGGTGGTCGGGCTGCTCGTCGCCGGGAAGCGATGACGATGGTATTGTTGGAGACATGGTGAGCGCGGCGCGCGGCGGTGGTGGTGGTGGTGGCAAAGATGAGGGAGAGTCGACTGTCAATCTGGACCTAGCCAGACCAACACCTGCCTGTGACGCGCACTGACAGGCCTGGCCGCCCTGACCCCCGAAGCGCGCACGGTCCATTCCGCCGGCTCCAAGAATTCTTGCGGCTTTCGCCTTGCTTCCTTCGCTGCACCACCATCATCCAACGTCGCCCATCCCTCCCTCTTTCATCCATCCAACAACGTCCCTGCCAAATCTGGCGTTGTCTCATCCCAGAATGTCCCTGCTCCTACCACAGCCGTAGCGCACCTCGCGGCTACCAAGGTCGCCTCTTGCTGCCACCCTCAGCTCCGACCTCGCGGGCCGCGTCCTGGTAGCCTGCCTTTCAACCCGTCCGCCGCTATGCCCGTGCTCGTCTCTCTCCGTCAATCCCCGACCTATCTCTACCTCAAGGTGTACCTCATCTGCTCACTGGTATCCCTCTTCCAGGCCGCGCCGGTATCCTCGCGTCTCGCTGCCGCCAGGCCCGCCCGTCTGCTCGCTCCTCGCGGCACCCGGATCGTCAACGCCCGTGATGCCACACCTCGACCGTCGCCGGCGCCGGCTTCGCGCGTCCGCCTGCTCCTAGAACGGTGGCGACAGCGTGCCCACGATATGGCCGAGATCAACCAACTCATGAAGCGCGACGAACATGACCTCCGCACCTATCCCGAGCTCGAGTGGGACGCCGCCGTCCGACGGTCCGCGCGCCTCCATCCGCATGAGACTATATTCATCGCACGACGAAGCCATCGCATGTCTTCCGAGGGTACCGACGACCTCCACCGCTTCCTCGGACTGCCCGCCGGCGAGCGCGTGCACCCCGCCGACGTGCCCCTCGTCGCTCTCGGGGGCAGCGGCGGAGGCTATCGCGCCATGTACGGCTTCGCAGGCTTCCTCGCCTCGGCCAAGCAGACCGGCCTCTGGAACTGCCTCACCTGGACTGCAGGCGTCAGCGGAAGCTGCTGGACCCTCGCTGCCTACTACACCATCGCCTATCACGATGCCGCCAGCCTCATCCGACACTACCTAGCCACCGCAAAAGAGGTGTCGCATCCCATGAGCGTCGAGGCGCTCGACACCGTCGCGAGGAGCAGCAAGGGCGTCTACTTCCTCCTGGCCCCTCTACTGCGCAAGGCACAGGGCGGTCGCGTTGGCTTGGGCATCATGGACCTCTATGCCACCCTCACCACCAGCTACCAGTTTCTCTCGCGCGAACCGCGCGCCAGGCTCAGCCGCGCCACCTTTCAGCTCTCCAAGATCTGGCAGCGCTCCGGCCTCGATCGCGCACTCGAGCCCATGCCGCTGTTCACGGCGGTGCGGGTTGCGCCTCATGACTCGCCTGGCGTTCGGCCCCACACCGACTCGTCGATGAGCAAAGGCCAGCCGCCAAAGCGCGCCCTGGCCCAGCATCAGACTTCGACCGCGTCAGCCATCATCGAGAGAGGGCAGGACAACGTCCGTCAGAGCCCGATCGGCGCGGCCGAAGCCACCGACGTGCTGGCGCTAGCCGATCCTCGCGGGTTCTATCAGTGGTTTGAGGTCTCGCCCCTCGAAGTCGGCAGCTCGGACGTCCAGGCCTTCATCCCGACTTGGGCCTGGGGCAGGGCCTTTGTGTCCGGCCGATCGCTCCACCGCATGCCGGAGCATTCGATGTCGCTGATCCTCGGGCAGTGCACCAGCGCGCCCGCGGGTCCCCTGACCGGCTATGTAGCGGCGCTGCTCGCCTCGCTGCCCAAGGGCACCGTCATGAGCCGCCTCCTGATGCTTCTGAACAACTTTATCCGCCTCAAGCGCTGGGAGCGGCGTTGGGGTAACCCCATCCGCGCCGGCGATGAGCCCAACCCATTCTACGGGCTCAACACACGGCCAGAAAGTGTGGCAGGAGCCGACCGAGGGCGAGCATCGGACGGAGCGCGCTCTGCCGTTGTCGGTATCGGCATCGACATCCTGCACCTGCCCCGGCTGCAGCAGCTGGTGGCTCGGCAGGTTTCGCGCAGTTCGAAAGGTGCAGAGACGGGTGAAGATGCTCGACTGGCCGCGCTCGACAGGCTGGCTCGGCGCGTCCTATGCCGATCGGAGCTGCTAGGATGGCAAGCGTTGCGAGATCAACTGGGCGCTGACACCACGTCGGACCAAGCCCATGACAGCCTGTTCCGCTTCTTGGCGGTGCGGTGGAGCGCCAAGGAGGCCGCCTACAAGGCCCTCTACCCCATCCACGTGGTGTCGTGGAAGGATCTCTGCGTCGAGAAGCCTCTGTCCGCCGCCGTCTCGGCGACCGTCTCGCTTTCGGACGAGCCGCTGGACCTCGCAGCCAAGGAGTCGGCGGGCGCCCGCAGCAAGAAGCCGCAGCTGCGCATGTCGGACGAGTGGCTGACAGCTCGTCGCAGCAGCGTCGACGGCGGGGGGGCGCCTGCGCTCCATCTCGCCGTGTCTCACGACGGCGACTACGTGGTCGCAAACGTCTTGGCGCTGAGGGACGCCGAGTCACGGATCAGCGCGCACGAGTGGGAGCAGACCCGCCTTCCGCCACTGCCGAGCTCCGACGACGTTCGAACCTCGACGGCGTCTCTAGCGGCCCTTGACCTTGCCTCGCGCCACGGCGACCGGGCAGATGCCCTTCCCGATCCGGATCCACACGGTGACGCCACGTTCGACAGAGGGCGGGACGAGGCGAGTGCCCCGCAAGCGGCGTGGGAGACATCCTCGCGGATCCGGCTGATGGACAGCGGCATGTCCAACAACCTGCCCAACCACGTCCTGGCGCGCGAGGAGCGCGGCGCCGACGTCATCATCGCCTTTGACGCCTCGTCAGACGTGCAGAAGGGATCGGCGCTGCAGCGTATCCGCAACTTTGCAGACGACTGCGCCATCCGCCTTGCCATCCGGCCCCAAGTCCCCGGCGGTCGTGATGGAGAGGGCCAATCCTTGGGCGAGGATACAAGCGCGCACGAGATCGAGAGGCGGTTCAGGGGCAAGTACGCTCAGCGGATCGATGGATGGCGACACAGGGACGGTGGAGGTGCTGCATCGACTGGGCAACCTGGCATCGAGACCGAGACGACACCACCCACATCGCCGCCGGACATCCGCTTCGTCTACTGCCCCTTGCTGCCCAACTCGGCCCAGCCAGACTTTGACCCGTCCGTGAGTCGAATCGATGCGTCGATCCAGTCGCAACCCGTTCTCCTCGGTCGCTGACCCGTCCGTCCTCTCCTGCCTCGCTGCCTCGTTGATCTGGTCCAGACGGCATCTTTCTCCAATTCCTACAACCTCGTCTGGACACCGGAGCAGGTCGAGACCCTCATCCGCACCTCTTCGGCCAACCTGGAGCGACATGCCATCCACACGATCCGAGAGGCGATCAGGGAGGCGTATGAAGCCAAAAAGGCGAGGCGGCTCGCCGGCGCCCGGCGGGGCGAAGGCGAGTGACACGCGCGTGGCGGAGACGGGCGCGGCAGAAACAGCGACGCGTCCATCGCGTTCGTCGGAATACTGATGATCCGTCGGGGAGTGTGCTTTGGAATCCATCCCTTTGAGATTCAAGAGCCCTGCGCCTTGAGCCAGGCCTCCATCCAATCTGCGCCGCCCGCCGACTTGGGCGCCGGTGCTGCGGTCTCGACCGCGCCCGCTTGTGCCGTCGAGCTGGGTCGGGTATTCGAGAGGTGGCCCCAGAGCGCCTCGAGCCGCTGAATCGCCTTCTTGCGCGCCTCTTCGTTGCCCGCGGGCGCTTCTTCTGGAGACGCATCGGCGACGGCTTTGCGCATCGTTTCGGCCAGGGTCGGAGGGAGGCCGTAGACATCCTGCCGAAGGGAAGTGACAAGCGTGCGAGGCGAAGAGGCGAGGAGGCAAAGAGGAGATGAAAGTCAGGTACATCGCTCCCTCGATGGCGGTGGCACAACACGACTCGGAGGTGAGGATTCGCGACTCACATCGACGTATGAGCTGTTGGGGAGCCACTCTACGATCCGCTGCACGGCCCGACGGCCTCTTTGCACCGACCACTCGTCACCATCCTGCCCGACCCTTGCTCCACCGGATTCGGGGACCGACTTCTCGACGGCACCACCTCGACCCTCCCAGATGCTCCTGAGCGCTTCTTCGGCAGTCGGAGCGTAGACGCCCTCTCGCGCCTCTCGGTCGTCGGCCCTCGGCGCGATGCCCTCCCCCTGTCGCAGCGCATGCTCAGCATCGGTCTGGGCGGCAGAGATGGCGCGGTGCATCTCGAACTGCTCGCGCGTCACGCAGAGGTGGGCGGGCAGAGAGGGCGATGGCGGCCTCCACTGCGTCGGCAGAGATGCGAGTGTCGCATCACTCGTCCTGTCCCACGCCGGCCGTGCGAATTCGGCCGCAGAGGCGCCTTCGAGTGACTCCTGGGCCTCGTCGGCGGCCAAAAGGTCCATAAAGTCCGAAGACGATGTCATCTGCGAGCCCGCTTGCGCGTCTGTCTGCTGCCGTTGCGCTCGCGCTTGGAGCGGAGGGAAGTCGACGCCGCCGACCCCACTGGCCCAGCGCTGATTCCACTCGGGGTCCAGGGCGAGGTCGCGCTGGTCGTCGGTCAGGTTTCGAGCGCTCTGCTCGGCGTCTTGCCAGGCGCCGTCTAGAGTCATGCGCGCTCCGACGTTGAGCGCCTCCATGGCGCGCACCTGTGCGTGGAGGGCTCGATCGAGCTCCGAGCTGGAGGTGTACGGCCCTATCCGGTCGGGCGAGTACATGCCGACATCCTGGTGGGGTGACGGGGCCACAGGTGCTCCTCCAGCCGCATCGCCCCTCGGTATTGTCGGGGGAAGCGCAAAGGCATCGTAGCGGTGCGAGGCGCCAGAGGGAGCCTGGCTGGCGGGAGACGAGCGGAAAGTGGCGCCAGTCGCTGACCCTCCAGCGGCTGCGCTGCCGCCTGCGAGGTCGGCCATCATTGCGGAGCGCAGCTCGTCCTTTGAGAGCGGTTGGCCGGCTGCTTGGCCATTCTGGCGAAAGGAGGCAAAGTCGCCCTTGCCGCCCGAGGCCGACGCGAGGAGGGACCCGATCTGGTTGCCGGCCATGGATGAGCGCATTGATGCAATGACTGAGCTAGCGAGCGACCCGCCCGCTGAGCCCCCTTCCGGGCGACCCGCGTCGTTGCGCTCAGCGGCGGGCGCCGCCGTCGATGAAGTGTTGGCGGCGTGCTGGGATGGCGAAGACGAGCCGGTCGCCGCTGCATCCGACGCGCCAACATCGGACGGCGCTTTTGCCTTTCCCTTTGGTTGAGACTGATCGGCCATTTGTGCGAAAGCGGTAACAGACGGAGCAGGAAGGTGGACCGAAGGTGAAGGGGGGAAGCAGGTGGTCGACAAGAAGACGCAGGCAAGAGGAACGCCGCGGTGGATTCGGGTTGCAAAGCGGCGCGCCCCGCCTCGGCCTCCACAGAGGGCGACTCGGCCCCGCAGCCGAACAGCCCCAACGGCGTGAAAGGGCACCTCGACGGCCGCCCACATACCGCGACCCTCTGGACCAACACCACCAGCACCATCACGCTTGTTGCTGCGACAGCAACACCGTCCTTGAGCCTGCCACCTGACACTGGTCTCCGCCTGTTCAAAGCAAAGGTCGAAAGGGCATGCATCGGAGGCATCTTGAATGCTGCTCACTGTCTTGTCAGCAGGGGCTCCTCGTTGCAAGGCAGGCAGCAGCGTGTCCCTTTCCAGCGAGGGCCGCGCTTGCTTGCTTGCTTGTTTGTTTGCGTCGTTGCGGCTGTGGTTGCTTGCCTGTCGCTTGATGCAGCGATGCCCCCCAGCCCGGTGTTGCACCCTCCGCCAACCCTTTGGCCACGCCCACGCTGCGCCGCTCCGTGGCACGCCTGGTCGGGCCACCACCATCACCACCTACGCCGCCAACCAGCCGCCAGCAGGCACGGCCAGACAAAAAGGCAGGCAGACGACGCAGCGCCATGGGGCAACGGTGGACTAGAAATCGACTGCCGTCGACGTTGTACATACGCGCGCTGCCTGGCCAGGCGGTACGGTCGTGTGTGTATCTCCGGCGCGCCCAGGGCCGTGGCTGGGTGGCCCAAGCGGCCCTCTTTTGGCCTCTCTCTGCCAGAGCTGCCTCAGCCTGGTTGCGAGTCGACGGGCCTTGGTGGGGTCAGCGGGCGCGAGCTCTGTTTTCTTGATTTTTTTTCTTCTTGCTTTTCCTGCGGCCTTTTTGGGCGCGGCCTGCCTTTTTCGCCTTGGGGGCTCTGAACCTGGCTGGCTGGCTGGCCTGCGTTGCTCTGGCGCTGCCCTTCTGTTAATTGGCGCCCTGCCTGCCCTGCCTGCCCTCAGGGGCCACCGCGAACGCGCCACGTTGTTCTCTGCCAAAGCACCTCGATCGCAAGTCACCCGTCGCCGCCGCCGCCGCCGCCGCCGCTGCCAGCACCATCACCACCGGCCATCACCACCATCACCACCCATTGGCCATCTTCCTCCATCATCGTCTGATCGCCTCGCTCGCTCGCTAGCTCGACGACGTCTCTCGTTCACCGCACGCAACCCTCTCGCTTCCTCGCCCCCGACCCCGTCGCAACCTCTTTCCGATGCCACTGGCCTGACTTGTGCCTCACCACCGGCCCGTCGCACCGTCCAAGTCTCGTTTGCGACTGCCCACACTCGTTTGCTGCTCCCGTCCCGCCTGGTTCCACCTTGCCTTCCTCGCGCTCCTTTCCATTCCCGCCCGCTGACGGGCTGCAACGTTCCCGAGTCCCACTCTCAACCCGCACACTCAACCCGCACTCAGCATCGCCGCCATGTCAGGATCTCCCTTTATCCCCGACAACAGCATCTGGTCCAATGCTGCCGTCTCGTCCCACAGCTCCCGTCCCCACAGCCCGCACATGCCCGGCTCGCTCAGCTTCGCCGGCGCGCCGCCCACCTCCGACCCTTCCAGGCAGCCCACGTCGGATCGCACCGACGCCGCTCGCCTCGCCGCCCACCCGCTGCCCAGCCGCCCCGTCCAGTCCCACGGACAGAGGTCTGCCTCGGTCTTGTTCCTTCGCGGCAACGCCCACGACGACCACACCCGCTCCCTCGACTCGCACCCCGCAAAGCAGAGCCCCGGCGCCATCGGCGGCCATCGCATCCCTTCCCGCGACATGGGCCCGCACCTCAGCAGGTCAAACAGCCTGGCCGCCTCCGTCAGCAGCTTCCGCTCCGCCAACTCGGCCTCGCCCGCGCCCTCGTTTGTCACCAACCCGGCCACCGACCTCGACACCCCCATCTCGGCGGGCAAGCATCTCTTTCAAAGGCAGAACTCGACCAATGGCGCGCTCACCGGCTCGCCCACCTCAAAGGACCACCACTTCTTTCAATCGGGCAGCCTTAGCCCCAACCCGGCCGCCCATGGTAGCCGCGACAACAACGTCAGTGGCGAGACCGACTACGGAACCCCCCGCCTCTTCCTCGACAGCCAGCATGTCTTTGGCGGCGGCGGCGGCGATGGCAGCGCAGGAGCACGGGGCGACGGCGGCATTACGCATCTCGACGGCCAAGGCTGGGATCTCGAACGAAGTCCCTCGCTGAGGAGCAACGCTGGCGGACACGCAGCAGGTCGGCCGCGACCAAAGTCCTGGATCCAGCCGCAGAACATCGGATCCTCGTTGTCGCAGCATGGCGATCGCACCGTCAGCCAGCCGCATCGTTCCGACAGCGCCGATGACCGCGGCTCGGGTCGTGCGGCCAGCGCGGGTGTGCCCAGTCCCAAGGCGAGCCTCGGCTTCGACGACTCTACACAGGGAGACGGCCATTCGGCGACACAGGGGTACCCCTTCCCTGCCTCGGCTGTGTCTCAGAGATCGGTCTCGCACGCGCAGCCCAGCGATGCTCAGCTCCGTCACGACAATGCGCCGGGCGGTTCTCCACACGCGGACAGCGGCGGCGGAGTAGGTCCGCTCACCAGCAGTCCCATCGAGTCTTCTGACGGGCAGCTCCACCACTCGAGCCTGTCGGTGCACGATGCGGGTCAGCAAAGGCAGCGGCAGCAGCAGCAGTCTCGGAGTTCAAACGCGCGGGGTGGCGACCGTGGCGGCGGCTCTCCCGCTCCCACTTCGGCCGGCTTCGCCGCCGCACAGAATGCTAGCGGCGGGCGTGGCACGCCTTCGCTCAACCTGCCCCGTAACCTCAACCTCGTCGGCGGGCTCCTCTCACCGACGGCAGCCACGGTCGGGAGCATGGCCGCGGCGCCGGCGCTGTCGCCGCTCGGCAGTCCCAGCTTCGCTCACAGAGCAGAGCACCACGGCCACCAGGCTGTGCAAGAGTCCCCGAGTAGCGGCGCTCTGGACGATCAGCTGAGGCAGAGCGCCCTTTTGAACGAGCTCATCGACCGCTTGGGCCGAGTCGAGGCTGGGATGAAGGACTTCTCACGGCAAGTGTCTGGCATCTCTCGCAACGTGTCGCTGCTGCTCGAGCGCACAAAGGCGCTGCCGCCTGCCAGCCTGGCAGGCGGAGGCGGCGCGGCTGCAGCCACCAACAGCGGCAATGCCGGAACGTTGGGCGCCGGCCAGCCGGCGGTGCTACCCGGCGCATCGCAGGACGAGATTCGCGCTCTCAACTCGCAAGTTGCAGCGCTGGCGAGCAGCGTCTCGCACCTGCTGACGGTACAGGGCACCGGCGCCAGCGCTGGCGGCTCGATGTCGCAGCTGGCCGGCCTGGGCATCGGCGCCACGCCGTACCTCGGCACCCCGCAGCTTGGAGGACCAGGCGGCGGCATCGAGCGCACCGGCTCTCCTCGCGTCGGCGGACCGCTGGACGCCATCGGTAGAGGTCTCAGTCCTCGGCCGGGAATGGGCGGACGTGGCTGGTCGTCCAACAGCGCAAACGCGGCCGCCAAGGAGGCCAACGAGGCGCGTTGGAGCGCCCTAGGGGGAGGTGGCGCCGCTGCGGCAAACGGACGAAAGGACGGCCTCGGACTCGGTCCGGGCACGCCGAGCCTCGAAGATGCGTCGCGTGACAGCGGTGCGCCGGTGGCGGGCTCAGGCTTCACCCTGCCCAACGCCATCGTCACCAAGTGGGAGCACCTCAACCTGCACCCTGACCTCCTCCGCTCAATCCTCAAGTACGGCCTGGGCCCGCCCAACAAGATCCAGCAGCGTGCCCTGCCCTTCCTGCTGCGCGGCAGCGACATCATCGCCCAGGCGCCGCCGACGCAGGAGCGCATCGCCTCGTACGTGATCCCGGCGCTGCAGCTTGTGCTCAACGCCGGCCGCGAGAATGCAGCTGCCGAGGGCCTGGCGGCCAGCCTGGGCGGCCGTCTCAATCTGGGCAGTGGCGTGCCGCCACCGACGCGGGGCCCGGTGGCGCTCATCATTTCGACCACCGTCGACCAGGCGACGCAGGCCCAGCGGATGGCGCTCGGCCTGGGAGCCTCGCTGGGCATCAGGGTCCACATCGCCGCTGCCGGCGGCATCGACGTCCACCAGGAGGCGCAGGCCGTCGTCCAGAGCTGGCCGCACATCGTGGTCGGCACGCCACAGAAGATGAGCGAGCTCTTCACCTACCTCACCAACAACGCCGCCTCGCTATCCGGCATGGGCGTCATGGGCAACGGAGCTGGCGGCGTTCCTCCTCCCATCAGCACGGCCGAGGTGCGCCTGGTGGTGCTGGACGAGGTGGACCAGCTGATTGCCCGCAACCTGGCCGACCACGTCAGCACGCTCCTGCGGGTGCTGCCCCAGCCCTCGCCCCCGGCGGGCAGGACTCTGGGCGCGGGTGCAGCGGGTGCCGCCATCGCAGCCATGAGCCCCGGGCTTCCATCCAACTCTGGCGGCATCTTCAATTTTGGCGATGGCGGCGCCAAGGACGCTGGCGCATCTGGCGTTGGTACGACCAGCCTGGACCGGCAGGTGGCCCTCTTCTCGAACACGGTGCCGCAGGATGTGCTCAACTTTGCCCAGTCGATCCACCTGCGCGAGTCGGTCCGCGTGCTGGTCCGGCGGGATGGCGGATCTGCGCTGCCTGCCGGGACCACCGGAGGAGGCGCGGGGGCTGCGATGGGAGGCGTGGGGAGCGTCGCTGCGCCGCAGAGCGGCTTCCTGCCGAGTCGGCCAGGCCATGGCCGCGAGGGCACTCAGCCGTCCAACGCGTTGGGCGCGCATCCGGTCAACTCGAGCATCAACGTCCTCAATGATCCGATCATTGCGGCGCTCAAGGGACTGCGGCAGTACTACCTCTACGTCGCCGTCACGTCCAACGGCGGCGGAGGCATGGCCAGTCCGAACCCAGGCATGGGCCCGCACGCGGCCAACGAGATGAAGCTTGACCTCATCACCGACCTGATGGAGGACATCGAGTACGGCCAGGCGGTCGTCTACTGCGCCAACTCGGTCACGCTCGAGGCCGTCATCTACAAGCTGGCGTCCAAGGGCGTCGAGGCGGTCGGCCTCACGCGCGAGATGAACAGCTACACGCGCCAGCAGATGCTCGCCCGGTTCCGCAGCCCGACGAGCCAGTTTGGCACGGGCAACATGGTGGGCACGCCCACATTTGCGCAGCCCGCTGGCTTTGCGGGCGGCGGCGGCGGCGGTGCGAGGACGAAAAAGGTGCTCGTCGTGTGCGACATGGCCGTGCACCCCAAGGATGTCCACCAGGTGCCGCTGATCGTGTTCTACGACATGCCGCGGTCCGTGGACGAGTACAAGGAAAAGTGAGTGAAGAACGGCAGGTTCGGTCTGATGCGGCGACCTCGTCGATGATTCACGACGAAAGGAGACCGCTGACCCCTTCCCTTCTTTCCCCTGGCACTCTCCTCTGCGCCCGTTTGACAGGATCGCTTGCGCCTCGGCGGGCGCCATGGCACGGCCGAGCGTGTGCATCAATGTCGTGACGGCCTCTGGAGGCCCGCGCGGCGACGTCGAGATGCTGCGGACGCTCGAGTGCCACCTGGGCTGCAAGATGGCCGAGCTGCCCATCGACGCCAAGCAGATCCTCAACTTCTAGAGGTCCAGGCCCCGGCCACCGTCCTAGGCACGCCAGCGCCACGATAGAAGATCCTGTTCCGGCCACACAGCCCCGTCCCCTAATACTAATATCGACATGGCAAGCAGGCAGGCTCGACGCTCCCACACGCTCCCTAGCCTGTCTCTCCCTCTCTCCCCCTCTCTCTCATACACTCTCTCCCGACCCCCGCCTCTTTATGCTGTATTCTCACCTCCCCTTCTATTCGATCTGCATCGTCTCTCCTCTATCGCCTTTTCCACGGCGTTGTAGCCGACATTCTTGAGCAAAAAAAAACCCGCTGGCTGGCTTCTGCCGCAATGCTGAGCAGATAGAGAGTCGAGCTCGAGTGCCTGTTTGGTGCAGAGCAGCAGGAAGATGAGCCAGGGTCGTGGTACCGGCAGGCAGCGATTCGGTGCCTCGGATCGCACGCTCGTTGGTGCGCTCGCTCAAGGGGCTGCTGCGGCTGGGCCAGCGCAGAGAGAGGGTAGGGGCGAGGGCATCAACGGCCGGCTGCTGCTGCTGCTGCTGCTGCTGCTGGCTGCTGGCGTGTGCTGCTGCTGCTGCTGCTGCTGGATCGGCCCGGCCGCTTTGGCCGACGACCAACCAGCGACGAGCACGTCGGGACCAGCAGATAGACGATGGCCGCCGCCCTGCTCAGCCGACCTGCCTAGCCTGACTCGACGGGATCGACGCAGCCACACCAGATCGAGGAGGCGCAGAGGGCCGACGTGCAGCGCCCAACGCACGCCAATCAGCGGCCGGCATTTGGACGCGGTCGAATTCCCCGAGTGGGGGCCCATTTGAAACTGTCTCCCGTTCGGAAAAGCAGAGACTACAAGCCGGGCCTGTCCTATTTGCAGCACTGCAGGTATTGTATTGGATCGCGGAAGACGGCTGAAGTGCGAGATTAGCCTCTCTGGCAGGAAGGAAAAAAACTTCGGGAGTGGGTTGGCCCTCGTCGCTGCCCGGCCGGGGGAAGAAAGCTCATCCCAAGGCAGGCAGTCAGGCAGGCAGGCCTGCAGGAAGGTTGAGCCAGGCTGAAAAAAAATTTGAGCCTGCGTCTGCGTGGAGGTGATAGGGCGATCGAGGACATGGCGAGCACCAGAGCAGAGGCAGGTCCAGAGGCAACGGCGGCGACGACGACGACGGCGGTCAGGAAGAGAGAGCGACGGAGCGTGCGTGGTGCCCCGGAGGCAGCCCCGACGACCTGGGCGTCTGCGGCCCTCGCCGTCGGGTGTCGCTCGCTCGCTCGCTCGCTCCTTCCTTTCCTTCCTTCCTCTTCCTCCTCCTCCCTCCTTCTCTCTTCTCCTCTCTCTCTTCCTTCTTTCTCTCTCTCCTCTCTAGCGTGCAACACCGCAAGTCTGGAGGGAGGCAAGATCGAACAACCCGCAGCATCACACTCGAACCTGCAACCAATCCCCCTGCAATCGACGAATCGCCCTAGAGCTCATCGACCCAACCGCTCCGCGAAAACCAAGCCACAGCGCATTTCGTCGTCGTCGACGCTTCGCCTCTGTAGCCACTCTCATTCGAGGGCTCACGTTGAAGACAACCCCTGCGACCTCGTCGAGACCGTCGTCCAGGCAACTCTATCCCTCCCCCGGCGCCTTTTGACAGCCTCCGTCCGCCTCGCACGCCATCCCCTTAGAACCGTTCAATACCCCCTTTCCCAACCTCTCTTTCCCTCCCAGTCAAAAAGCACCGAGCAAGATGGCTTCCTCGACCTCTGTGACCACCCCTTCATTGGGCGCTGGTCAGCTCCCCCCCGCCGCCGATGGCCAGGTCACCCTGTACCCGCCAGCCACCAGCCCTCCCCTCGGCCGCGAGGACAGCACCGAGATGGTCCTCGAGCTCGTCGACGGCACCGCCTACCGCGGCATCAGCTTTGGCGCCGAGGGAAAGAGCATCTCGGGAGAATGCGTCTTCCAGACCGGTGAGTGGCTGCGCTCCGAGCGCCGCCGCCGCCGCCCGACCGCGTTCGCCTTCGATAGCGCGGCCCGGCTGACTGTCATGAGTTGCTCCTTTGCTCCAACACGACGTCCGTTGCCATGTCGCCCCCTCGTCCCTTGTGCTGTCTGATCTTCGCCCCGCCCCGCCCCGCCTCGCCTCGCCTTGCCCCGCCCACCTCTCGTTCGACGCCCGCCAGGCATGGTCGGCTATGTCGAGTCGCTGACCGACCCGTCGTACGAGGGCCAGATCCTTGTCCTCACCTTCCCCCTGGCCGGCAACTACGGTGTCCCCTCGCGCGAGGAGGCGAGCAAGAGCATCCAGAACCTGCTCGCCTCGCCGTTCGAGTCGAGCCGCATCCACGTCGCCGGCCTGGTGGTGGCCTACTACAGCCACGACTTCAGCCACTACCTCGCCAACTCGAGCCTGGGCGACTGGCTCAAGGAGAACGGCGTCCCTGCCATCTACGGCATCGACACCCGCGCCCTGACCAAGCGCATCCGCACCAAGGGCAGCATGCTCGGAAAGCTGCTCGCCCCCAAGCCTGGCGCTGGCAAGATCGACGCGTCCGCCGCCGCCGCCGCATCGTGGCGCGAGTCCTTCGCCGATCTGCCCTACGCCGACCCCAACCTCACCAACCTGGTGGCCAAGGTGTCGAGCACCCGCCCGCAGCTCTACACGCCCGCCAACACCTCGCCCGGAGAGTCGCTGGGCAAGTTCGAGGCGCCGCTGATGCACCCCTCGGGACGGCCCATCCGCATCCTCGCCCTCGACGTCGGCATGAAGTACAACCAGATCCGCTGCTTCACGTCGCGCGGCGTCGAGCTCAAGGTGGTGCCGTGGGACCACGACTTCCTTGACCCGCGCGTCGAGTCGGAGCCCTACGACGGCCTCTTCATCTCCAACGGCCCCGGCGACCCGACCTCGTGCGGCCCCACGATCGCGCGCATCGCCCGCCTGCTGCAGCTGCGTGGCAACGACATGATCCCCATCTTCGGCATCTGCCTCGGCCACCAGCTGCTCGCCCTCGCCTCGGGCGCGCAGACCGAGAAGCTCAAGTTCGGCAACCGCGGCCACAACATCCCGTGTACCGACCAGATCAGCGGACGCTGCTACATTACGTCGCAGAACCACGGCTACGCCGTTAATGCCTCGACGCTGCAGCCGGGCTGGCACGAGCTGTTTGTCAACGCCAACGACGGCACCAACGAGGGCATCTACAGCTCCCAGGGCCCGCACTTCAGCGTCCAGTTCCACCCGGAGAGCACGCCCGGCCCGCGCGACACCGAGTACCTCTTTGACGTCTTTATCCGCAGCGTCGTCGACTGCGCCGCCGTCAAGGCCGCCCCTTCGCCGACCCCGGACGCGCTGCTGCCCCCCGTCGCCTTCCCCGGCGGCATCCACGCCGAGCACGCCGCCGCCAACCCGCGCGTCCACGTGCGCAAGGTGCTCGTCCTCGGCTCCGGCGGTCTCAGCATCGGCCAGGCGGGCGAGTTTGACTACTCGGGCTCGCAGGCCATCAAGGCGCTCAAGGAGGAGGGCATCTACACGGTGCTGATCAACCCCAACATCGCCACCATCCAGACGTCGTCGGGCCTGGCGGACAAGGTCTACTTTGTGCCCGTCACGCCCGAGTTTGTCCTCAACGTCATCCGCCACGAGCGTCCGGACGGCATCTACTGCACGTTCGGTGGCCAGACGGCGCTCAACGTCGGCATCAAGATAAAGGAGGACCTCAAGGCCATGGGCGTCCGCATCCTCGGCACGCCGATCGAGACCATCATCACCACCGAGGACCGCGACCTCTTTGCCCGCGCGATGGAGGAGATTGGCGAGCGCTGCGCGCCCTCGGCCGCCGCCAACAACTGGGACGAGGCGCTGGCCGCCTCGCGCACGATTGGCTTCCCCGTCATTGTGCGCGCCGCCTTTGCCCTCGGCGGCCTCGGCTCCGGCTTCGCCTCGAACGAGGACGAGCTGCGCAAGCTGTGCGCCGCCGCCTTTGCCAACTCGCCCCAGGTCCTCGTCGAAAAGTCGATGAAGGGCTGGAAGGAGGTCGAGTACGAGGTGGTGCGCGACTGCCGCAACAACTGCATCACGGTGTGCAACATGGAGAACTTTGACCCGCTCGGCATCCACACGGGCGACTCGATCGTCATTGCGCCCTCGCAGACGCTGTCCGACGACGACTACAACATGCTCAGGACGACGGCGGTCAACGTCATCCGCCACCTCGGCGTCGTCGGCGAGTGCAACATCCAGTACGCCCTCAACCCGCACAGCCGCGAGTACTGCATCATCGAGGTCAACGCCCGTCTGTCGCGCTCGTCGGCGCTGGCGTCCAAGGCCACCGGTTACCCGCTCGCCTTTATCGCCGCCAAGCTCGGCCTCAACATCCCGCTCAACGAGATCCGCAACTCGGTCACGCGCGAGACGTCGGCATGCTTCGAGCCCTCGCTCGACTACGTCGTCACCAAGTTCCCGCGCTGGGACCTGCGCAAGTTTGTCCGCGTCAGCTCCAAGCTCGGCAGCAGCATGAAGAGCGTCGGAGAGGTCATGAGCATCGGCAGGACGTTTGAGGAGAGCATGCAGAAGGCCATCCGCTCCATCGACTACCAGTTCGACGGCTTCGGCCGCAACGACTACGCAAAGGACTCGGACATTGACGAGGAGCTCGTCAACCCCACCGACCGCCGAATGTTTGCCATCGCCAACGCCTTTGCCAAGGGCTACACCGTCGACAAGGTCCACGACATGAGCAAGATCGACCGCTGGTTCCTCACCAAGCTCGAGGGCCTGATCAAGGCGGCCAACGTCTTCTCGACCTTCAGCGCCGCCCAGCTGCCGCCCAGCGTGCTGCGCCAGGCCAAGCAGCTCGGCTTCTCGGACCGCCAGCTGGCCAAGTGCCTCAACAGCACCGAGCTCGCCGTCCGCCGCCTCCGCCAGGAGCACGCCATCATGCCGTTTGTCAAGCAGATCGACACGGTCGCCGCCGAGTTCCCGGCCTACACCAACTACCTCTACACGACCTACAACGCCGTCGAGCACGACGTCAGCTTCGGCGACCGCGGCATCATGGTCATTGGCTCCGGCGTCTACCGCATCGGCTCATCGGTCGAGTTCGACTGGTGCGCCGTCCGCGCCATCCGCACGCTGCGCCAGCGCGGCTTCAAGACGATCATGATCAACTACAACCCCGAGACGGTGTCGACCGACTACGACGAGGCGGATCGCCTCTACTTCGAGAACATCTCGCTCGAGACGGTGCTGGACATCTACGACCTCGAGCAGTCGAACGGCGTCATCATCTCGATGGGCGGCCAGACGCCCAACAACATCGCGCTGCCCCTCTACCGCCAGGGCGTCAAGGTGCTCGGCACGTCGCCCGAGATGATCGACATGGCCGAGAACCGGTACAAGTTCTCGCGCATGCTCGACAAGATCGGCGTCGACCAGCCGCTGTGGAAGGAGCTCACCAGCTTCGAGGAGGCCCACGAGGCGTGCGCCCGCTTCGGCTACCCCGTGCTGGTCCGCCCCTCGTACGTCCTCAGCGGCGCCGCCATGAACGTCGTCTACTCGCCCGAGGACCTCAGCAGCTACCTGTCGCAGGCCACCGCCGTCAACCGCGAGCATCCCGTCGTCATCACAAAGTACCTCGAGGGCGCCAAGGAGATCGAGATGGACGCCGTCGCAAAGGACGGCAAGATGATGATGCACTACATCTCCGAGCACGTCGAAAACGCCGGCGTCCACTCGGGAGACGCGACGCTGATCCTGCCCCCGCAAGACCTCGACCCCGAGACGATCCGCCGCATCGAGGTGGCCACATCGCAGATTGCCGCCTCGCTCCACGTCACCGGCCCGTTCAACATCCAGTTTATCGCCAAGAACAACGAGATCAAGGTCATCGAGTGCAACGTCCGCGCCGCCCGCTCGTTCCCCTTTGTCTCCAAGGTGACGGGCGTCGACGCCATCCAGATGGCCACCGAGGTCATGCTCGACCTCCCCGTCGAGGCCTACCCCAAGGTGTCGCTGCCCAAGGACTACGTCGGCGTCAAGGTGCCCCAGTTCAGCTTCAGCCGGCTGGCGGGCGCCGACCCGATCCTCGGCGTCGAGATGGCCTCGACCGGCGAGGTGGCCTGCTTCGGTCGCGACAAGTACGAGGCCTACCTCAAGGCCATGATCGCCTCGGGCATCCGCCTGCCCACCAAGAACGTCTTGCTCAGCATCGGCTCGTTTAGCGAGAAGCAGGAGCTGCTGCAGACGGTTCGCACGCTCCACCAGCTCGGCTTCACCCTCTACGGCTCTTCGGGCTCGGCCGACTTCTACTCGGAGCAGGGCATCCCCGTCATTCACCTCGAGGCGCTGCCCGAGGACGACGAGAGCAAGTTCGAGGAGAGCTCCAAGTCGGCCTACTCGCTGCTGACCCACCTCACCTCGGGCATGTCGTCGCTCTTCATCTCGCTGCCCAGCAAGAACAAGTACCGCCGACCGCTGTCGTACACCTCGATGGGCTACCGCGCCAGGCGCCTGGCCATCGACCGCTCGATCCCGCTCATCACCAACGTCAAGAACGCCAAGCTGTTTGTCGAGGCCCTCGCCCGGCACCGCCGCAGGTCGACGTCCGGCTTCGAGCTGTCGAGCGTCGACTACAAGACGAGCCACTCGACCTACACCTTCCCCGGCCTCATCAACGTCCAGGCGTTCCTGCCGAGCATCGCTGATCCGGCCGTAGGCGCGCGCGAGCTGGCCGAGCTGACCAAGGCCTCGATTGCCGGAGGCTTCACCACGGTCCAGGTGCTGCCTGTCGGCCTCTCCACCAGCATCGTCGACTCGGCCTCGCTCGCCACTGCCGAGGGCAAGATCGAGGGCGCCGCCCACTGCGACGTCTCGCTCGGCGTCTCGGCCACCGCCGCCAACGTCGACCAGGTCGAGGACCTCTCGGAGCGCACCCGCTCCCTGCTCGTCTCGTTCAACGGCCTTGGCCCCAACGTCAGCAAGGCGGCCGCCGTCGCCTCGCACTTTGCCTCGTGGCCCGCCGACACGCCGATCGTCACCGACGCCCGCAACACGGACCTGGCTTCGCTGCTGCTGCTGGCCAGCCTGCACAGCCGCAGCATCCACGTCACCAACGTCCTCTCGCGCGACGACATCCAGCTGATCGCGCTCAGCAAGGCCAAGGGACTCAAGGTCACCTGCGACGTCACCGTCTACGCCCTGTTCTTCACCACCGAGATGTTCCCCCAGGCCACCTGCCTGCCCTCGGCCGACGACGCCAAGGCGCTGTGGGAGCACCTCGAGGACATTGACGTCTTCTCGATCGGCAGCACGCCGTACCAGCTGGCCACTGAGCTTGGCCACACCGCTTCGCCCATGTCGGGTGTCGAGGAGGCGCTGCTGCTGCTGCTCGACGCGGTCAACGAGCGCAGGCTCACCGTCGACGACATCCTCCACCGCCTCTACACCAACCCGCGCGAGATCTTCGGCATCCAGGCGCAGCCCGACACCCAGGTCGAGGTCGACATCGACCGCCCCAGCGCGTTCGCCAAGCGCGACTACTGGTCGCCCCTCGAGGCGCGCGCCACGGTCGGATCGGTGCACCGCGTCATCTACAAGGGCAAGACGGTGCTCATCGACGGCGAGGTGCTGTCCAACACCACCCTCGGCCGCAACGTGAGCGGCCTCGCCTCGACGGCGGTCGCAAAGCAGGCCAAAGTGGCTTCGGCCGCTCGCCGCGTCTCGTTCTCCAACGAGGGCCGTCTCACCAGCGGCGGCGCCTTCTCGGGCTTCGACTCGCCCTCCTCGCCTCCGCCGCTGGCGCTGTCGATGGGGTCGTCGGCCAAGTCGCCCGTCCTCGGCGCCACCGACGTCCAGCAGCCGCGCGGCAGCATCATGTCGACCCTCCTGTCTGAGCAGCAGCAGCAGCAGCAGGCTCAGCAGCTGGGCCAGGCGGTGGTGCCTTCGATGTCGTCGGCACTGACTGCCATCGCGCCCGTGCCGTCGATCCGCTCGGCCATCTACCACCCGACGTTCTCGCGCCGACACATCCTCAGCGTCAGCCAGTTTAGCCGCGAGGACCTGCACGCGCTCTTCACCCTGGCCGGCGAGATGCGCGTTGCCGTCGAGCGTCAGGGCTCGGTCGACCTGCTCAAGGGCCGCGTGCTGGCGACGCTCTTCTACGAGGAGTCGACGCGCACCTCGTGCTCGTTTGAGGCGGCCATGCTGCGCCTCGGCGGACAGGTGGTCAAGGTGCAGCCCGAGAAGTCGTCGGTGACCAAGGGCGAGACGATCCCGGACACGGTCCGCACGCTCGGCTGCTACGCCGACGCCGTCGTGATGCGCCACCCGACGGCGGGCAGCGTGCACCTGGCGGCCAAGTTCTCGCCGGTGCCCGTCATCTCGGGCGGCGAGTCGTCGATTGAGCACCCGACGCAGGCGCTGCTCGACGTGTTTGCCATCCGCGAGGAGATGGGCACCGTGGCCGGCCTCACCATCACCATGATCGGAGACCTCAAGCACGGCCGCACCGTGCACAGCCTGGTGCAGCTGCTGTGCCTGTACGGCGTGACGGTCTACTACGTCAGCCCCGACTCGCTGCGCATGCCCGACGGCGTCAAGGCGCAGGTGGCGCAGCGCGGCATCCAGCAGTACGAGTCGACGCAGCTGACCGACGACATCCTGTCCAAGACCGACGTCCTCTACGTGACGCGCGTCCAGCGCGAGCGCTTTGCCGATCTGGCCGACTACGAGGCGGTCAAGGACAGCTACGTCGTCGACAACGCCGCCCTGTCCAAGTGCAAGCCGTCGACGATTGTGCTTCACCCGCTGCCCAAAAACAACGAGCTGGCCGACGACCTCGAGTTTAACCCGCGCGCCGCCTGGTGGCGCCAGGTCAAGTACGGCCTCTACTTGCGAAGTGAGTCGCCGAGTCGCCTGACCGCCTCCTCGCCGTCGTCGCTTGCCACACGGGCGTCCAGACACGAACGACAGCGACTGACTTTGGCCCACGGCCTTTTGCCCCTCTGTCCTCCCGCGCGCACAGTGGCCCTGCTCGCCATGGTCCTCAACACTGGCCGTGCCTGAGTCGGCACTGCCGGCACACCCTCAACCTCCTCGTCAAAATCCTCGCCGTGGCGTTCCGTCTCTTTGCTGTAAAACTGTTATCTCGCGTAGAAATTGCGTGCTTCCGTGTTGACCCCGTTCGACTCCTGCTCGAGCGCGTGTCTGACGTGGGGCCCCTCGGAGCGCAGCGAGCGTCTGCGTCGTCGCTGTCGTCGTCGAAGTGGTCGCCGTTGCCGTTGCTGGCGTTACCGTCGCCGTGGCTGGTTCCGTTGAGCATCGCATCGCATCGTCTGCATCGTATGCACCGTCATCCATCTCCGTCTGTATTTGTACCCCTCCTCATCGTCGTTGTCGTCCTCTTTGTATGCCCGTCGCACGCTGCATTTCTTTTGCTGCTGGAATTTCCAAGTCGTTGGCAGCGCAGTCGGTCGATGTCGGTGTGGCCTGTGATGCCATCTTCTTTGATTGTCCGGCCTCTCTCTGCCTCTGCCTCGCTGTCCTCCTTGCACTGGACGAGGTCGCAGCGAGGCCGCGCCCGCCTGGCTTGCAGCTAGCTAGGCGGAGTGTCGAGGGCGAGGGCAAGGATGTCGGTTCCGACCCTGGCCTCTCATCTGACTTCGACAGACGATCGTGCCGCGTGCGTGCGTGCGTGGCGAGGGGCCTGGGCTGGCCCGACCGCAGGCGAAATTCCGAAGGGCAGGGCAGGGCAGGGCAGGGCAGGGCAGGGCAGGGCCAGGGAAGGGTCGCTCGCATGCGTCATGATGGCCAGGCAGCCGCTGCTCTGTGCCTTTGAAAGAGCGACACGGGGGGGCGGCGCAAGCGAGCGAGCAGACAGGCAGGCAGGCGAAAACGAGAAGAAGCAAGCGGCCCAGCAGCCAACCCAGCCAATCCAGCCGGCCCCCATTTCCATCCACGACACACTCACCTTTGCTGGTTTGCCATCCGACCACCATCCCGCTCCTGCCTCTGCGGCCTTCCGTCCTCTTTTCACTTCACAACCTTATTACGCAGCTCGCAAAGTCCATCCTGGCCTGCGCTGCGGATACACGCCGAGCCTACAGAGCATCAAAGCCGGCAGCCAACCTAGCCCCACTCACTCGCCCGCAGACATGGCCCCCGCCTCCAAGTCCGGCGGCTCGGCCACTGGTCCCTCGACCCGCAATGGCGGCGGCAGGTACGCCTCAAAGACGGCGTTCGAGGCGCTTGCCGTCGAGGAGATCGAGAGCGACGAAGAGTCCGAAGTCGAGCCCGAGCCCGTCGTCGAGGCGCCCAAGCCGGCGCCCGTCACCAGGACGGCCCAGAAAAAGGCGGCCAAGGCGGCCCAGCTCGCCAAAAAGCAGTCCAAATCCGCCATCAAGTCCCAGAGCCAGTCTCCGGCCAGCACGCCGGAGCAGGGCAGCCCCAAGCTCGGAGACGACGGCCCAGCTCCGGCCGCCGCCGCACCCGCCCCGGCTAGCAATGGCATCGCCGCCAGCTCCTCGAACAGTGTCAACGGCGCCCAGATCGCTAAATCCGCACCCTCGGCGTCGTCGCCAAGCACCGCTGTGCCCACACCGCCCGCCCCCTTCGCTCCCGAGGCTCCCAAGGTCGCCGATGTCAAGCCTGTCGCACAAGCATCGGCACCGACCCCAGCCCCCGCACCAGCAGCGTCGACTCCGTCTTCGGCCACACAGTCAGCCCCCAAGACGACGTTCGAGGTCAACGGCCAGTCCGCTCCCGTCTCGGTCAGCTCCGGCCGCTCCTCGACCACGCCCGCCAAGCGCTCGGACGCTTCGTCCAAGGTCGGCGGGTCCAAGGCCGAGGGTGACAAGGCCGCTGCCGACGCTGCCGCCGCCAAGGCGGCCAAATGGAAGAAGATCTGGGAGCGCACGCTCTTCACGTTTGTCATGATCTTCGGTTTCATCGGCCTGCTGCTCCTCGGCCACCCTTACATGATCCTGCTGGTGCTCGTCTCGCAGACGCTCGTCTACCGCGAGATTGTCGCGCTGTTCAACATCCCCGGCCGACCCTCGGTCACGGGTCGCGGCGGCGGAGGTCGGTCGAGCCGGATGTCTTCGGCGCCCACCAGCGCCGCCACGAGCGAGGTCGAGGACAACGAAGAGGAGCGCTTCGCCCGCAAGGCCGAGGGCCGGCGGCAGGAGCTGTGGAGCAAGACGCTCAGCTGGTACTTCTTCGCCGTCTGCAACTACTTCCTCTACGGCGAGTCGATCATCTACTACTTCAAGCACATTGTCTTTGTCGACGCCTACTTTATCCCCTTTGCGCGCCACCACCGCTTCCTCTCGTTTATGCTCTACGTCTTTGGCTTCATGGCGTTTGTCTCGAACCTGAGCCGCCCCAACCTCAAGCACCAGTTCGGCCTCTTCTGCTGGGTCCACATGTCGCTGCTCCTCATCGTCTTCTCGAGCCACTTTATCGTCAACAACATCCTCGAGGGCCTCATCTGGTTCTGGGTGCCCGCCAGCCTCGTCATCTGCAACGACGTCTTTGCCTACGTCTGCGGCATGACGTTTGGCAAGACGCCCCTCATCAGCCTCAGCCCCAAGAAGACGGTCGAGGGCTTTGTCGGCGCCTTTGTCATCACCGAGTTCTTTGCCTACGGCTGGGCCACCCTCTTCCAGAGGTACAACTACATGGTGAGTGACGTCGTCGCCTTGTCTCTGTCACTGCTTCGCCGAAGCCGACCCAGCGCTGACTAGCTGCCTTTTCTGTGCGATTTTCCCTCCCGCCCCGGCCTGCAGATCTGCCCGGCCGTCAGCCTGGGCATGAACGCCTTCAAGGAGATCCGCTGCGACGTCAACCCCGTCTTTTTCTGGCACTATCTGCCGCTGCCGCCCGCCGTGTCGGCGGCCGTGTCGTCGGTGGCGGGTCAGCGCATCGTCTCGCTGCCCTGGACGCCGTTCCAGCTGCACGCGCTGGTGATGGCGGCGTTTGCCAGCCTGGTGGCGCCGTTTGGCGGCTTCTTTGCCAGCGGCTTCAAGCGGGCGTTCAACATCAAGGACTTTGGCGACAGCATCCCGGGCCATGGCGGTCTGACGGATCGCTTCGACTGCCAGTTCCTCATGGGCCTGTTTTCTTACGTCTACTACTCGTCGCTCATCCGCGAGCACCACGTCACCGTCGGGTCGGTGCTGCAGACGATCGTGACGCAGCTCACTCTCGAAGAGTCCAAGGAGCTCTACCACGAGATCGGAAGGTTCCTCGTCGGCCAGGGACAGCTCGCGCGCGCTTGAGCCGGTCTCGCCCGGCGTCGCCGTCTTCCTCGCGAGCCTCCTACCTTGCGGTTGCATTGCCATCCCGCACCTCTTCCCCAATCTCGATCCGTCCTCTTTTGCCCCGACGGCGAGGCACCTGTAACAACTCCCATCGTCTTGTTCTCCGGGCGCACCGGGGAAGCGTCATACCGATCTGAAATCCTACCTTGCGTACGACCGGCGCTGTAGCGGCGTGCTCACCAGGTGTTCCGGCACGCATCCCAAGCCTGAGCAGCCCAGCCATGGTCGCCGTCGTCGTCGCCGTCGCCGTGGTGCTTGCACGGCGGAATCCCGAAGCCGATCCGCGTTGAGAGAGCCCGTTGTGTGTCTGTGCAAGAGCGTCTTGTTAATGGCGCGTGATGCCGGCCACGCCAGCTTGGCGCAACCGGGCGGTGCCGTGTAGCTGCGCGCGTCTGTCTTGAGCTTGCTTGTGAGGTGGCAAACCTGCCCCGCGGGTGCCGCCTGTTGGCAGGCGTGGAGTTTTGGTACGTGCGGATTCTTCATCCTTCTGTGCAGCGGACGCGGGCAGGCGGGCAGGCATGGTCAGGCATACGATAGGGCGGGCAGGCAGGCAAAGCTGGCTCAGGTAGGCTGTCGGGCGGGCAGGGGGCGGTGTCGCAGGTTTATGCATCCAAACGCATGCACCTTGCTGATCTCCTTGCTCGGGTGCGCAAGCAAGCGTGCGTGCGTGCGTGCGTGCGTGCGGTTGGTTAGGTTGGGGGCCTCTGCCGATTCGAGGCTTGGGCTGCCAGGCTAGGCCTACCTGCTGCCACCCCTTCCAGCGTGGTTGCTGTTCGACGCCTCTGCTTGCGGCCAGCCATCAGCACCGACACGGATATTGATCCCGATGGCCCTCATGGCAGGCTAGGGGATGAATCCACGGTGGCTGGTGGGTGGCTGAGTGCGCCGAACAAGCAAGCAAGGCAGAGAGAGAAGGCCCGTCGTGGTGGACCCTGGCCCTGCCTGCCTGCCTGTCCTCCTCTTCGGTTTCCAGCCCGACGCAGCACCAACCGACCGCCAGCTGCTGCTTATCGATACGATTGCTTATCCGCCGCCTCTGCTGCCTTCGCTTCTGCGCGCCATCCGAGGCACATGCACACCATACAACGGGCAGAGAGGCCAGAGCTAGCTGTAGGCCTAGCCTAGGAGGGTACGGTGGCGGACGCCGACGTCGGGAGCAGCCGTACGCACCCACGCACGTCGTCGCCCTCGGTCCGCGCCGCGCCCTTCGATCGATGATGATGCCTGCCTCACGCCCCGCGCCCCTGAAATCGTCCTTGCCCGGCCGGCCTCGCCCCTGCCTCTTTGTAGAACGGCAGGCAAGAAGGTGGGCGCGCTACGAGTACGTTGCGTTTGGAGCGCCGCCCCCTCTCGCGGCCCGTACGCCTAGGCCGTCTTGGCGGGGCCGGCGAGACAAAGGTCATGCGCTCCTTGTCCCACGTCGCGGCGGTGGCCGCCGGGCCTTTGAGACAGACAAGCTGCTTGCCTGTTAAACCTGCCAGCCAGCCGGTTTTGGCGCGGCGCGGCGCCCAGCCTGGACCCCCTCCCAAGGCATCGTATCGTCGGCCATGCTTGCCTGCCTTGCTTGCCTGCTTGCTCGGCCGTAGCCCGGCAGGGAGTCAACATGCAGCGCGCAGCGTAGCAACCATTGCGTCACATCCTCGCCCCTCGTCGATGTACATACACCCACCGACCCACGCCGGGACGGGTTACGATAGTCGCCGGCCGAGCAGAAGCAGTTACAAATGCACGGAAAGGAGCAGGCCACGGGAGCGCCAGGCGGCGTCGACATCGGAGCTCGTTTGCGGCCGCCGAAAACCCGTACGTGCGCCGACGGGCCTGGCCTGGCCTCGTCCGGCCTCGTCTTTGGCTTGGTCTGGCTCAGCTTGCTTGTCTGCTGGTGCCGTATACGCGGCAGCATCACGGCAGAATGCCTCTTGTGCCAGCGAGCGAGCAGGCCGCAGGCTCTTTCCTTGGGCGGGCAACCACGAGATGCGATGATTGGATCGGAAGAGGTCCGACGGCCCAAGGCTGCTTGCTTGCTTGCTGCTGCTGCTGCTGCTGCTGCTGCTGCTGCTGCTTCGAGTTGTGCTTGCTTGTGATGATGGGCGAAGCGAGCGCCCACAATCACAATTTAGGTGCAAGCCGGTTGCGACGCCGCCCGCCCCTGCCCTTTTCAAAAGGCAAAAAAAAAGAGCAACACCAGGTCGAGTGCGCGCGCGTGCACCCCGTACATCGTTCCAGAAGGATCCTCGGCGTCGCCCGCGAGTCATGCAGTTGCGAGCCACCGAGCCAAGGGGCCGCCTGCAGGTGGGCCTGGCCTGGCCTGGCCTATCCGTAGCAGCCCAGTCAGGGGGAAAGGGCTCAAGCTCACACACAGGTAGAGTACGCCCGCCCCTCTCGGAGTGGCCGGTCAAAAATGGGCCAGCCAAGGCAGACAGGCAGGCAGGCGAGCAGGCAGACACACACGCTGAAGGCTGAGCCAAGCCAGCCGACAAGCCAGCCAACAAGGCAGCGCAACGGACCTGCGGCGTCCTTTCCCGCCAGCTGAATGTAGGCCATGCCAGGCCAGGCTAGGGCCAGGCCATCCAAGCTGCGCCAGAGTACGTATCGGCCTGTCCCGCCGAGCCACAGGTGCGTGCGTCGAGCCACCGCCGTACATACGTGCTTTTGCGTCAGGCTAGCTCGCGCGCCACCAACCTGCCGGATGCCCCTGACACGCCGCCGTCCCACTTTTTTTTTCGGTGAGGGTCGCCCGCCCTGCCCCCCCCTGGCCCGCGCAGCTGCCTCCCTGGCTGGCTTTCCGCCCCGCCCTATATATCCCCTGGACCGGCCGTCCAACCCACCTCTCCGCCCCCTCCCCTCTACCCTGCCACCTCACACCACGTCCACCGAGATCCCGTCTCTCACCAACACGTCCAGCATCACCACCAACACCCCTACCAGCTCTTAGCCCTAACCGTGAGTCGAGCCACGCCGCGCGTGCCCCGCAACGCCGGACGCGTCGTCCCCGGACGATTTTGTCGCTCGACGAGCCTGCGCCACGGACAGCCGCTCCCGTCACGGCGCCGCCGTCGACGCCCCTCACAGCACATGTCGACTGACCGCCTTGTACCGTCTCCCGCCTTGCCGCTCTGTCGCTTCCACAGTCAATCGTCATGTCCGCCCCCGCTGAGACTGCCCCCGTCGTCGTCGACGAGACCAAGGTCGAGGAGCCCGTCGTTGCCGCTCCCGCCGAGACCAAGGTCGAGGAGACCACCGAGGCCCCCGCCGCTACCGTGAGTTGCAGTCTGCTGCTGCCTGCCCTGAGCTCGCTCCGTTCTGGACACACGCGCTGATTCGCTGATTTTTACCGTGAACTCTCCGTCGCCACTCCACCCGCAGGCCGAGGCTCCTGCTGCCACCGAGGCTCCCGCCGCTGCCGAGCCCGTCGCCGAGACCAAGGCTGAGGAGGCCACCCCCGTCGCCGCTGCCGAGACGTGAGTGTTCGTTGAGGCAAGGTACGCTTGAGGGCAACGTGAGATTGCAGTCACACTGACGCGATATCTCCTTTGTTGCTTGTCTTGGCTCATCTGCAGTGAGGCCGAGCCTGTCGCTGCCGCCACCGCCGCCGCCCCTGCCACTGAGGAGACCACCGAGGAGGCCGCCAAGGAGGAGGTGACCACCCCCAAGAAGGAGAAGCGCCAGTCGCTCTTCGGCAAGGTCATCGGCCTCTTCAAGGAGAAGACGTAAGTGTGGCGCCGCAGCACGTAACACCGACGCACCGCGGGCGATCTTCGTCTCGGTCTCACAGACGGCTAAAGGCAACCCCACCTCACCCCCCTGCCCACTTCCGTCCATCACCAACAGCGCCAAGAAGGAGAAGGCTCCCAAGGAGGAGGCCGCTGCCCCCGTCGCCGAGACCACTGAGGCTGCTGAGGTCACTGAGGCTAAGGCCGAGGAGACCCCTGCCGTCGCCGAGGAGTCCCCCAAGGTCGAGGAGGCCCCTGCCGCTGCCGCTGCCGCCCCGGCTGAGGCCGCCGCCGAGCCCGTCGAGGCTCCCGCCGTCATCGAGGCCGCCCCTATCACTGAGGAGGCCGTCAAGATCGACGAGGCCGCCAAGAAGCAGGACTCTCCCACTCCCACTCCTGCGCAGCGCGAGAAGCTCGGCCGCCGCCTGAGCGGACGCGTCGGCGCCCTCTTCCACAAGAAGAAGTCGGACGAGGCCAAGCCCGCCGCCGCTGCTGAGGAGGACAAGCAGGAGGAGACCGCCACCGAGGCCGCCCCCGCTGCCGAGGAGAAGGCCGCCGAGACCGAGGAGACGAAGGCCGAGGAGGAGGCCAAGCCCGCTGCCCCTGCCCCCGTCGTTGCCGCCGTCCCCGCTGCCGCACCAGAGGCCTCGGCGCCCGTTGCCGCCGCCGCCTAAGCGGAGACCGAGGTCCGACCTGTCGACTCGACTCTTCGATCCCGATCGCGATCCGATTGCATCCTAACGACGACAACCCAGCAGCTTTTCACGACGATTCCTTCACGGTCATCCAGCAGCCAGCAACCTCGCATAATATTCCCCGCGCCTTTGGCACCACCGCTATTCCACCTCGCCGCCGACATGCGCGCAACCATATACGGCTCAAAGAATACCCCATTCTTGTCGCTGCCCCCCTTCGGTCAGCCGGCATCGCCTTCTCCGATTTCGCCAGTCCATAGAGATGACTAGGTCTGCGCCCGTGCCGTCAAAGCGCGCGAAAGCCGCATCGCTTTGCACGCGCCGGCACAGCCCTGGCCAGTCAGCCCCACCCTCTCACCTTCCACGTCGCATATATCCCTCCTGCCCTCGCTTTCGTCGTCTAGGCCACACGTCAGGCTCCACCACGGCCGACACGCGCCTCACCTCGTGTCGGTGTCGGATCGCCTTGACGGTCTGGAGGCAGCGCGGCGCCCTGAACCAGGCACGGTTCTCGGGAGCCCTTGTTGGCTCTCTATCTCACCTTCTCGCGTTGGTGGTCAAACCTTTTTGTCCTTCTCGTAATACCCGGCTTCCCCTCGCGTCTTTCCCGACCCATCGAAAACCGTGCCGTCGTTCCCTACTCCTCCTCCCTCTCTCGCTCTCTGTCCCCATCCGTTTCCCCTCCAAGCCTTCTTATCTTATCCCCCGCGTTACCCTGCCCACCTCACGTTGATCCTCTCGACCCGAGCGCATCGCATGACCTTGACGACCCTTTGTGCCTGGCGTTCTTTTTGAACGCGTCTGTTCGATATCATCGTCGCTGGCCCGAAGCAGCCGCTGTCTCCGAGCCGCTCCAGGCTTCAAGGCCCCTCGAGCGATCGGCGATCAGGCAGGCAGGCAGGCAGGCAGGCAGGCAGGCAGGCAGGCAGGCAGGCAGGCAGGCAGGCAGGCAGGCAGGCAGGCAGGCAGGCAGGCAGACCCACGGGCAGGCAGGCAGACCCACGGGCAACCATGCACGCACGCAGGCATCTATCTAGCCTCTCCCTCTCGACGCACGCTCATCACAGAGGCAGTACGCGCATCCAAGATGGGGTGGGTTAGCGTGGTGCTCTTCCTTGCTTCGTCGGGCGACGTTGAGAGTACAGTTGTGAAGCGCGAGCGAGCGAGTATGACGAGACGGAACGCGGGGTGGGCAAGGGGGCAGAAGAGAGTGGGATACGAGAAGAGAAGAGAAGAAAACCAAAAGCGGGGAGAGAGGGCATGCCGTCGATGGTTCGATGACAGTGTCGCCGTTGAGGTCGTTGCTGTTGTCGCGAATCGATGACCATGATGGTGAAGGTGAAGGTGAGGGACACCGACGACGGCGACGGCGAGAGAGGCGGCCAATGGCGGCCGCGAGCGAGGTAGAGCCAAAAGGAAAAGGTATGGCGGATGGAAGAGGGGGAAAGGGGTCAGGGCGAACGGCAAATGGTATCTAAGAAGTACAGGTCGATGTGACTTTGGTGAAGGGCGATGCGGGTGACGGTGGCGAGCAGTGGAGGCAAGAAGGCAGAGAGGGCTGACGGAATCGGGCGGGCAGGAAGGCAGGAACGCGGTTGAGCGGCGACGGGGTGGGAAAGCAGAGAGCCGGGGCATGATCAGGAGCCGGCCTCGGCTGGCGGCAGCTGGAGCTCGCCGATGTCCTTCAACCCCTCGGACGCCCGTCGCTTCTTGCTGCCTTCGCCGCCGAGCTGGCCGAGCGCCGACGTGTTCTGGCCGGGCGCCTGGTTGGTAGGCTCCACTAGTGGTGTGTAGCTGAACCACGTCGAATCGGCCGGGCTGGGCATCTCGATGCCGCCGCCGCCACCGCTCGTAAAGGGGCTGCTGGACGTCGTCGTGCCGAAATCGCTCGGCGCAGATGGCGTCTGTCCGCTCGTGCCGCTGCCTGACGCCCCCGAGCCGCCGCCTGGTTGCCCTGGCATTGGCGTGCCCCCAAAGGACCCATAGGGCGACCCGGCACCGAAGCCCGCAAACTGGCCAAGGCTGCTGGTGCTGCCATTGCCTCCCCCGGTGGCGCTGCCGCTGTTGTTGCTCGACTGGTTCTGCAGCAGCGTGTATGCGCCCGGGATGCTGCCGCCAAAGGGATGAGGCGCGTTTTGGAAGTCGAAGGGCGATCCCATGCCCATGCCCTGCTGGCCGCCGAGCCCGAGGTCGCCGCCGTTGCTGCTGACCAATCCGGCGAACCCTTCAAAGAGGGCCGAATAGTCGGCACTGTCGAGTGGGCCAAAGTCGCCCATGCCAGATTGCTGATTCGAACTCGATGCGGGGAAGGGCATCGACTGGGGCCCGCCGAGGTGTGCAACACTCTGGGCCGCGCCAAGGGGCTGCTCGGCACTGAAAAAGCCCAGCCCGGAGAAATCGGCTCCAGACATGGCGGGCAGCTGAGAGGGTGCGCCAGACATCATGTCTGCGCCGACATTTTGGCCCCCGCCGCCTTCCTGCTTGAGCTGGAGATTGGGTTGGGTGTCGTTGCCGGTGCCAGCCGTGCCCAACATACCGCCCTGCGATGGTTGTGCCATGGGCATCTGCGGCGCATCTGACGAGACGTTGCCGACACCATTGCCGTTGTTGAAATTGCCACCACCGCTGTTGGCGCCCGTAGGATCGGAGCCGATGCCTTGGTTGCTGCCGTAGACTAGTCCCTCGCCGAATCCGAAGTTGCCATACGAGTTCTTGAGATGCCCGGACGGCGTCGAGTTAAGCCCAAGGCCAAGCGGCGACGTGCGGTGGCTGTGATTCTGGTGCGTGTGAGAGTTCTGGATCATGTAGGGCGGGTTGGGCGTATGGCCAGCCGCAGAGCCGCCGAACTTGGCGCTGACGGTCCGTACGGGCGATCCGTGGATGCTGCTAGGACCGGCGCTTGCGGCGCGGCTGTGGCTGTTGTTGTTCTTGACGACGTTTGCGACGCGCCCCGTCTTCCATGCCTCCTGGGCCTCGGCGCTCAGCGTCCACCAGCTACCCTTGCCCGCCGCGCTGCTGGGCCTCGGCACCTTTATGAAGAGGTTGCCCTTGATCGAGAGAGTCGACTTGATGCGGTTCTTGACGCGAGCCTCCCAGTCCTTGCCAAAGGCCCACTCGCGGATCTCTGGAAACTTGGCGCACATGCCCTCGAAGAGATCCTGGATGACCAGTCGGCCGCTCTCGCTCTCGGCGATGGTCTGGCAGATCATCTCGCTCCAGTTGAGGCGCTTGCCCGTGATGGCGCTGGCGGCGACGCGCGAGTTTCCGCCGGGCGTCGAGGTGCCCGTCCCGGGTAGCCGTCGAGGCGTGGCTCCGGGCGAGGATGCGGCACTGTTGGGCATGCTCATCGAGTACTCGGAGAGGGCGGAGCTGAGCGCGTGCGGGTTGAGATGGGCGGGAAGGGCGGCGGCGCCCCCTGTGGCGGCGAACTGAGAGAGCTGCGCGTTGGCGTATGCCAAGGCCGAGGCTGTATACGCGCCCGAAGGAGACCCGGGCGCCGTCATCGACTGGCCGGCATTGGGCTGCGACATGTGCGGTGGTCGATTGGAGCCCAGAGCCGGGCTGTTGGCCCCGGACCCAGGAAAGGACATGGTGGTGTTCATGTCCATAGCTCTAGCACCCCCTGTGCCAGAGATCGCCGCTGGTTGCGAAAGTGACAAAATCTTTGCCGGCGCGCGCGCGCGGGTGGAAGAAGGCGGGGCAGAGGGGGGTTTGCGGAGCAAAGGATCGGATGCGTTCCGATGGGGCGTGGCGGTGCTCGATCGAGACCCGCCAGTCGAGGTCCGGCGAAATGAGGATTTAGGGAGCTTCGGCGCAGCCGGATAGGCTCAAGGTTGGTGCAAAATGGAACGGCGCGCCGAAGAAGGGCTTTCCTGGCTGCAGCGGTCTTTCGAAAGCCGGTTGAGATCCGACTGGTGAAGGGATGGAGGCTCGATCCAAGCGCGGTAGGAATCACAAGGAGGCGAGCGGGCGACAGGTGACCAGATGCGGGTGTCGCCTCGATGTGTCGCAAGCCCACAGATCAGCCGGAGGGATGTGGCGCGTCGTGTCAAGAAGCGATGCGGCGTTCAATCGACGCGGGCGCTGAGCGGTGTCGGTGTCGTGGAGCTGCGATCTTTGGCGGACTAAGCGGGATCTGCGTACGAGTGGCTAGCTGGATGTGTCTGGACTCGGGGAACGTGGCGCTAGCGGGGGGCACGGCTGCTGGAGACGAGTGGTGCAGCCAGCGGGCGGCAGAGATGTGCGCGTCAAAGAGGGCCCGCCTGGTCAGGGATGGTGATCGTTGTTGCGGACGGATGCCACGTTGCTTTGGGGGCCGTGGGCAAGGATGCGGCCGTGGCCGTCTATCGGGCTGCGAGCGGGTGGCGACGAGTCGGTAGTCGACGGGAAAAGGCGACCGGCGCAAAAGTGCGGTGGCGGATGGGGTGGCGCGGGTACCAAAGGAAAGGAAGGACCTTGGCCGCGGTGTGCCAGCCAGGCTCAAGAGGGTGTTGGTTGAAGGCGAAAGACGAGCGAGGGGATGGTTGGGTTGATTGGCTGGTTGGCTGGTTGGTAAGTTGGTTGGTTGGTTGGTTGGTGGTGGTCGAATGGCGGTGGTCGATTGGCGGGATGGGGTTGGTTGATTGAGGCGCGGAGAGGGAGCGACGACAGAGAGGATCCGGATGTAGGCAGGATGCGGCAGACGCCAGAGCGTGACGACGACGTCAAGCAGAGAGAAGCCGTGCGGCGCGCGGCCCAAAGGCAGGCAGGCCAGAGGCAGGCTGCTTGCTTGCTGCTTTCAAGCGCGGAGGGGCCGAGGCCGGGTCAGGCCACAGGCTGGCCGGCCTGGCGCGGCGAGCAAAGGGCTCCGCCTGGCCTGGCCTGGCCTGGCCACGCCCGTAGCCTGGCTGTTTAAGCGGCGACGGCGGCCGGCGTGGCTAGGCCAAGCGGGAGCCTACGTACAGTCAGGCCCCTCGCAGCCTCAGTCCCAGCCAGCCCCAGGCCTCACCTCGGCAGCAGAGGAGCGGGCCGACGCGCCCTTGGCCTGGCCCGGCCTCTGGACCACCCGCCCTGCCTGCCTGCCTCTTTGGCTCGCGCTGCGCCAAAGTCCGATCGGCCAGCCTCCCCGATCTGTCCCCTTCGCTCGCCCTGGAGGCTGTGGTGCCGCCCCACCAGAATGCTTTCGCCGTCCCTCACAAAGTCGTGGGCAGGGGGGTAATGATGTGAACGTGTACGGTGCACATCGAGATGGTTGCCGCGACTCGGCTGCTTCGGATTACATAGCTGGCATTGCGGGGTGGGTGGGTGAGCAGGCAGCGTCCGAACGCCTGAGCGTCTGCCTCTCTTTGCCATGCTTGCTTGCTTGCTGCTGAGCTGGCCGGGCTGCCTGCCTGTGACCCTGCACCTTTACCCACCTTGCGTGCTTTTGGGCTGCTCCACATGAGACGTGGGGCAAGGTGGGGGGCCCTACACAAAAGCGGGGTCGAAAGCCATCGCAACGGAGCAGGGCCAAGCGATCGGTCCCAACGACCAGGCTAGGGGTCCCCGCCAGGCCCCCTGGCCGTTTCCAAGCACCCGCCAAGAAGAGAGCTGGTCGGTGCCTACAGGCAGGCCTCTTGGTTGGCCTGGGTCGCACTCCAACGCCGCCGTCGACAACAAGCAAGGTGGGCCCCTTTCTAGCCCCTCGCTCAGTCGATACACATACGCACACACACAGAACAAGGATCGTGTGCAATGGTCCAGAGTTGCGTCCGGGGCCGTACATCTCGTCTGCCTGCCTCTCTGAGAGACGCCATGGTCGTGATCCAGGCCAGGCCGATGGACACAGCATCATCGCGTGGCCAGGCCATCAAAACCGCCCGCGGGCTGCCGCCAACCCGCTGCCGCCTCCGCAGGGGCCGGATCTCGGCGACTTTTGTCAAAGGGGCGGGTGAACCCTGCCTGGCTCACATTGCGCTCGGGCCGGGCAATGGGCCGCCTCGCCCCCGCTGGGCCTCACACAGATTGCTCAAGAGTGTCGGGTGGTGGCATGTCGAATCCTCTCCCTTCCTCGTAACTCGTCGACAGCCGCGAATGACAAGGTCAACGTCCGTTCAAAGCGCCCGCTTGTGGGCGCAGAACCAGGCGACGCGCTCAATCAGAGCGGTACAGGTCGCCGTGTCGAGCCTCTCGCCCACCGGCGGGACGTGGAGGAACATGACATCCGTCTTCTTCCTCCCGCTCGATGCCGCCGCCCGCTCCGCCTCGCACAGCGAGGCGTACAGGATGAATTCGCACAGGTACAGGCCGGCATCCGTCGACGGCTTCACATCCTGGTCCAGACGTAGGACAGGCAGGGCCAGAGTCGGAAGCGATGGGAGGTCAGCGTTGATCGTCAAGGCAGGTGACGCTGCTCTGCTGGCAGGGCTCCACCACGCCCACACTCACTTCAAAGCCCTGCTGCTTGAGCCATGCCACGAGGCCGTCGACGTCGACCGGAGTCTTTTGCACCTCGTCGAACTGCTCGTAACCCCGTCCGAACCCTCTGACCTTGCCGTCCCTTGCCGAAAGCGAGGAAGAGATGGCCTTTTCGGTCTCCTGAGGCGCAACGTCCTCTGCGCGGCCGGCGACACCGTCCACGAGCGGCGGAAGACAGTCGCCAGCGTCGGGGAGGTGGTAGCCCGTCTTGTGGGCCAGACTCTCGCACTCCAACCCACCTCGAGCGCCCACGCCCACGTGGAGGATGACATCCCAGGCCTCGCCTTGGCCCTGGGGCGGCTCGATGGCATAGCCCTCGGGGTAAGGCTTGCCCTCTTCGCCCGCGAGACCCGAAGCAGAATCGCAGCGTGCGTCGAACCAGAGCTTGGCATCGGGCGAGTAAGGCGCAGAGGCACCGTGGAGTCGGGGTAGCGTGTCGAGGACATGTCCATAGTGGACCGGAAGCTGAATGCATTGGATATGCGCCTGCGCCTGCGCCTGCTGAGGCTCACCCACGTTCGATGTCGAGCTTTGGCGAGGCGTTGCAGTCGCCAGTCCGGACGGCGATGAAGGAGGCTGAGATAGGTCGAGACGTCGATTGTGCAGGGGCTTGACGGCTAGCCAGGATGGGTTGTTGACCACCGACCGGAACGGCTGCGTATGACGGGAACAGGGAGACGCGGCAGGAGAACGAGCCTGTCAGAGTCAGTCTTCCTGACCCCAGACGGCTTCCGCCCTTCTACGGCAGGCAAAGGGGATGCAAGCTTACCCCGTATCCAGTGACGAGCACCTTGATTTCCTTTGCCGGCGTGGGTGCCATCGTGATCGTCGATGAGGCTGTCGTGGTACTTTGCTCTGCAGCGGAATGGTGGCAAGGGGAGATAAAAGAAGCCCGCTAGGGTATTGCCGACCGGGCGCCCTTTTATCTGGACGTGGCGGCTGTAACGGCGCGTCCGTGCCACCGGCGGTCGACAGTAGTCTGGCAGGGCGAATTCATCTTGGCATTAAGATTGTGGGCCGACAATGGTCTACCGACGGCGTCGGTAGACCAACTCTGTTGCGAGCCGTGCAGACCGGTGGCACGCCTACATACGGTACCGGTGGCAGCAGTCAAGAAGGTGATTCGGTGAGCAAGGCACGCGGCTGCTTTCGGCTGGCGTCGGTCCGCAAGCGAGAGGAGATGGAGCACACGAACAGTTGCAAAGGGCAAGACAAGACGCGGGGTCGCGGGGTCATACAACAAACAGGAAACGTCGTCGCCGCCTGACCTAGGGCCGGCCCTCGTCGTCCGAGTCGAGCATGTGCGCGTAGTCCTCGGCGCTGGCGAACATGGGCAGCGCCTTCCTCTTCTTCCGCCTCGAGCTCGACGTCTCGCCATCGGCGCCACGCTTCTTGCCGCCTTTTGCGGACCGCCTTCCGGCCGCCTCATCCTCATCCTCCTCGTCGTCGTCGTCCGAGCCTTCGAACTCGGCAAACGGAATGAGGTCGTCTTCGTCCTCTTCGAAGACGTCTTCGCCGTCGCTGACATCGCCTGCCGCGGCGGCACCCTCGCCTTCGTCCGAGTCGGAGAACTCCATGCCCTCGAGCACTTGCGGACCATCGTCGGAGTCGGATCCGGAACCTGCATCCGAAGCTGCCTCGACGAGTCCCTTGATCTCGCGCTCGGCTTCGCTGTCGGCATAGTCGAACTCGTCGTCGTCGTCGTCGTCATCATCGTCTTCGCCGTCGTCATCGGCGTCGCCGCCGACATCGCTGTCATCCAGGCCCGCCAGGTCCTGCTTGCCCGGCATAGAAGCCTTCATGGCCTTCCAGATCTCCCTCTCCTCCGGATCGCTCTCGTCATCGGAAGAGGGCAGTCCTTCCTCGAGGTTGGCGCCCGCGTCTTCCTTCTTGCTCGTCTTCTTCTTGCGTCCTGCAGTCTCCTCGTCGAGATCGGACAGAGCAACGTTGTCCTCGTCGTCGTCGTCGAAGCCAGCCCTGCGGGATGCGGCGTCGGGCTTCTTTGACTTGAGATTGAAGAACTGGTGGAAGAAGAGCTGGTCGACGGGTACAGCCTCGGCGCTCCTGTTCCAGAACTTGGCGTCGTTGACGTAGCTCTCCTCGTCCATGCCGTGGTCGCGGGACCGGGTGACGGCCTGACCCGTCTGGGCCGTCCCGGCGGCCGGCTGCATGATGCTGACTCCGCGGCTGGCCGCCTTGGTTTTGGGGTTGCGGTAGACGAAGCGGTCCAGGAAGTGGGAAAGCGTGTTGAGGCTCAGGTCGGCGGTCGAGGTGATCGTCTGCGATTGAAGAAGCTGCGAGGCGTGCAGCGCCACTGACGGGTGGAAGTGGTGCAGCAGCGGCACAACGTCCCACAGGCAGGAGACGCCCGCGTTGGCGAAGCGCGGGTCGCGCTTGCGCCCCGCATAGCCCTTGGAAGCCGCCTGCTTGGCAGCTGACCCGCCGGCCTTGCCGCTGGCTCCTCGCGCGCCCTCGTCCGCGACCTCCTCGTCGCTGTCCGCCACATCCCTGAAGTTCTCCTCGTCGTCGTCTTCGGGATCGTTGAGCATGGTGCGGAGACCCGGCTGGCGCTGGAACAGGCGACCGAGCAGGAAGAGGCAGCCGCAGATGAAAGGCGGTTGATGCTGCGAGACGACCTGGCAGATCCTCTTGACGAAAGCCTTCGTGCGGTCCAGCTCCTGGTCGGCCTTGAGCGCCTGGAAGAGGAGGTTGAGGTACATGGCTTGCTTGCTCGACGTCTCGAGGCGCGGGTCGAAGAGGCTGTCGTACAGGACGCGGTAGAAGCGGTCGGTGATGGCCGTGGTGCTGAGCGAGACGCCCGAGTCCGGCGAAGGGTTGCTGATGGTGAGCTGGAAGATGAGCTGCAGGGCTTGGATGCAGATGTTGAAGGTGCCCGAGTGGGTGATGCGGAAGAGGGTGGCGATGTGCTTCTCAAACACCTCGGCGTCCACCTTGGCAAAGGGAAAGGCTCGACGAACACCGGCGAGGATGGCGGCCATCATCTTGGCGTCGGCGTCGACCACAGCCTTCGGCTCCGTGACGGCGGCCTTGCCCTTGCCCTTGCCCCTGCCCTTGCCCTTCGGCTTGCCTTTGCCCTGGCCCTTCTTGCCGTCGCGCCATCGGCCCTTGTCCTTCTTCTTGGGCTCCTCGCCTTCTTCTCCCTCGGCCGGTCGTTGCTCTTCCCTGCCTCCAGAGGCCGCCTCCGACTCTCGCAATACGCCTTCAAAGAGGTCAAAGTAGAGAAGGATCAACTGGTTGGCCGTCTCCACGTCGCGCACGGTAAGGACCGTCTGGTTGAGCGTGAGGACGCCATAGTAGCGGGCATGGGCATTGTGGCTGTGCGTGACGTTGCCATCCTTGTCCGTGTAGGAGGCGGACGGCTTGAGGACCAGGTTGGCCACCTCGCGGACGACGATCAACTTCATGGCCGGGTGGGCGGCGAGCAGCTCGAGCAGATGGTTGCTCGTCTTGGACGCCACGCTCCGTTCCGAGTCTCCGAGCTTGTTGACCAGCAGGCGCAAAAGATTCTGCTCCTGCTCCGGCTTGTCCCTCAGCAGCACAAAGATCTGCGTCACCGCCTGCTTGCGCACGAACGCGATGGGATCCTGCGACTGCACCTCGAGGATCTGCAAGAAGGTAAAGTAGTACTTCTTGAGGTAGTCCTCGAACGCCCACAGCAGCAGATGTGCCCGCGCCGCCTGCTGGGCCGCTGCGTCGGGGGAGCTGAGCGACTTGGACGCGGCTGCGAGTTGCGGCTGGTCGCGGAAGTAGAAAAGCTTGCGATCGCTCAGACCGCCGCCGCCGGCGAGCCAGTCAGCCAGCGCACGCGTGGTCTTGCCCGCCTCCTCTCTGCTCTTCTTGCGCGCCATGTTGAGCATCGAGTCCATCGCCCGCACGTTGTGCACCGGACTGCTCTGCACCAGCAGCGTCAGCGCCGAGATGCGGTCCGACAGCGTGCCGCCACCTTCGGACGACAGCAGGGTGCGAACGAAGCGAGCATCAGAGGCCGAGAGGGTGCCAAGGCTGCCGCCAGCACTCGACAGTGCGGTCTCGGAGCCGGTGATCTCCTCGTAGGCGCGGTTCTCCTCGTTCATCAGCTGCGTGCCGAGCTCGAGGAGTTCGGCGATCCTCTCGTTTGTCAACGGCTCGGCAGAGCTCTTTTTGGTCTCCGTGGCCGAGGTCGATGGAAGGGTCGGCAAAATGGCCTTGTACCATTGCGGCGCTGGCTCCAGTCGCAGCGAAGTACTGCCGCTCGCCTTCGCAGCTGACGCAGCCTGGGCGACGCCGTCGTCGTCGAACGTCATGCGCTTGCCCTTGAAACCATTTTGCTTCGGCTCGTCCAAGCTTGGTCCAGACGGCTGCGGTGCCAATTCTGGCTGCCTCTGCTCGGCCTTCTTCTTGTTTTGAGGCCTTTCCTTCGAGACTGCCGCGTCGCGCTTCTTGGCAGCCTCGATTCCAGCTGCAACGTCGGTAGAGGCGATGTTCTGCTGCTTTTTGTCCTGCTTCTGCTTAGTCTCCTTTGCTTTGGCGGCGCCATTGGGCGTGGCGGCGGCGGCAGCAGCCTTGGCCTTGACCTTCGGCTCGGGTGCGGACGGATCCGACTGGAGCTGCTTGAGGAAGGAGGCAACTTCAGACGAGATTCCAGCCTATAGAGCGGGGAGGATTAAGCGCCGAAGCGTGACGTGTCAGCACCCGGTGGGCCTCGAGCAGCCGAGCCTGGTCCTCGACTACGGTCACATTGCCGCCTCGGCGCCGTTTGGTAGACTTACAGCATCGAGGTCCTCATCGCCTTTGCCCTTGCCCTTGCTGGCCTTCTTTACGAGTTCGAGGTCCTCGGCCGACCCCCCAAAGCCCTGGATCTCTCTCAGGAGCGTCTCATCGTCAACGCTCTCCTCTGAGTCGTAACCTCCGGACTGGACCTTTTGCTGCTTCTTCTGCTTCTTGAGCGCAGTCTTGGTCTGCGACGATGTCGCCGCAGGACTGTTGGTATCTGCCTGGGTCGCACTGGGGTGGCTCTCTGGCTTGGTGGATGCGGGTCGCGGAGCGGCAGCAGCGGGCGCCTTTGCCTTCTTGTCCTTGGGTCGGAAGTCTCTGGCCATGACGAAGCGAGCGATGCGTGTTGGTCGGGGTTGATCGCTTCTGAGAGTGACCCTTGCGCCGCGAATCCTTTGAGCTGCGCAGAACTTCTCCGAAAGGTTGCGGGGATCAAGCAAGATGGGCGTAGGGGCGGATGAGGGAATGGGGGAGCAAAGGTGAGGTGGACCTCCATCACCAGCAGCTTGCCTGGACGCGCAGCCCCTCGCCCAACCCAGCCACGAAGGACGGGCCGGGGAAAAAAAATTCGTGGCCGTGGCCTGCATGGCCGGCAGTCCCAGCCTGCCCGCTCCCGAGTTCCGCGTCTTTGCTGGCGCCCAATCCTCCACGCTGCCTTACATGTCACGCCCCCGAAGGCTTCCGTGGCCGGTCAGCTCCGCCACGCCGGATGCCTTTGCAAACGCAACCCTTCTCCTCTCTTCACACTCAGACTGCCGTCGCCTCGGGGAATGGTTGCCAGTGTGTGCGTTTCAAGAGTACAGTCGACATTGCGTGAAAGCGTCGCAAAGTGTCGCGGCGAGGAGCAGCCCCACGTCGGTCACGGGGTCACGGCCTCGCCGCACTCAGAGCCCACCTTCAGCCTGCAGCGCTTTCGGGGTAGTTTACAGGTGTCACAGTGTCTCGTCATTTTGGTTGGTTGGTCGGTAGTGTGTGCGTATGTGCGGTGCGCAGGTGCGAGGAATGCATAGGGAGGGAGGGGGAGGTGGGACAGAGAGAGGGATCGAAAGGGGGAAAGGGGGCGGCTTGGAGACGTTGCTTAGACGACGGTACCGGCGTTGGACGCGATACGGGGCCAGATGTCGGCGCACTCCTTGGCGACCGGGCCGGTAATGGCCGATCCCTTCATCTCTCCCTTCGGGTTGACAATGACACCGGCGTTGTCTGCACGGCAGGGCGACGACAAGGAGGGAAAGGAGGACAAGAAATGACCAGCAGCAAGTGTCAGCAGCTTGGTCAAGGACGACGTTTTCAGCCGTGCCCCGCAGCAGACTCACCCTCGAAGTAGAGGAAGACACCGTCGCGCCTGCGCCACGGCTTGCGCTGGCGGATGACAACGGCGGGCATGACTGTGAAGAGATGGCGGAGACGGAACGAGGGCGTTGTCAGCTTAACAGGAGTCGTAGCTTGGATCGGGCAACGTGGTCCCTCCTCCAGATCGAGCCAGACCAGCGCCGAAAAGGAGCCCAGAGCCATAGAGCCCGCCGGTCCGTCCAGCCGAACTCCATCGTTTGGCATCTCCATGACAGGAGCCCATCTGGACCAGTCCCAGGTCAAGTCTCAGACTGACGAGGCCAGGGCTTTCCCGCCCTTCAAGCCTTGCCTCGCTCCGCAGTTGCAGCTTGCCAGAAGCCAGCCACTGGCACGCGGGTGCTCGGCCCGAAGGAGCAGCTCCAAGGACACGCAACGTCTCGTTCGGCCTCCGCCAGTGGGCCCAGGGTCCATGGCCCAGCCCAGGATCTTGCAGCATTGTCGCGGATGCTGACAACTTCGTGGCCTTCCCTGCATCCACTATGGTCCTCGCGCCATTGCGTCGATGCCGTGGTGATGCCAGCAGCCTGGCAACATGGATGACCATGAATCACCCGCTGTGCCGTGATCCCGTTGTGATCGTCGCGGCTGGCCGGATCGGATTGGCGGGAACGGTCCTTCCGCGCCGCCATTCCCAGCTAGGCGAGCAAGATGCTTACCCTTCTTTCGCAGCTCGGGCTTGCCCTTCTTGACGGAGGCGACAACCATGTCACCGGCGGCAGCGGCCGGGAGACGGTTAAGACGAGCACCGGTACCGAACACGGCGATGACGTAGAGGTTCTTGGCTCCAGAGTTGTCGGCGCAGTTCATGACCGCTCCAACGGGGAGGGCAAGCGACATGCGGAACTTGGTACCAACGGCAGCCTTGGACATCTTGAAGGACTGCGAGGGCGGAGGATGCGGCGATGGCGGTAATGGTGTGGAGATGGGTTGAAAAGGAATGATGGGCCGAGTTGAAGGCGAGACACACGAGACGGGTTGGTGAAAGTCGAGACCAGATTCGAAGAGCAAGTCGAGAGGATAAGGATCAGGGAAGAAGCGCAAAACAAGTCGCAGGTTCAAGGTCGAAAGTCAGATGGGTCTGGCTTTCGGCAGTTGGTGGATAAAGCAGCTCTCCTCGCGATTGTCGGCTGGATACAGCGCTCTCGTCCAGGGCAACGTAACAGGGTGACTGCGGCGGGAGCCATGGTGCCGCACTCCTACGGCCGGCTGGGACGTGGTCGTGGGTTGCAAGGCCCGAAAGAGGTTGAATGAAGGCTGTTTCGGTGGACCAGCCGTTCGAGAGACTGGTCGTGATTCTCCTGAAAGTGCTCAGAAAGTCGTCGGCCAAGTCGTCGCCAGGTGGTGATTGCCGATTCGTCGACTAGTCGGTCGAAGATCGTCGATTTTTCCACGCCGCGGAGCCGGTCCGAGCAAACGTGTCTGCTCCTGGACGAGAGCGACGTATCCAAAGCGACAGCATGCTTCCTTTCGGCGAACGATACTCACCTTGAAGGGGTGTGGGTGATGTTAGTGGTAGGGGATCGTGGGTTGGCGGACAGGGCAGGAGAGGAACCGATCGCCCCCTGGCGCAGGCCGGGCTCCGTCGGCCAGGCGAGCCCCCTCGTGCTGCCGCCGCGCCCACTCTATCGCCCGCCGTGATGCGCTGCGCTGGGCCGAGCTGGCACCAGTGTGCCCGCCTCGACCCGCGGCCGTCCTTTGGGCCGGGTGAAAAAATCGCAATCTTCCCTTTCGGAACCGACCGAGCGCACTGAAGCGCTGCGAGGGATTTGGAAAATGGAAAACTTCGGCCGAGGCACGCGTGACCAGCTCTGCAGGCGTTAGGCTTCAACTGCTGGCGATCTCCACCTGCCTCACCATTTGGCCAGCTCTCCCCATACCGTCGCCACCTTGCCACATCAATAATCTTAGAGCCCTGTCGCCATACCCGGTCGACGCGATCATGAGGGGTAACAAAGCGTGTGCATATGCAGCATGCTCTGTCGAAGCCGAGCCTGGGCCCCTGGCCTCTGTGCAGGTCAGAGCCGATCACCTGGCCACCTCGCGTTAGGCCCACCGCAGCCACTCGTACGAGTCAGGCTGGATCTCTGAACCCCCTCGCGGAGCCGAGAAAGGCGGTAGTGGCCGACAGCATGCGCGCATGCATGACAACACTTACCCCGCACTGCTATGCCGCCGCCGCGGCTTGAGCTGTGATGCAGGGTCCTAGACGAAGGCGGGCCGATCTGGCAGCTGGCTGGCCCACGCAGAGCCAAAGTCGCAAGGGCAGATAGAGGGCAGAGGCAGATCAGGAGGCTCCCCCGCTGCCACAACGTGGAGGAGGACCCACCCACGCTCCTTTCCCTCCTCCGTGCCAATCCCCAAACCACGCCGCCCCTCAGAAACCATATCAGGCTTGATGTGAACTAGCACGTCCAGCGCTGGTCTTCAGCCGTTTCAAGGTCGGAGCACAAGTCAATTGGCCATCAGCGCCCACGGGCATCTTGGATCTTCTGCCTCATCGCCCAACGCCCTCTGTTCCGCCGGCACCATGCTCTCTGATCTGCCCCTCGAGCTGCAGGCCTACATCCTCACCTTTCTGCCTTCGCGAACCTTGGCAAGGACGCTCAACAGCGCAAATCGCCACTTCAACACCCTCGTCGACGCTCACCTCCGCCGCTCCATCCAACGCCTGCTCGCCGTCGGCGCTTACGCCCACACTGCTGCGTCATCCGAGGGCATAGTCCTCGAATTTGAGGCACAGAGGCCCATCGACACCGTAACTGCCAAGCACACGCTCCATTTCAGCGGCTTTCAGGATGGTCCAGACGCCCGCACCACCATCGCTCACCCCACAGAAGCGGCAGACCAAGCTGCGACCCCAAAGGTAGCCGCCAGCCGCGCCATCTTCTCCTTTTCCGAGTCGGTCCAGAGCGAGCTGGCAGGACGAGCGGCCCTCAGCCCAGAGCAAAGGTACGATGAGCAGCGCAGGTTCAGCGGCAATGCCTTCCAGCCCTTCATGCCCGTCATCCACCGCGACGACGTCCACCGCCTCAACCCGGGCATTGCCACGAGCTCGGTCAACGCTCGCCATCGCCTGCAAAGCCGCCCCGCGGCGGACGACGAAGGACAAGGCGTCCAGCATCCAGCCACAGAGGGCCATAGACCAGCGCCATCTCCTCACGTCCATCCTGCTCCAAGCGCACCCGAAGCTCGCTCGGCAGGACGTGGCTTCAGCACCACGCCCGTGACAACCAGCGCTCCACGCGACACAAGCACCCTCCAGAGCCTCGAGATGCCGCTCGACGCCTACGACTGGCAGGGCCCCTCTGGTGCGTCGCCGCGAACCTCGCTCGCCGCCGCCAACCTACATCCCTCGCTCGGGAACAAGCCTGCATGCTACGCTTTCCAGCTGGATCCGCTCGACAGCTTCGAAAGCTTGATCCTTACGCTCAGCGCGCGCAAATGCATTCCGGACCTTGCGGCGGCCTACACTGGCCGAACCAGCGGCAGGAGAGTGAGATACCAACGCACCGTAGCAGAGGGACTCGACAGGGTTTTCCGAAGCTTTTTCGAAGCGCCGCCTCCGACGCCACAGCCGTCCTCCCCGTCATCCGGCCCTAACCCCGCCGGCCCAAGAGGAGACCCCAGCGTCGCTTCGTCGGCGCAGCTTCACGACGCCGACGAGGCGTTTGCTTCCATGTCGGCGCTCATGTCCACCTTCGGCCCCATCAATCGGTTCCGCCCACAGACGAGCGCCATTCTCGCCCCGCCGCCGCAGCGTCAGCTCGAGTTTGACTCGACGTCGTGCACGCTGACGATCCAGCCGCATGCAGCATCCTCGTCGCCTCACCCGGCACACTCAAGGTCATCGGATGCCTACCTCTCGTCTCCCCTCACGTCGCACTACGCAACCCTCAACCACCACGATCGCGTCGAGCTCACCTTTCACTGCGAGTACGTCGCCATCAATGCGGCTCGGCTGCTTTCGAGCCTCGAGATGCTTGAGGAGGCCGTCATCGAAGCCGAAGAGAGGGCACGCTCCGCGGCGATGCGCTTCCCGACTCTCCTGGCCGGCTCGGCGTCGAGCGATCCCATGGTCTGGGGTCGAAACGGCGTGTGGAGCCTCGCAGCCGACGGTCTCCGACCCGTCAACTTCATCGATGCTGAGTCAGCCGTCGGACGGCATCCAGGGCCTCCGGATCGCTCGCCGCGGTGAGGTGTGGTCGGCCAAGTGGCGCGGCGTCTTGGTGATGCCGCATGCCTCTCGACCCGAGCTGGCGTTTGGGTATGACCGCAGCCCTTCATTCCACCACGCTGACCGCTTCGGATCGTCGATGGCCCGACCTCAGGCTCGTGCTTCTACAAGTCCAAATAAGTGTGTTCCGCTCGCCGACCTGACCGCTTCGTCGTCTCTGTCCCTGCCTCGAGAGTATGTATATTACAGCAATGCCCTAATCTTCTCCAATGATCCCATCCCGACACGGCTTGACAGTGCTCAAGCCCAGCGCTAGAAGCCTTCGACATGCAGATGACGGCAGAGGGCGACCCAGAACCGTTCGAGCTCGTCTGGCTGCGGTGGCGATTTTGTCTGGGCCTTGCTCGGCGTCGTGCTCGAGGGCGCGTCTTCGCGGGTCTTGGCCTTGTCGCTGGACCCCTCCGGTCCCCTTGCGCTTTCTTGGGTCTGCGCTTTTTGCGGTCGATTCGTGGGAGGGGCCAAGGCCGACGTGGCCATGCCCGCGGCGGTGGCCGTCGATGCCGGCAGGGCCGACGGAGCCGATGAAGCAATCCCTGCAATGTCGCTGCCCGTCCAATCAGGCGCCGTCGACGCGTGCGATGAGACTCCTCTGGTATCGGTCAGGCCCGCCGTATCGGGTTGGTAGAGCGTGAGGCTCATCTCCGAGATGAGTCGATCCCGCTCTGCCGCCTGAGCGCGACGCTCGACGTTACGCTCAGGCAGGCGGTCCGAGATCCAGGCGGCGATGTCGTTGACGAGCGTATCGTCGTTCTGAGGCGTGAAGCTGGAACCCACGCCGGCCTCGGCGTCGTCATCTTCTCCTGTGCGGCCGGGAAGGTCCTCGAGCTCAGCGTCTTGAAGCCTGACGCCTGACCAGCCGACCTCGCCCGAAATTGCCGCATAGCCGCGCGGAAACTTGTTCGCTGGTGCCGAGGAGGATGCCGCATCGCTCTCTACGCGCGTATCAGCATCGACCGCCTTGTCCTTGTCGCCGTCACTGCTGAAGAGGAGCTGGTTGATGTCGGTCCAGCTTGTAGACGATTCCGTCGGCTTCCGATCTGGCGACGTTGCCGTGACCTCTGGCTGGCCCGTCATCTCGGCTTTGCTCTGATATGGCTTGCCGGTGGCGGGGTTGACCTTGCCCTTCCAGCGCGGGGCACCCCCGCCGCGAAGATCCCAGTGATCGCAGCCCTCCATGATGCCGAGAAACTCGCCCCACTTGGCGCTCTCCACGCTGACGAGACCGTCGTTGCCCTGGTTCTGACTGCCGAGGGCGTCTGCACTTCCGTCAGACTCGCCACCAACAGTGCGGCTCTCGGCGGCCGCGTCTAGGATGAGCTTGGGCAGCCAAAGCGGGTGCCAGATGGCCAGGCTGGGCGTGCGTGCGGCTACGCTGTAGTACTTGACGTCTGGCGAGTTTGGCGTGTTGGGGTTGAAGACTTCGGCCATGTACTTGGTCGACAGCATCGCATAGGCAGGCGTGTCGAGCAGCGACAGCATGTATGCGCTGAACGAGCCCGACAGAGACGAGAGCGCCTTTGCGAAAGAGGACAGGCCAAAAGGCAGCAATGAGCCGCTCTTCGAGCTCTTGACCGACTCCTTCACACTGGTGGCGACGCGATCCTCGCTCTCCCGGACCCTCTGATGGGCTCCGTCGTCGTCCTTTTGGCGCGAGATGCCGACGGCGTCTGCAGCACGGTCGACAGCCTCGAGAACCGCAGAAGTGGCGGCGACGCCCGCAGCTTCCGCACCAGACACGGCGACTGCCGGGCCGTTGCTCCCTGAGGCGATGCTTTCCCTCGCGGACGACTTGGTCGCCTGGCGTTCCGCGCCATCTGGGACCCGCTTGCCGTTCTTGGGCCTCGAGAACAATGGCGTCTTGAGGGAATAAGGCGGACGCACGGGCTCGTGGCTGCCGCTGTGCAGTGTCGAACCGGCTCGGTTGGCCCTGGCCTCCTCAAGAGCTCTCTCGATGTAGTCGTTGCCGATACCGATGTTGGCGTTGCACCAATCCATGAACGGACTGCCGCGATGTGGCGTGCTGACCGTCGTCAAGCTGATGGGGGTATACTCCTCCGGCTTTGGCCGGATATTGGTGATCAGATGTCGGACGTCGAGGCCACCCATGCTGTGGCCGATGAAGTTGAGCTTCTTGCCGCGCACGCCTGCCTCTTCGCTGCACAGGAAGCGGTGTAGTGCCTCGGCGCGCTCCTTGATGCTGCCCGTGGGCGGCACGCCGTGGATCAAGACGTCGGCGCCCACCTTCTTGCGGAGGATGTCGAGCACATTGGCCCAGTAGTGGATCTCAAGGCCAAAGAAAGGGCCTCGGACGTCAAAGCCGTAGAGGCCATGGCAGAGCACGATGGGGTGGCGCGGTGCGACGATTGGGTCGTAAAGCGAAGGGTGACGGATATGGTCGTAGATTCTCCCGGTGCCTTGCGTCGATTTGTCGGCTTTTCCTCCGTTTCCGGAGGACGACACCTTCGAACTGCTCGAGGATCGCCCTGAATCTCGGCTGGTATTCGAAGACGAGGCCCTCAGAAAAGCAAGGCCAAAGCGTTCGAACCAGCTTCCGTGCGAGGCTGGAGCATGAGCAAGTGAACCGTACCTCGCCTTGTGACGCAGCTTGTCTGCCGTGTGCCCCGCGTGGCCATCAGAAGGCTGAGAACGAGAGTCGGACAGGACCGAATCACGCAGCCGCCTCGCGCTCTGCTGTCTTGTCAAGGAGGAGGTGTGGAGCCGTCGAGTGCAGGCGAGACCGGGCTGTGAACGGGCAGGGAAGGGGCGAACGTGGCTGCCGCTCGTGGCGATGATGGGTTGCAGTGTGGTTGTGGCATTGGAAACGGCGGAAGGGTGGGACTGCGAGGCTGGGCCTTCGAGGTAAGAGACCAAGGCAAACCAGCCAATCAGGGCGACAAGCCCGTTGCGAGAGTGACGCAATGTGAAGGGCGAGGATGGCTGCGTCGAAGGAAGACCCCTGACGACGCCGTCGAAGGAGGTCTGCAGCCGCTCTCGCAGCAGGCTCGCGATTGTCGGATCTTGCGTAGGCCGATGGTGCCGTAGCAAGCCTCGCTGGATGCGTAGGAGTGCCGATGCCCTCATTCTTCTTTCGAGTATGGCCTCGAGTGGCTCGTCGCTCGGTGCAAGGATTGGATTTGGGGTGCGCGTTCAGGGCAAGGGCCGCGATAGGCCAACAGAGGAGAGCCACCCCAAGGACCTACGTTGCCCGTTGCCTGGGCAGCATAAGCGGCGGAGCTTTGAGAGGCTGTACTGCTGTGTTGCTGCGATGAAAGGAACGACAGGACCGGTCGAAGACGAGGCGCGGGCAGTAGTGTCTTTGACGTCTGTCGGGGCTGAAAGCAAGCCACAGATGCCGGCCAAAGCGGAATCGTGGTTGTCGGCGCCTAGCGGTTGTGCTCTGATGGGATGAAGCCTTGGGAGGCAGCGATAGGCCCGGGTGACGAAGATGGTGGCGGCCCGGGTACGGGAGTCTAAGCGGTACCGACGTGGCAGGGCGGGGCTTTGGTGGTGGCGGTCTTGCAAGCAGAGACGAGACGGGGGTTCGAAGTGGTTTAAACAGAGACGGCGGCGGCGTTTCGAGGACTGGCGGCAGTGGCAGTGCAAAGGCAAGCGGCAGGTGTAGGAGGAGGCGATGATGGCAGAGGCGGCAAAGGTGGTGGAGGTGGCGATGGAGAGCAGGCGAATCAGAGCGAGAAAGGGTGGTCTGGTCAAGAGGGAAAAGGGGCCGGTGGCAGGCCAACGTGGCCCCCCTCGTCAAGCTGGGGTCAACTAGGTTGGGTGTCTGTGCGTGGATGTGTGAGCGGCCATGGATCGTCGTTGTGTTTGGTGGCGTGGCCGGCGGTAGGCACTTTGGCAGAGACAATCTTCCACCTCATTTCGGAGAAAAACAGCCAAGGCGGCGTAAGTGTCGGCCAAGCCTGGCGAGCTCTGTTTTTCGCCCGCCTGCCTGCAGAGAAGTGGCGCGGCGCCGACTTGGCCGCAGGCGGGAGGGGGGGGCACAGACGGCCGTTTCACGGGCAGTGCCTGGCCCAGGCCTGCCTGGGCAGCCACCCCCAAACGACGCGCGACGCACCGACGTCAGAGGTAACTACTGGATCGAGCCAAGTTGCCCCCGTCGTCATATTCACCCTGCGTAGAGTGCCCGAGCAGACGCCGGCTAAAGCGGATCTCGATGACATCGGTTGAGAAAGGAGAGAGAGAAAAAGGGGCTCCCATCAGGTCAAGCCGACGACGCGATGCAACCGTTGCGTGACGATGGCAGAGTACGTGCGTCCAACAGACACAGATGTAGAGCGACCAGACCGGGACGACGGCGGCAGCGACGGCGACGACGACGACGAATGCCGCCCGGTTTTTTGGGGCAGGCGGGGCTCAGGATAGGGGGGGCCTAGCTAGGTAGCCTGTACGCCGCTTGCGCCGAGGCCTGGCCGTGCCACGAGGTAAAGGATCGGGCATCGGACCACGTCTTTGCCGCACGACAAGCTAGAGCCGCCAGGGCTGTGCTGGCTGTCGGATCCGGCCCCAATCTGTCGCCGACGGCCGCATCCCATTCAGGGTCCAGGCCGTCGAGGCTCTGCCCTCTCTCTGCCTGCTTGGCCATGGCGGCTTGGCGCAGACCAGCCCGGGCGCCTCGAGGGGCCGAGGCGACCTTGAAGGGTGTTCGACCGCTTTGACATCGACGACGACGATGGCAGCAGCAGCAGCAGCAGCACTTAACGACAAGCTCCTGGACAGCTGTTAAGATTGCACAGGACTCACGCGATACCGCTAACCTAGGTACGCGGGGAAAAGAGCGGCGCTGCTGAAAGCACAAAGCCAGGTGGAGCAGGTGAAAAAGAGGGCCAGCCAAGCCACAGACGACAGGGGCCAAGCCCAGCCAAGCAGCACACGACAGAGGTGCGCGGGCAGCGCAACATCTCACCGCCATCTCGATCCCTTTTCCACCAGGGACACCACTTGTCCACCCTCTTAGCCAGCCTCACTGCTCAAAGTCGGTTCGATCCCAGAGCGCACATCGACTCGCGGGCCGGAACAGGGGCAGCAATCGGATCCTGTCCTAAGCATCGATCCGCCCCCACCGTCGCTTCGCAAGTTTGCCGACGAACCCCAGAGGGACAAACCCAACCGCCGCCGTCGCGGGGATACTCCTCGGCCAGCCCAACCACCCTGGGAACTGGATAGCCGTTGCACATCAACGCATTCGCAGGTCTGAAGAAGTGCAACCTTCGGTCGTCCCTTCGGTCGCCCACGTCACACCATGTCGGGTATCACTGTCCAGTCGCGGCCCAAGCAGCCCTACGTGGCGGTGCCCTGTCCCTACACCGACTGCCGCTCCTCGATCGAGTACCTTCCACCTTCGCCGTCCGAACTAGCCGCTCTTCCCCCGTCCGAGACGTCGTTCAAGGTGACATGCTGCAAGTGCAACAAGAACTTCGAGCCGCCAGGGGCGCCCAAGCTGGTCCGCGAAGCCAGAAAGAGCGGCGGCAAAGAGGGCGGACAGGTGCGCAAACGCAGAATAGGCACCGACGACAACCCGCTCGACATGGCCTACTACGACACCCTCGGCGTACCCGCCACCGCAACCCTCGACGAGATTAAAAAGGCCTACCGCAAGCTCGCCATCAAGCTCCATCCGGACAAGAATCCAAACGATCCAGAGGGAGAGGAAAAGTTCAAGGCCCTCGCCACCGCCTACCACGTCCTCTCGGACCCCGAGCTGCGACACAAGTAGTGAGTCTGCCTCCCGCGCCAGCCCTGCGTCGGATGGCATCGGCAGATTTCTCGCTGACCACCCTGCTCCCCCTCCTCGACCCTGTCCGCCGCAGCAACGAGTTTGGCGCATCGACCCCCGGCCTCACACCCGAGGACGGCTTCGTCGACCCAGAAGAAGTCTTTGGTAGCCTCTTTGGCGGCGAGCGCTTCGCCGACATCATCGGCACCATCAGCATCGGCAAGGACATGAAGGAGGCACTCCAGCAGGATTCGGAAGAGCTCGAGAAACAGGCCAACGGCGAGGGCGGCAGCAGCGAGTCCGCCGACGGCAAGGACAAGGTGCAGCTGACGCCCGAGCAGAAGGCGGCCAAGGAGGAAAGGGAAAAGAAGCAGGCCGAGGAACGGGCAAAGCAGCGCGAGGAGCGCGTGTCGCAGCTGGCCGACAAGCTGATCCGCAAGCTGAGCATCTTCACCGAAAGCGTTCGCAACGCCGGCGACGAGAAGCTCGAGCGCGAGGTGGCCGCCAGCTTCCGCGAGATTACGCGCATCGAGGCCGAGGAGCTGAAAAAGGAGAGTTACGGCGTCGAGCTGCTCCACGCCGTCGGCTTCGTCTACTCGGCCAAGTCCAAGCACTACCTCGCCAGCACCGGCATGCTGTGGGGCATCGGCGGCATGTTTCACTCCGCCGCCAACTCGATCCACGTGGTGCGCGAGACAGTCTCGACGGTGCGTGCCGCGCTCGAGCTCAAGTCGGTCTTCGAGGAGCTGGCCAAAGCCGAGGAGCAGGGCATCACCGAGGAGCGTAAGCGGCAGCTCGAGGAAGCCGCCGCCGAAAAGGGCATGCGCGCCCTCTTCAAGGGCGCCAAACTCGAAGTCGAGAGCGTCATACGTGACGTGGCGGAGCGCGTTCTCTACGATGCCAACGTTGGCAAGGAGACACAGCGGCTGCGCGCCACGGCGCTCGGCATCGTAGGCGAAGTCTACGCCAGCGTCAAGAAGGACGAAGACGCTGCCAACAACAACAGTGACCCGGCGTCGGCGGCCGACGAATTCGTCAAGGTCGAGACCAAGGCCAGCAAGGAGAGGGAGGCGGCGGCGGCAGCCACAGCGGCCGGTGCAGCGGCCGGCAATGGCGGTAGCGGCAACGCGGACTCGAGACCACCGAAGCGGGATGTTCCAGCGCCACCGCCGTGGACAGCGAGCGGTTCGCCGTCGTCGCAGGCAAACGCCGGCGAGCAGCCATACGAGGCGTACAAGCGGCATTCCAGGTCATCACAGAAGGCAGCCTTTGGCTGATGTCTCTCGAGCCTTCCGCCTGGTCCGCCTGGTCCGCCTGGTCCGCCTGCCCTCTGTCACGAGTACTGGATGTGGCAGCGGTGCAATTGAGAATGGCCATATCCCTCCCTCATCTCCATTGGGCTAGCCTCGAGTTCCCGCTCCGTTGTACGTTTTGGAGGACTATTCGGGATCAAAGCCCGTGGTAATGCATGAGCAGCTAGAGTCTGGTGCGGGGGACACGTTGGAGCAATCGTCAAAAGAGAGACGAGGAAGCGGGCTCGTCCAGCCTCGATCAATCTTGCTCCACCCACCACCCTCAGAGATGCACGGAAGCCTCTCTGGACTCTGGCTTTGAGCTCCATCGATGGACGATGCGCGGTCTGACGCCCGCCCTGTACCCGACGGCCTTGCCCTCTCGTTTCCGGAGCATCTCGTCCTTCTCGACCTGCTCGACCCGCCCGTCGCTTTCGTTTGTCGTCTCTGCCGCAGTGGGCAGCCGCGAAGGGTCGATGAGCTCGTAGAAAAGCATGTACGGATTTTGTGCCAAGACGTCTTCGACGCTGCACGGGCGTACGGTCTCGTCTGATATCCGCACCCATCGTTCCTCTTGGCCGAGGTCGGAGGAAAAGGGGGGCAGGCGCCGGAACGACACGTAGTGCCCAAACGAGTGGCCGCCGTAGTGGACTGTGATGCTGCAGAGGCGGTAGTACCTCTTGCCCATCGACGTTTTGCTGCCCGCCTCGAGGTCCATACCCTGTCTGCCGTCCGTCCCAAGGGAGCCGCCCACGCAGAAGGGGGAGACGTCCAGCAGGAGCGGGAAAAGGACGGTGCGGTCGTTTTTGCTCGCTCCTCCCCATCCCGAGGTGGCGTTGAAAGTGGATCGGTTGAGGTGAAACACGAGCACGCGCGGAGGGCGAGAGAGCATGTGCTGCTTGGTACTCATCCGCGATGGGTGCTTGTCGAGCTTGATGCCGTGCAGGATGTCGAAGAACGGCGACGACGGGTCGTCGTCGAGCGCGGCCAGCTCGTCCTCGGACAGTCCGGACGACAACACCTTGGCCAGCCGGGACTCGCGCGACTTTGCCTCGCGCAGGCGCTTTTTCTTGGCCGCCGACGGCTTCGCGCCTTCGAGAGGCAGAGCAGACGAACCCGCCTCGCCGTTGACGCCATGGCCATTGGCCTGGGATGCCCTGGCAGATACCGCCGAGGCAGAGGAGACCGAGGCTTCGAGGCGAAGCACCTCGACCTTGGCCCTGTCCCGGGTCCGTACGAGGCTGCAGTGCCAGCAGATCCATTCGACCGGCTCCAGCTCGCACCACATGGCGAGGCACTCTTCCAAGCTGCAGGCGTTGGTCCCCGTCATTTGCGATGTGCGCGTGGCCTGGTGACGCGGTGGCAGGCTGAGGCTGATCTCCTCGGAGGAAAAGTGTCGGATGGCCTCCATGTAGCCGCAATCGAGGCAGATGGTTCGTTGCGCGAGGAGAGCGTTGAAGGGCGATACCTGGGGTATTGACTCTGCCGCTTCGGGCCTGCAACGTAGCGGAGAAGCCGGCAGGAATGATGCGGGAAGATGCTGTTGCCCCGCAAGAGACTCTGCATGGCTGCGGCTGTGGGACAGACTAGGATCCGAATAGACACCCTTGCCGTTCCAAGGCAGACTGGCGCCGATGAGGGCGCGGAGACCGGCCTCCTGTTGGGCCTGCTGGTCTTTGGCCTCGCGTGAGATGGCCAGCATTTCGTCGTCGACGGCGCTGCTGAGTAGGACGAAAAGTTCGTGCGCGTCCTGCTGCTGGTGCGCCGAGACGAGGGAGCGCAGCGGCGAGCTGTTCATGGTGCGTAGCGCATTGACTAGGGCCGTCGGGTTGATGGACGAGGCACGACTCTGGGCGGCGTTGAGTGCGTCTATGAGCTCGACGAGGGCGTCTGTGACGGGGGTGGGTACGTCCCAGCGCTCCGCGGCGTGGATGACATCGTCGAGATGACTTCTCAGCGCAGGCACCGAGGCGAGCGACTGCACGGTGGAGTTGAAGAAGCAGGTGTTGCCCGTGTTTCTCAGGCCGGCGTGGTGTGCTTCTGCGTCTGCGGTCTGTGTGCTGCGCTTGGGGGAAGTGGAGGCCGGCTTGAGCGCTCCGAGGCGGGCCGCAGCATGAGTGCCAACAGGACTGCGCGTGGGTGGTGCTCTGCGCAGAGGTTTCGACGACGAGGGCCTGGGTTTGTTGATGGGCGTGGCGCTGGGTGCGAGGGAGAGGGCGCCGAGACCGAGGCCGGCGGTGATTGTGCTCATGACATCGGCGATGTGGAAGCGGAATTCGGAGAGGGAGCCGTTGCGGCCCAGAGCGGCGAGGAGCCCGGCGAGGCTTAGGGATACAAGGATACCGATGGCCTGGTGGAGTATGGGTGCGGGGAAAGGAAGGAGCGCGAGGAGGCGGTAGGATTGGCGAAAAGGCGGGTCGACGAGTACGAAGGCGGTGGTGGGGGAGGTCATGCTCCAGGGCCGTCTGTGGCGACGGACGCGGCAGGACCGGAAACCAGCCTTCGATTCCAGCTATGCAGGCCGACGACACAGGAACGGAGGCGGGACCCGATCCCCCCCGAACTGTGTGAAGGCAGAGGGACCCAGGTGTGCGGTGCGAGCTGACGATGGAGCGAGCAGCGCACAGCGGATGAGCTAGAGCTGTACCATGCGAGCGTCACCGGGTGGGACACCGAGCGTGGGCGTATGCTATTCCGTGACAAGAGAGTAGGGTGGCAGCAGGGCGGTGGCGAGGTCGACTGCGGCTCGCTTTGCGGACCTCGATGGAGGAGGTGGTGGTGGTGGAATGGCAGGGTCGACGTGCGGACGCGGCCTCTTTGTCGCTTGCTTTTCCAGCCCCCCCAGAAGAGATTCTTGAACTGGTTCTTGATTTCCCTTGCATTTTTTGGCGGCTTTCTGTCTTCTTTGTTTCTCGAGGCATGCCGAGGGGTGCCCTGCCAGCAGACATCTGCACCCCAACGTCACACCTGACAACCTCGCTCGAACTGGACCCTCGTGTTGCCAGTCCAACAGGCTAGGGTAGCCCACCAGCGAGGGACGGCAAATATCGGCGGCGGCGGCGGCGGCGGCGATCAAGATCCACACTTTGCTCGCTCCTCGACCGCTCCCTCCCATCTCGACAAGCACCCAGCAATCGTCGAGGCACAATCCGCCATTCCTCTCTTACACATCACTCTGCTTCCACGCGCACATCTCACGCCTAGACTGTTCGACCCCGAGCCGGCAGCCACTGGCCGCCTCTACCTCGCCCATCGCCAAAGCTCCACCGGGCTTGGGCTGCTACGACGCATTCAGCGTCACGCTCGATATCCGCCAACGACGTTCCGCCTCTTCGTCCTCACCATACAGTAGCCGACGGCTAGAGCGCAGCATACCACGCTGCTTCTCGCTCCGGAACTCCACCGCACCATCTGCTCAGCTTCCCTTACCGGATCTCGATGCGACGCTCAGCATGACAGATCACCCTCCAACGCACGGGCAGGGAGACGCACCTCGTCAGCCGCCGGTACGGCTGCACTCACAGCAGCAGCAGCAACGACGCTCCCTCATCCTCGACCGCCAGAATGAGACCTACCGTTACAGCCTCCGACCCGCTTCAGTTGCCCGTTTCCCCCCAGACTTGGGGTCGAAACAACGCCCCGCTTCAGTACAGCCCCAGAGCACACCTGCGTCTGGCCCAAGGTCGGCAGCCTCGGAAAAGGCCGGACCCAGCCGCGAACCTTCGCCCGCCCCAACCAGACCCAAGTTGCCAGATGGCAGCACGGCAGGTCGCCCACACCCTTCAGAGGCGGCCAAGCGCGGACAGAGGCGCTTGAGTGCGCGCCTCGTCACCGACATTGACAGCCCCTCGCCCTCGGAGGCTTCGTCTCGCCCACCGTCTCGCGCACCGTCGCGAGCCGCGATGGATCGTCCGCTAAACGAGCTGGCACCCTCCGTTGGCCCGCCGCGCGCCTCGGTGACGGCGCTTGGCGAGCCTTCCAGCTCACGCGCCCATCGACCAAAAACCTCGGTCATAGGACTCCCCGTCGATGAGGCTAGCCGTGGCACTGGCCCTCGCGATGGGCTCCGGCTCCCGTTGACGCCGGATCATGAAGGCCTCCGGCGCAACAGCAAAATCTTTTTCTCCTTCCCATTCCCACACCCGACGACACCGGCAGGACCGGGCGATCGTCTCGGTGCTGGGCACTCCCCACTTGGCTGGATCACGGGGCCACTTCGCACAGTCGGAGGCTGGATCGATCGGGCGACCAGCGTCTTTGCCGGGCCCTACGAGAGGCGGCTGATGAACGAGGAGCGGCAGGATGACGAGCTCACGCGTCAGATCGTCGAACGGCTCGAGAGAGGCGAGGGCGTCGCCCCAGGCTCACGGAGGACCTCGCTCGCCGAATCGCTGCTAGCCCCGTTGCCGGGACATGGAGGAGCTGCACTGGACGCACCGTCCAAGGCTTGTCCAGAAGCAAAGGCGGGCCCGAGTGCGGGGGGAGGCACGGACGATGGCGACGAAAACGCGGGTCTTAGCAAGTACGGCACCTTCCCCCGTCAGCAGCAGCAGCAGCAGCAGCAGCAGCGGCAACAGCAGCAGCAGCGGCAACAGCGCACGTCATGCCTGAGCACGCTGACGACCTCATCGACCTCGACATCGCTCAGCGAGCCAGATCCATCCGACCCGTACGGCTACCGCCGCCTGGCGGGACCTGTGCTCTTGCCGGCGTACAACGCCGACCTGGCGACGAGGCGGAGGGAGCGGCGGAGGGCGCGCTCGCGAGCTAGGTTCCAGTGCATGGCGCTGTGGACCATCTGGACAGTCTCCATCGTCCTTGTTCTTCTCGTCATTGGCAGCGGCGCCACCGTCTGGAGGGATTGGAGGGACGGCAAGGGGACGCGGATCGCTGTGATGCTGTAGTGGTGGCGGCTGGTGACCGGCACGTGCCACGGACCGAGGTTTCCCGGTGGCGGTACCTACGTTGCGACATGTTGCCGACATCCACGCATCTAGATTGCTCAAAAATAAGTACGATAGCATGGCGCTGGCTAGAAGACGACGGCGGTAGCAGGCCCTCGTCGCCATGTCACGAGAGGAGCTCCCATGCACCATCGCTGATGCCTTGGACGCGCTGGTGGAAATCCCACAGCCGATCCTTGAGCTTTCCCCAATTCTGCTGACTGTCCTGGGTCAGGACGATTCGAAGCTGTCGATTGAGTTGCTCGGGCGCCAGGCCGGTCTGGAGCTGCACGCGTTGCAGAAGTATCTGCTCTAGCACGGACCTCTGCTCGACATGATGGCCGGTCAACTCGTTGATCAACGAAGCCCGAAGGTGGTCGAGCGAAAGTAAGTCGGCGAGAGCCTTGACCACGTTGATGGTTGCGTCGACTGCCGTTGTCGCAGAGGGTGGGGCGGTCTTGGTCTTGGCTGCTTCCCCTCTCCGCTGTGACCTCGGAAACGGCGCCCTGACCAGCACGAGGCTGGCATGCGTGGTGGTCAGTCTCAACCACCGGATCGGACTGCGATGCAGTGAGGCGATGAGCATCAGGCACTTTTGCGCCTGGTTGGGCGTGGGGATGAAGACGTCGAGCTCCTCGACGCGGCTCCAGATCGACATCATGGCAAACAGGGCTGGGTCCTCGTGCTCGTAGAGGGGCATCGACAGCATGATGCTGATCTTTGTGGGCCTGCAACCGTTCAGCCTCGTGGTGGGCGGCAGCGTGGGGACAAGGTGGGCCTTGTGGCGTCTGGTTACGTCCTTGGACCCGGACGAGGCGATCTCGGATCGGAGCCAGTTGGGCATCTCTTGGAGCTCAGAGGCCGTGTAGAGCGCACCGCCCTCGACCGGAGAAGCCGAGACAGCGGCGCCGTCGTTGGGCGCATGCGAGGAGGCAGGAGGGGAGTCGACGTCTTGGTACTCGATGCTGCCGCCCGATCCCCATGACCACGCCGGCTGCTGTTTTCCCAGCCTGTGAGCGGCCCTGACTTGGCCTGGATCGCGAAGCAGCGCCGTGGATTCTGAACGCCACAAAGAGAGGTGGGTGAGGTCGGGCCCAGCGTAATGCAGCATGCGGAGCATCTCATTGTCCCATCCCGCCGAAAACGTAGTCAGGCGCGATATCTGTGGCGAGGCGCAGCGGAGAAAAGGCCGTGTTAGCGGCGGCGCGACACCGTCGAGCCGAGAGGGCGGCCACGGCCGAGGATTCGGGGCAGCGATGAGGATGAGGATGAGGATGAGGATGAGGATGAGGATGAGGATGAGGATGAGGATGAGGATGAGGATGAGGATGAGGATGAGGATGAGGATGAGGATGAGGATGAGGATCAGGATGAGGATGAGGCTCAACGGACACTCACGTCGTCGAGGGCGCAGAAGAGGGCGCGGGTGTATCCGGCAAAGGGAAAGGGTGGCAGGGCGGAGCGCATGCGAGCATACCACTTGCGAAAGTCGCGAACGTGGCGCGGGAGGACGAGGACCGTGTAGAGGGCGCGCAAGGCCCAATGGCGCATCAGCCGGCTGACGCCGCTGAGGCGGACCAGGGCGCGTTGCACGTCGGGATCGCCCGAGGCGGCGGCTCCGGACGCGAGCAGCGAGACGGTGTACTCGAGGAGCTCTGGCGGCAGTCGAGGCAGCTCGGGCGGGGTCAAACACCCGGCAGGACTCGTCGGAGCATGGCCGGCGACAGAAGGGATAGTCGAGGCTGAGCTCGAGCCAGAGCCAAGGCGGTCCAGGGAAAGGGTGTCGACGCTGGCGGCAAGCTGATGAACGCCGTCCCTATCGCCGGTAGTCATGAGCGCCTCGCACCGGCTTCGAGGACCATGCAGACAAGCTGGAACGGCAGTAGTAGTGTCGAGGGGGGGGTTGGCCAGAGCCGGGCGGTCGAGGCTAGATGAGAAGGTGGCAGGCGGCGACGAGGCTAGCTCAGCCAGTTTTTCCTCTTTGGCTGCCATCATGCATGCCGCCCAGGCGCGGGGCCCGGCTAACTACCTCCACACATTCTTCCTTGTTGATTGTCGGCTGCCCCGTGGTCATGCCTCTCGGCCGGCTTCCGAGCCGCGCTGGTCCAGGCGGTGCGGCTTTCTTTGGTCTCGACTCTTGAGCCAGGCAGGCCTTCTTTGGTGCCGCCCCCCGCGCCGCCCGCTCGGCGCACCCTCCCTGGCGGCCAGCAGACCAGGGGCCTCAGGCCAAGGCCGGGTGCCCGGGTGGAGCATGAGACCGGAAGCCGTCGGGCCTCTTGGCTCCCCTCCCCCGCTCTGCCCCGCGCTCCGTAACGGGCCAGGCCAGGCCAGGCCCCTGCCCCCCCCCGCGCCTTGTTTTGGCTGCCTGCCCGAGATCGGCTTTGACGTCCTTCCGTCCTGGTTGGCTCCTCGTCGAGAACCGGCCCACGCCGCGCTCGTATCCTCCTCTTCCCCCCACGACTACCCAATCCCCTACTGAACCTTCCCTGCCTCTACTCCTCTCCCAACTTTGCACCATCGTCGACGCCGGTCACATTCGGACAGCTGACACCAACTCCCTGCGCCCTCTTCTCGGAATGCCATCCACGGTCGCCCGCCTTGCAACCGGCCCCTCTACCAAAGTCACCACCACCACAGTCGTTGCCACCGCGACGACTCCTTCGTAGCTCTTCCCGGCCCATCACGGCGCTCCGCGACACTGCGAAGCCCCATATCCTTGTCCACCGTGTGTCCACCGTCTCGTCCACCGTCTCGCCCAACGAGCTTGCGGTAGGCCCCGTCTGAGGCCAGTCCGATCATCCATCGCTGCCTGTCCCGACGCCTTCACGTCCCGCCCGAAAACCGCCATGTCGGCCTCGTCTTGCCATCGTGTTGGCGCCTTCGACCTGACCGGTCGCGTCGTCCGTCTCCATGTCAGCCCGACACGCCGCCGATGCCTCTCGCCACTCCCCGACCCGTCGTCGTCGCGCGCTGCCCGCCCCGCTCTCACTCGCAACTTTGGCTCCACCTCATCGGGCATCGACTTCGACACCGCCGGCCAGGCCACGTCCACGTCGCCCGCCGCCAGCTCCAGCCGCTCGTCCGCCTATGTCGCCAGGTACCGCACCCTTTCTCCCGTCCGCCAGCCGCTCATGGGTCCACAGCAGCCCCACGCCGTACACGCGCACACGTACACCTCTGCAAATGCCGCCGCAGTGTCTCATAACGCCTCGCAGGGCAAACACGGCGGCGGAAGCAGCGCAGACGGCACTGGCTCCACAACATCCGACCCGGCACCAGGCAGCGCACAACACGATGGCCCTCACCTCGAATCGTCGTGGGCCTTTGGCGGCGGCACAAAGAGCCAGGGGGGGCCCGCATTTGTCGGAAAGCAGGATGACGGTGCCGAGATCCCTGGAAGGTCCTCACCGCTCATCGTCATGGGCAGCGCCGGCAAGGGCGCGGTGCCCAACTACGGTAAGCGCAAGTCGAGCTCCACCTCGCTAGCCTGCGCCGCCACTTCCGCCGAGGCCGCACACATCAAGTCCTATGCACATAGCTACTCTCCCTCGACGCGGAGCGAGCAGCCGCTGCCTCAGCACGTCTACTTTTCGTCGCCCTCGTCCTCGTTCAACGCCTCGTCCTTCGTTGCGCCGGGCGTTCAGCCGCCCCTCGGGGGCACCACCACTGCTGGAGCAGGGCAGGGCTACCCTGGAAGCAGCAACATCGTGCGCAAAAGGACGGCGCTTATCCTGCCGGGCCAAGGCTCGCAGTACGTCGCCATGTCCAAGGACCTTTACAGAGCCTTTCGCTCGGCCCGTACCGTATGGCATCAGGCCGAAGAGGCGCTGATGCTCACGCCCAGCCAGCATGTCCACCATCCGCCAAGTGACGAGCGCGCTGTCGACACGGAGCAGCGGGCGGCGTTTGAAGCGGAGCTGCAGAAGAGCGATCACCTCGACACCAAGCGTGGGCTTTCGGCCAGTGGCACTGCCGTTGCTCGAGGCCGGCGAGGGTGGCTGCGTGACCTCGTCTTCTCCGGCGACCAGCTCGAGTTGACGAGGGCCGAAAACGCTCAACCCGCCATCCTGACCTGCACGCTCGCGTTTTTGCAGGTGCTGCGCAAGGAGTTTGCCATCGATCTTGTGCAAGATCACGTCGAGTGGGCGGCAGGTCACGGCTCGGGCGTCTACGCCGCTCTTGTCGGATCGGGCGCCGTAGGTCTGAGTGACGCCGTTCGCCTCTTGCGGCATCGAGGCCTCATTGCATCGCACTACACGGCCAACAACCCAACCCTCTTTCCGCCCGGCTGCGAGCGGCCGCAGAGCGTCTATGAGACGTGGGCGTTCGCCAATGCAGGGAGCGGCAAGGTGAGTCGATGACAGCCGCAACGCGCTGGATGAGGACAGATGCACGATGTTCTGGTGTGACTGACGTCTGCAAGGTGCGTTTCTCCCGCTCTCACCTACACTCCTCTCCAGGGTGCGGAGCTGCTGGCGGCAGGTGGGGGCATCGACACGGGAGGCGTCCCGTCGACGGGCTTGCGAACTGACGCCCAGGTGGCTCGCGCCGAGTCGGCCAAGCAAGGAGACGCTACCGACGCTGGCGCCGCACCACGTCGGCGGGGCTGGAAGCGGACACAGATGTCGGGCGTGGTGGTCAAGCCCGGCAAGCTGGACGCTGTGCTGCGTGAAGTCCAGCAGGTTGCCCACGACATCCGCTCCGGCAAGGTTTCAAGTGTAGCGTCGGACGAGGTGGTAGAGGTGGCCAACGTCAACAGCCAGCTGCAGATTGTGCTGTCGGGCAGCAGGGTCGGCGTCTCGTACTGCTGCGACCGCCTCCGGTCCAAGAACCTCGGGGCGCGCGCCGTCAATCTGCCAGTGTCAGGCGCCTACCACACAAGCCTGATGGAGGATGCATCGGAGGATCTCAAGCCGGCGATCCGTCACCTGCCGCTTAGGGATCCGCACGGCTTCAACCTAGTCTCTTCCATGGATGGCACGGTCCTGTCGGATTCCGCCAAGATCCGAGCCGACCTGAGCGGCGCGCTGGCGCGACCAGTGCAGTGGCTGAGCAGCGTCGAGACGTTGCTGGCCCAAGGCGTGGAGAGGTTCATTTGCCTGGGCCCAGGACGTGCCTGCGCGCATCTGCTGAGCAAGGAGCTGGCGCACCGCGACAAGCTCAAGGCGGCGCAGGGTGGCGATGTCGGCGAGTCCGGTTACGAGGTCTGGAGCCTTGCCACTGTCGATGATGTGAGTGGGCCGAATGCGGCTCATCGGCTTCCCGCACTACCGGGGCGACGCGAAATACTGATCGTTGAGCAAACCCCTGCCATCTCCGCCGTCGTCTGCTTCGCTCAGGTGCTGCAACTCGGCGACGCCCTCTCTGGCATCTCGAGCCCTTTGCCGCCGCCGGGTGTTTCCAGGGACATGGACCGCCTCGTGGCCGACTGAGCCTTCGAAGCCTCAGCCACAGCCACAGCTGCGCTCTCATCGTCGGTGCACTTCCCATCTGCGCTGCCGGTCTTGGAAAGCACATGCAGGCCTCTCCCTATTCCCCGTGATCCCCACGAGCCCGTCAATGTATGTACTTGTACGTCACTCGCTGGCCGTGGCCAATGCCTGTTGGCACACGCGCCCTTTCGCTCCCTTGCACTTCACCCGGCCTGGAGGCCATCCGGCCGGCCGTGTCCCGGTCCTCAGACTTGCCTGCCCTTTCTGTGTGTGACTACATACGGTACGTGTACGTACCTCCGTCGTACGGCGACTTACGAGGCGACGGCCAGACATCTGAGTCCGGATGAAAGCCGGAAGGGGAAGAGGGGGCGGATAACCGGTCAAACGCCGAACCAGGTCGCTGCCACCCAATCGATTTGCTGCCCGCCCCCCGGCAGCGACGACGACGACGACGACGACGACGACGTGCCCGGCTTCCTCAGCAGAGTCGGCTACAGGAAGAGTAGATACAATCTCTAGGCGTCCTGAGCGGCGGGTCACGTTGGCACATCCGTCGGCAGATGACCGAACGAGCAAGCAACAGCGCTCTCGGTGCTTTGCCGATCCGTGAGCGGGTGATGCTCCTCCACAATCGACCGGGTCGCGACGCCAACAGGGTCTGCGCCACAGATTCCTCGCCGTCTTCTCTTCTCCTCTCTCCACCATCTCTGCCGAAGCCGGACCGTAGCCACCACCCCGACAGAAGCGAGCCAATATGACTGCCCCGACGTCCGCATCGGCCAAGCCAATCGACTACCGCAGCCTGCTGTCGCAGACGGCGCGCAATCGCATGCCCTCGGCCATCCGCTCCCTCTATCCGGCAGAGCTCATCCCGGACATGATATCGCTGCTCTCCGGAAAGCCCAACGCTGAGACGTTCCCCTTCCATCGCATCCTCCTTGAGCTCAAACCTCGGGGCCCTGACGGAATCATCGAGACCATACCCATCGAAGGCGCAGACCTCGACGTCGCACTCCAATACGGCCCCACCGCAGGCATCCCCAAGCTTGTGGATTGGGTCGAGGAGTTCCAGTCCAGGCTGCACCACCGACCCCGGGTGACCAAAGCAGCACCGGGCGTGCACGGAGAGGCCTGGCGATGTTCGTTCGGCACGGGCAGCCAAGACCTCCTGACAAAGACCTTTGAGGCTCTGACCGATCCTGGCGACTCGGTCATTGTCGAGTCGCCCGCCTACTCGGGCATCCTCCCCAGCCTCGTCTCGCTCAAGGCCAGGATCTTTGAGGCTCACACCGATGCAGAGGGGGTCGATCCCATCTACCTCGAACAGCTGCTCTCTGACTGGGCCTCAGCCGAGGCTACCCGCACTTCTCCCTTCCCAAAGTTCATCTACACCGCTCCCACCGGCGCCAACCCCTCTGGCACCACCGCTTCCGAAGGGCGCAAGCGCGCCGTGCTGAGCGTCGCCCGCAAGCACGGCCTCATCATCCTCGAGGACGACCCGTACTACTTCTTGAGCTTTCCGGGATTGGGGGAGGATCCGGTGACGAGGACGAGGAGCAAGAGTTACTTTGCGCTGGAGCAAGAGGAAGAGGATCAGTGGGGCAAGGGCCGGGTACTGCGGTTCGACAGCTTCTCAAAGGTGAGTCAGGCAAGATGCCCCTCGCGCACCTCGAACCGAGAGCTCCGCTGAGCGTTTGCCATGGCCATCATGGCCCCGGCCGCTCTTATCCCAGATCCTCTCGGCAGGCCTCAGGTTGGGCTTCTGCACCGGCCCGACGGAGCTGGTCGACGCCATCGACGCCGACACGTCGATCCGCAACCTGCAGCCATCTGGGGCCAGCCAGGGCATCGCCCTGGCCCTGCTATCGAGGTGGGGCATCGACGGCTTCCTTCGCCACGCCGACTCGGTCGCGCATTTCTACAAGGTCAGTCTGCGGTCGCGAGGTGGCGTGCGGTGTTCCTGCAAGCTGCTGACCGCATCGTCTGCTCCCGAACCCGCTGTTCATCGCAGGCACGTCTGGATCAATTCGAGGCCAAGGCGCGCCACCATCTCTGTGCGAGCCCGAGCGTGGCCGAGTGGGTGACACCGTCGGCCGGCATGTTCCTGTGGATCAAGCTCAAGCTGCCGCCCACGAGGCCTTCGGATTCTGGCGATGGCGATGTCGACGAGGGCGACACCCTGGATCTCATCGGCCAGAAGGCCAAGGCGGCGGGCGTGCTGGCGCTCCCGGGAGTGGCCTTCATGCCTCCGCCTTCTGCAACGGGAGCGGGACTGGCTTCGGGCACCAAACGGACGAGCCCTTATGTGCGGACGAGCTTCAGCATCGTTCCCATGGAGCGAGTCGACGCCGCGTTCGAAAGGCTGAGGACGGTGGTGGTGCAAGCGTGGCAGGAAGCAGGCCTCGAGATGATCTGAATATCCAATCTAGATCGGGTCTTCGCAGTCTAAAACCTGGAGATCAGAGTCCTTTGCGCACGGACTTCAACACCCTCGCTCCGCGCGTCTGCGTGGCCCGGGCATTCGAGTCCAGCACAGCCCCTGCCAGGCCTTGCCTGGCCTGCCCGTGGCCTGCCCACCCGTTGCAGGCGATGGCGGTGCGTGCAGAGCAGAGCACAGCAGCAGCACGAAAAAGCGGCATCACGAGTCAAAAGCGGTGCCGATGCAAGAGAACCGTCCGGCAGCGACAGCAGCAGCGGCCGGGAACCCAGCAGCAGCAGCAGCACAAAGCTGTGCCTAGCTACATATACCTGCGCCGTACATGTCTTTGGACTCGCACAGGGCGAGCGTTTGGGTGCGTGTGTGTGTGTGCTTGCGTGCGTGCGTTCGCGTTTCCCCTCGCTCCTGCCTCGCTACAAAGCGCAGAGACCTCCGTCGCCGCCGAATCTGCGTCACAATCGTCTTCGTCGTCACCGCCACCACCACCACCACCACCACCACCAACACCACCACCAACACCACCACCATCAACACCACAGCTGGCACTATCTCCATCCTCGTCCGTCGTTTGCTATCGCTTGCATCCACCTCGTCGCAGCACTAGCCCGCCATGGAGCACTGGAAGAACATCGCGTCCAACGTGGGCCCGCTCTCGCAAAAGTTCACAAAGACCTTTGGCAACCTCAACCAGCAGGCGAAGGAGCGCTTCGGAACCATTGACTCCGAGGACATCACCGAGCTGCCCCAGGAGTACAAGGACCTCGAGAGGCGAGTCGACGCCCTCAAGGGCGCCCACCAGGGCCTCTTGAAGATTGCCAAAGTCTACGAGACCGAGAGCTACGATTACCCTGTACGTCGGCGCACCGCAATCACCGAGCGGCTCGAACCCACATCATGAAGGGAAATGGTACCGGATGATCGATCACAGATCTTTGCTGACTCGACGATTGGGTTCCCTGCTCTGGCCCGTCGCACCGCCGGTCTCAACAGGGCCAGATCCAGGAGTCGATCACGCAGCTCTCGGCCACCGTCGGACACAGCGTCACCTCGTGGGCTGCTTCAGCCACCCGCGGCACCAACCTGCCTGCCGTCCACCCTACTGCCCGTCCCGAGAAGCAGAACAAGACGTTGCACCACGCCCTCAGCCGTGCCGCCGCTTCAGGTGCGCTCCAGCTCGGTGCCGATCCGACCACCCTGTCTGGCCTGCCCGCCCTCAGCACCGCTCGCGCTCCCGGCTCTTCGGAGCCCGCCAAGGACGACTCAAAGCTTGGAGAAGCGCTGCAGAAGTTTGCGCTGGCTCAGGACCGCGTCGGCAACGCCAGGCTGACCCAGGACGACCAGATCGTCCAGGGCTTCAACGTACCGTTTGGCTCGTTTGGGGCCCAGATCCAGCTTGCCGTCAAGTGAGTGGCCCGACGGTGGCTCAGCATCATGTCTCGTCTCCGCAGCCTGCGTTTGCGGAATACTTACCCTCGTCCCCTCTTGTGTCCTCGGGCGGTCAACGGCGCACAGGGCCCGAAACTCGGTCAACGAGGCGCGACTGCACCTCGACAGCTGGAAGCAGACGCTCAAGTCGGCCGAGAACTCGGGCGCCTCTGCCAAGCTGGACCAGTACCGGAACGAGGTGGAGCAGGCAGAGGACAAGCTGGTTTCTGCCACCGAGGAGGCCATCTCGCTGATGAAGCAGGTTCTCGACAACCCTGAGCCGATCAAGAGCCTCAGCGCGTTTGTCAAGGCGTGAGTGGCAAAGCCAAGCAGGCTCAAGATTGGATCCGGATTGACGAAGAAAACTTGCTTGCTGACCCCTCTGCGCCGCCGTGATGCTGCTCCGTCCCCTCGTACTTGCCGTTGACGGTCGCTTCAGCCAAGCCGAGTACCACCAGGCTGCGGGCGAGCTGCTGTCGCAGCTTCAGCAGGAGCTGGTCCAGGTGGCTACGAGCGTCGAGAGCGACTACAGACTCTCGCGAGGATAGGCGGTTGGCTGCTTGCTGAGTGTGCAGCAATGTGCATTGATGGATATGGGCAGAAGAGGCCTGCTTGCTCGGTGTCTCGCCCCTAAGCTTGGATCGCGTCCACGTACAATGTTCCCGTCCCTCTTTGCGACGATCTCAATGGATGTGTGTGCAAGAAGGTGCGGTGGCTCGTCTGTGCCGGCGAAAAGGCCAGCAGTCGAGTAGTGATGCCGTCACGCGCCATTCTGCAAGCCTCTGACTAGATTAAGTGCCATGGCGGTTAAGAAGAGGTGCGGCTTCGTATCTTTGGCCTGCGGCTGTCTTGATCAAGTGTTGAGCAAGCTGTTTCCCCGACTCTGTCTGGCCTGCAGCTGCGCGGGCATGAGCAACTGAGTAGGGCCCGGCCCTGCCTAAGACAAGACGAGCCTCTTCTCCACTTGTTTTCACTTTGACCGCGACCGAAGGAACCTATCAACCAACACCACCCCCACCACCATTACCACCCCCCACCACCACCACCACCACCACCACCACCACCACCACCACCTGCGCCCACCCCACTCAAGCTTGCGGCGCAGCTCAATCGATCGGATCTCTACCATCACTGCTCCGCTCTGCCGCTGGCCTTCGTCGCCGTCGCCGGCAGCAATCGACGCTCGTAACCGCCTCCAACATGGCGCTACACCTCTTCTCCCGGGTCGTTTCCTCCTCCTCCACCTCCCACTCCGACGGACAGGATCAGCATGCATCTGATCACCACGCGCTCATCCAGGCCATCCGCGCTCTTCACCCGGCCTACAAGCCCAGCTCCGTCAGGCGGCTGTCTACCTTCATCTCACCCTTTGTTGTCCCTGCTCATCCCGGCCGTCCAGAGGAAGAAGACGAGGTGATCGAATTGCCTTCATCTTCCGCTGCATCATCCTGCTCCTCCTCGTTCTCCTTGCCGTCGGTCTCCCACTCGGACCCGTGCCAACAGCGACCACGGGTCAGCGCCACTACCATCGCCCAGGTCCGCCAACATCTGGCCAAGGTCTGGCATCTGCCAGAGAACAGGATTCAGGCCCTGCTCGTCTCGACCGCCTGCCTCGACGAAGCCCAGCTAGATCAGGAGTGGATCTACATCGTTGAAGATCAGGACTGGATCGCCTTCACACAATGTCTCAGCAGCAGGACAACACAGGTGGCGGAACGGCAAGAGCCGAAAATCAAGGTCGACATCGTACTTTCCTCTGTTGCATGCGATGAAGCGCAAGCGAGCCGCGCAGGCAGCAACACGGACGCACCATACCCTCGAACGCCATCATCCACTACGTCTACGCCGGGCGTAGGACCGCGCAACGCCCCCAGCACCAATTTTGACGACCCAGAGGAAGTCGCCCCCGGTCTCTCTTCAGCTCCCGGTCGCGCGGACAGCGACGCGTCACAATTACCGTCAGCATCATTGCCCCCCTTGATCACTGCGCTCGCCGCTGCATCGGCCGGCATGGACCTTGCCAGCGGCATCGTCTCGTCTTTGGGTGGACTGGCGAGATCGGTCTCGCTGCAAGCCGATCAGATGCGAAGCACACGCTTCGCATCTAGCCAAGAGCCGCAATCCGCATCTGGTACGACGCATAACCAGCCTCAGGACTCGGCTGAGCTCGCAGCTCCTTCCATCAGCGTCGTTTCAGAGAGGCAAAGACTTGAGGAGATTCCCTTTGTCCGGCAAGCTGCCGGCTTGTCGCCAGTCAGTGAGACAATCGCGGACCCGGTCTCCGATGGAGGAGAGCAACCCGAGACCTTCGAAGCGAGCCCGTCACTGTTGGCTGGACTGAGCGCCGAGCTCGCCGCTATGCGCTCTGCCCGAGTAGCCTCGTCATCTACCTACGAGCGGCCTGCGGCCTCCCAGCCGCCGCGCCGGCTCGAAAGCCGCAGCCGCAGTCGCAGTCGAGGCAGGTCCCTCCTATCAAGCACCATTTCCCTTCTCGCTCTCCTTCTCTTCCTCTTTGCGATCACGTCGCCCGTCGACGCATCGCCTTCGCCTCCCGCAGTACAGCTTTCTTCTACCCCTCTGATCGAGGCGACGATGGCCAAACGGTCGCCTCCCCAGCACCTATGCAAATGCACGTGCTTCTCGACCAACTCAACCCTCGTTCCCATCTTTGCCCCCGCCGATCCTGCGAAGCCCTGCCTCACCTGCACGCGCCAGTTCTGCATCGACCAAGGCCTCGAAATTTGCAAGGGTGCCCGCATCGCTCCCACCGACGGCGATACGGGGACGGGATGGGAGGGCGACGTCTGGGCAAAGTGTTTCGGTATGTACATCCCCTGATGCATCGCCGCCCTCGTCGGCCCTCTGTCCCGTCCTTTGGTCACGTCCGTGCCCTGATCCCGATCTCGCTCCTCGTCCCTCGCATTCTCTCGCCACGCGTGCAGAGCGAGATGACTACAAAGACCAGTCCATCATCCTCCTCTACCTAATCACCGTCGTAGGACTGGTGGCCGTCACTGTCCTGCGAGGGAGGGTCAGAGGCTGGTACGAAGTGAGTCGACGACTCGTTTGGGCAGAGGCGCCCTTGCTAAGCAATTGCTGAACCCCTGTCCCCTGATTTTGGATGCCGCGCGCATCACTCTCGTCGTTGTCCTCGCTGCAATCGCAGGAGTACCGCTCCGCCGGCCCGCGCGGACTGTTCAATGCCGTGGCAAACGCTCCATGGAGGACACGACGGTAGCGGACACGACGGTAGCCACGCTGGCGACGACAAAAATCCAATGACGGACAACGGCATCTATTTCCGACGATCTGAGGGCTGCGGCTTTGCCTCCGCGCTGTCCGTTGGCCACGTTCTGGTGTAACTCCGCGGTCCTGGCGGCCCTTTGTGTCTGTGCGGCTCTGAGATAGTGCGCCTGTTTCTCTTCACACGTTCGCCTCCTCGACCGCGTGCGTGTCCATCCAGGCCTTGACTCGACAGTAAAACTGTCGACGGGAGGGCGGTAGGGTTGAAGGCGTGCCGGCAAGGCAAATCAGAATGGCCGATCACAAGACCACAAGAACGGCGGCAATGTTGGAAGGACCGGACTCACGGCATCCTCGACGAAAAATCCCCCCATACCCTCTGGCAGCGGGGCGGACCGATGACAGGCATGGGCGTGCTTCCTGTCGTCCGGCAGCGGCGTAGAAACCCAGAAGTCATCAGCAAGACGCGCGGAACGTCTCGACGATTCAGGGCACCCACCACCAGTAGATCCTGCAAAGTCCAAGAGACGGGTTATTGAGATCAGCATGGTCGCTGTTATTCTGGAGCAGCTGTCGCCGACGGACTCACTCCGGTACTTTGACGCTCCCGAGCTTGACTCCCTCGACTTCGACGTCTGTCCTCGGTGTAGACAAGCGCAGATATCAGCGTCCTACTTCGAGCTTGACGGTCATCTCTTCAGAAGAGACAAAATCGACTCACACTTCTTGCACACGTGGCCTGGGACGAGAGAGCCAAGAGCGTGGGGCGAGAAGAATGAGTGACCATTCATTCGGCATTCTGAGAGGCGCAAGGCCTTAAACCTGTAGACTCACATTTGCCTCGGAGGATCTCCGTTTTCTCGCTCACGGCAGCCTTGGGCCGCGCACACGTCTTGAAAGCGACGGGTGGGGTGAAGGGCAGTCCTGTCACCGCAGAGATGCCGTGAGTGTACTGCAGGTGGTAATTGTAGGCTGACGACGGCTCCGCGAGCAGAGAGGAGGCATCCCGGGCAGCATCGTGAGTCGTCGCGTTCGGCCCCCAGACCAAGGCTGCCATGATGAAACCAACCGGAAATTTTCGTCTTGAGAAACTTGACGGTTCCTTCTTCGAAGCTGAAGTGCGAAGGCGACTGCAACATGTCAGCGGCCCGAGCAGTTCCTGGAATGCACATTTTGGCACGAACCAAATGGGGCAAAGTCCTGCAAGAGAAAAGAAAGAGGATAGGTGGCCGCTGTGAGAGAGAAACATGGGAATCGTCGTCACCTCCATCGCCTGAGCATGCAGCTTTCGCTCACCTTCCTTAGTCATCCCTACTCCTCTGCAGAAACGCGGCGTGTAAAGGTCCATCAGGCTTCGGGGCTCATTGTAGGTGCCAAGCCGCTCTTGCGACCTGCGCAAGGCCTCTTGTAGATCTCTAATGCGGGTCAAGGGTTTCGGGCTGGTCAGGGACGACATGTGCCGAGCCATTCGTCTGTCCGTGCACTCACTGCTGATCGTGAGCGTCAAGCAGCACTTCTTCTCTGCAGTCGTCTGGCAGAGACGACGAAATCTTGTAGCGCTGGTAAAATCGGAAGAAGCCTTCGCGGATGGGGAAGCCTGGCGGAAAGCGTCTGATTGCGTTTGCGTCGGTGCCGGAGCTGGGGATGATTGTTGTCTGACTAAGGAGCGTGGCGCTGTGTCTCTCACTGGTGCCGACATCCTCTGTCCTGGAGAGCGATTCCATCTCGGTACGCTCGGCGGTCCCCGGGCTTCCTCCCGGCGAGAGCTCGTATTGAAGAGTCGAGCTACCAATTCCGTCCGGAGCGGGACTAGCGGCGTGTTGGTGAGATGCACCGCCAACGGCCCTCTGCGCGCTGCACGTTTGCGGAACGGCTCGAGGCCTCTTGCGGCTCGATGCGGTGTGCGATAGGCCGGCAAGAATCGCGGCGGCCGACTCCATCTCGCTCTCCGACGTCGCCTCGGGCTGCAGAACCTGGGATCGACGGAGGCGCGTCATGTACACCCTCCTCTGCGGCGAGGATGTATGATCTCGAACGGCGCGCGAGCTCATTTCACCAGGTGCAGTGTTGAAAGAACCCTCACCATGTCGCGAGCTTTGCGCGATATTCTTGCGCTTGACGCCGCCTTTTCGACCCTTCTTGGCCTTTCTCTTTCTCGAGGACTTCTCCGAACTTGCCCCTGCGCCTGGTACGGCGCTGCTTTGGCCGCAGCCTTTGAGGGCCTCAGGCGAGCGATCCTCGATAGATCCCACGATACCTCTCGGGCGGGGGCTTGTGGTCCTGGGGCGCATGATCGCTCCTTCGGATTTTTGCCCGAGCTCGTCGATGTGCTCATCCTTGACAGACGGGACTTGAAATCGAGACTGGCTGTGCGAGACTTGCTCTGAGCCGGCGAAGTTGTTGCCAGCGGAGCTTGATCGATCGAGGAGCCGCTCGAAGGTCGTTGGACGGGAATGAGGTGGCTCAGAAGATCGTTCGGCCTCACGAGGCCAAATGAGAGCCTGCCGAGTCGCGCTTGAGGAGCCGAGACTATCGTGCTGGGCGCCCGGCTCCACACTGAGCCCGATACTTTCACTTGCCGCATGGTACGTGTCCGGTCCCGCCTGATGGGCAAGGTGCTGTGCCTTGAAAAAAGTCGCGTCCTGCCACAATCTCAAAGAAGGCATGGAGTCGTAGGGCGACGATGGCCATTCCTGAGCGCCCGATGACGAAGGGCGGGTCAACGTGAGCAAGGTCAGGATATCAAGGGAAAAGGTAGCTTCGATGCGCACTGATGGCGATACTCACAGCTTCGCTAGGGGCGGCCAAGGGGTCAGTCGACCGTTCAGCATCTCGCTGGATATGGCGAGGGTTGATGAGGCCTTGGCCGAAAAGGTACTGGTGATCTGCTCCGAGCGACTGCCACAGGTCTGAGTCCGCAACATCGACCTCTAGGAGTTGCGTCGCCTCCTCGGCCGGGAGAGGGCGGTCAATGGCCCGCAGATCTGAGGCGAAGGCTCGAGGCATGTTGGCGGGTCGGCTTGCAGAGGCCAAGCTCGTTGCAGGGGTCAAGCTCGGTGGGCATAGAGCGCCAAAGGTTGCTGCTGATTCGCTGTCGGCGACGTAGTTTGTCCAGGGTCGGACACTCGATGACGGCAGGTGCGGAAGATCGTGGTGGCAATCCAGCAGGCTGAATGCACCGCCATTGTTGTCGGTGTGATGGTTGTTGCGTGATCCAAAGCGGGGCTCGGAGTGAATGGGCCAGGCTGCCAAAGGATATGGCTCAGCAGATGGAGGAGCCCAACTGGGGCCGACCGACTGTTGAGAAGGCAGTGCGGCGAAGCTCGGGCCAGGCACGATGGCGGAGACGCGGGAAGGCGACACTTGGTGACTGCGCTCGCACGTCGGCTCACCTGATGATGCCGACGGGAGGGGGCACCACCGAGCTGGGCCACTGCCAATCCTCGGCATGATGCAGCAATTCCTCCAACCTTGTCGCGATGGGACTGAAAAGGAGATCACCGAGCAAGGTGCGAGGGGCGGATACGGTTCGCCGGACGCTCAAGGCACCTTGGCCCGGGATGGATGGGTGAGGGCCTGAGGAAGGGGTTGGAGAACGCAAGAAGCAAGGGGAGGATCTAGATGGAGGAAGGAATGGAAGCGCGGGCGAGGAGACGATGAGTGGTCAAGAGGGCGAGGCAGTAGAGCGAAGATGCAGACGAGACGTGAAGCCCGAGCCTCAACCTGGCCCTCTTCAAGCTGGAGCGTTCCCTCCGCCTCTCATCTCAGTGCTGACGATCGGTCAGCCTGCCTAACACTACCTCTCTGGCTCTTGGTCGGATCGCTTGATCCCGTCGCTGGGCAGCCTCTGGCGCTGTTGGGTGCCCTGCCTGCCCCGAGCCCCGCTCGGCCCTGCCAAGCTGATGCGCGCACGGCCGCAGGGCGAACGGGTCGCGCTGGAATTTTTAGCCCCCACACACCACCTCGCCCTTCCTCTTTCTGGCCGCCTCCGCTTGAAGCCTTCGGCCAAAACGCAGAAGAGCAAGTTGATGGCGTCCGGCGGGCCGCCTGCCATGACTTGCGCACCGTCGGCCCCTCTAGAAAGCGTGTATGCGCGTTTGTCAGAGGAGGGATGGACCCGTCCCGGTTGAGGCCACGAATGCGGTCAGAGCAGCGTGCCGTACGACCTCAACCTTTGCAGGCCCACATCTCCAGGCTGGGCAAGACGGCCTCGAGAAGGACGGAGATCCTCGAGAGCCCAAGCGCGAGAGCCGTCCGATGGCAACCGTCGGTACGCGTGGTACGCTCCTGAATGAGGGAGAGATGTGCCCCAAACAAGACGTAGGCCCTGACTCAGGCCTCGCACAGCCTGCGAGCCCGTCGTACGTGCAAGGGCAGGTGAGAGCTCGCAGCATGTGGCCGAGCTGTTGCAGGATGGCCCGTGAACGGCTGGCGGAAGCTGATAATCTTGGTCGCAGCGTTCGCGATGCTTGCCGGCAGGGCGGCAATAATAATGGCGAGCAGGCCTTCCTGCCTACCATTCCGTTTCTGAGACCGGCCGGCACGCGGTAGATAGATTCAGATGGGTAGATCGAGCGCCGACTGCCTCGCAGCTGTACGCCTCCAAAACCAGGTCGCAGGTAGGTAGCTAGGTGCTTGCTTGAGCTCGCACTCGTGGACCGTCTCAGCTGCATGCGTGCATGTGTCTGGCTTTTGGGCGCAATAATAATGAAGCCAACATGCATGCATGCATGCACTCATGGGATCCCGGGCCTGTATCGTATCGAGCCTGCCTGCTCTCTCTCTGTGATCGCGTGTGGATGGGAAGAGCAAGCGGTGCATTACGCAGCCCGGTCACTTGGCAAGTGCTCCTAGAAGAGGGCGAGCTTGACAGGCCTCTCGGCCCGCCTGAGAGCGGCCAGGATCTGATCGCTGGCCAGCAGCTTGATGAGCTCGTCTCTAGTCTCGGGTGTGTCCAGCACGGTCCTTTGCTTGGCGTCGACCCACGTCTGGTCGACAACGATGACTTCGAGCGAGTCTAGCTTGAGATCGCCCGAAGAGATCAACGAGGCCACGCGCTGCGGCGTGCCGGCGGCGAGCGGGCAAGCGTGCTGCTGGAGCCACGTCTGATGCTCCTTGAGCTTGAAGTGACGCGCAAAGAGCTTGCCCACAATGAAGCCGACGTGACCCTTGTCGTTGCTCTTGTGCGGTGTCTCGACTGCAACCACAGCCCCTTGCGCTTGCTTTTGCCTCTTCTTTGGCGGTCTGCTCGACTCGGACGGCCCGTCGACGGCAGGATTGGGGTCCAGAGCTCGGAGGGCTTTGGCCAGATCAGCAGCTCTCTGGGCGTTGCCAGTCAGAACGACCGCTCCTGGTCTGCCTGGCCGCATGTTGATCGGTGCCGATGCGTCCGAAAGGGCCTGGGCCGTCTCGGGGGCGTCTGTGAAGCGGATCTCGGACCGCTCAAGTCAGCTTGGGAGATAGAGAAACGGCAGCAGCGTGCCGAGTATCGGCCAAAGCATCGCCTATTGCGCTCTACACTCTGTACTCACACTTGCGAACAAATGCAGCCAGAGATTCTTCTTTCCGGGGTCGGTCAAAAGAGGTGGTATCAACCAGCATGTTCTCTGTCCGGCGCCAGATGTATGCAGAACCGAAACATAGCGCAATGTCAGTCGAGCTGCTGATCGAGCCCGCAGCAATGTCGATCGAGCTTCGGTGGACCTGCGAGCTGGTTGTGTGACACCCACCCTTCATCCGGAGCTCATCTAGCTCGATGGAGCTCAGCTTGGGATAAGTAGCCCGTTGCTTGGAGCCAAGGTAGTCTGCCTGCATGTCTGGTGGCTGTGTGGCTACGGAACCTAAGCCCTCGGCAAACTCGGCCGCCAGAGCGGCTCTCTAGAAGAGGAGCGGGTCGACAATGGATGAAAGACTGGCGTCAGATCGATTTAGTCCGGCTGATGGTGATGGCCAGCAAGCGCAACGACAGACACCTGGGGCAGGGAGGGGGGTTGGGCTGAAACAGCAGACAGGGTACGCACCTGTTGCTTCTTGGCTCTCTCCTTTTGCTTGCGCTTCCTCTTCCTCTCCTCCTTCGTTGCGTCCGCGGAGAGCCGCTCGTGGCGTTGCTTGACAGCGCCAATTGGCTCGTCGGAAGCGTGGTAGTCGTCGTCCGATGCGATGCCGGCCACGGCGAAGGCGTCGTCTCCGTCGACAGAGACGCCGCCGGAGCCGGCGATCGAGTCATTGTCTTCGAGCAAGAGGTTGTCTTCGAGTTCGTCAGCCATGATGCTCTTCTGTCGGATAAGTCTGGTGGGTGGCAATGTTGGACAGGCAGAGCTGGGCGTGGAAGAGCGACAAAGCAAGGGGAGAGGTCGGGCGATGATCCAAGAGGAATGCAACAAGCAAGAATCCTCTTCGAGATTTGGGCTTGTGGAGGAGGGCCTGCTGGACGAACGAAAAGAAAAATCCAGGCAGAGAATTTCGGGAATCGGCTTGGTCCAAGGTGGACCCCGCCAGGCAGGCCAGGCAGGCCGGGTCTGCCGGCCAACATTCAGCAGCCTAGGGTTCACGGTGCAAGCCTGAGTTGACCGCCACTACCACCACCACCACCACCACCATCGGACCCGTGCCACTCGGCCACTTTCAGCAGCGACACGGCTCCTCATTTCAAACACAGAGCAGTACATTCGCCGAAGTTTGGCAGCCTAAATCAACGCGCGACAGCACAAAACCTCTCAACATGTCGATCATCGAAGATCCGGCCGAGATTGCCGCCCTCGCAAACGAATTCATCTCGAGTGAGTCTCGCAGGCCGCCCCAGATAGCCCCTGCTCGCCCATGTCTGAGACTTCGCCGCTTCTCTGTCTCATGATCCGCTCTCCCTCATCAAAGGCCTCGACAATCTGCCTCAGGAGATCAGTCACCTGGTCAAGGAGATCGAACACAAGGATGCCAAAGTCCAAGGTGGGGCTGCCAACGCCTCGTCTCATTCCCTTGACAGCCTCCCTTTGTCGTCGGTTCCCGTTTGACCGAGCGCTGACCTCGCATCCTCACGGTCTTCCGTTGCTGGCTCACTCGCGTCCAGATATCATGCCAAAGATCAGCGCCCGTGAAACGCAGCTGCGGGAGTTGCTCCAAAAGGGCGGCAGCGGGCCCGCCAACCCTTCTGGGATCCTCTCAGAGGCCGACCGCCTCAAGGCCGAGAAACTCACTGACAAGATCAGGCAAGACTACCGCAGAGCGGACGAGTGGAGCGCTCAGAAGGAGTCGCTCAGCCTACGCATGTGGAGGGCCGTGCATGCCCATCATCTCCGGCTCAGGGAGGAAATGGCCAAGATCAGCCCGGCCGTCCTCGCGAACTACGGAGGGGCCATGGCCGCGGCACCTCCTCAGATTCCCTCGCTGGCTTCTTTGCCAGCGGCGCTTGCCGGTGTACGATCCCCTGCTGTCGAGCTCGACGCTACTGTCGCCGGCCTGAGTAAGTTTCTTTCCGTTGCCCTCGCATCGAGAGGCACATGTCTGACGTGACCACTTCCCGCGATCTCCGACGCGCTTCTGCTCACGGTCCACAGAGAGAAAATCTGGTCCTGCGACTCCGGCCACAGCTGGCTCGATCCCAGGCACTCCGGGTGCTGCCAGTGGCCGAGGGCGTTGGGCGGGCCGCACAACGCCCGTCGACTCCGGCACTCCCGCGCCACCTGATCGAACTGGCAACGCTCCCTCCTCGACGCTTCGAGCTGGCTCCACCGCCTCGCGCAAGGCACGCGGCTCTTCATCGACGGCAAACGGTCCCGGTCGCTCCTCCCTCTCGAACCCACTCGCTCTGCTCGACCCTCTCGCACTACCATCAGATGGTGTTGGCAGCAGTCTCGACGGCATGGACTTCGCCGGCGCCGGTGCAGAGGGCGATGATGGCGAGGAGAAGGACGAGACCCTTTACTGCTTCTGTCAGCGCGTCTCATTCGGCGAGATGATCGGCTGCGACAACGCCGAAAACGACCCAGAGTGCAAGGAGTGGTTCCACATCAGCTGCGTTGGAGTCACCAAACCGCTGCCAGCAAAGTGGTATTGCTCCGAATGTGCGGCCAAAATCAAGAACAAGCGGCGCCGGCAAGCCTGATGTTGCTCGCCCGCCTTATACGCGTCAATGCACACCGCCTCGACACATTGTACTTGTACCTGTAGACATGACGATACCCAGCCGCCCCCTCATTCCGGGTGTATGATCGAAGTTGAATTCCCACCTTCATGAGCATAGCTAGCGGCAAAAGTCAGATGGATGTAGGCCGAGGAGGGCCGTGCTATCGAGGAACGAGGTGACCTACGGCTGTTTTGGCCGCAGACGACCCTCGGTGCGCCATTTAGAGCCATTTCGCAACTCACACTCATAGCTAGTCATGCTAGCGGCAGGGGTTTAGCTACGGCCCCGGGAGTCGAAGATCTCCTTCGCACCTTTAGGGCCATACTCATAGCTAGCAGCAAAAAGAATTCCCAATTTTTCCTATTGCACAGGCCGTGCGATCCAGGATTTGAGAGTTGTTATACAAGTGCGATCTAAAATCCTGGCCACTATGAGTGGATCTCAGGTTGCAGGCAGGAAAAATTCAGGATCTCAGATCGCAGCTGATCGCACACCTGGTGCGCTTCTGAGAAATTGCACAAGCTGGCTGCAGCTGGATTTTCAGATCGTTATACATGAGCGATTTTTTGACCAGATCCTGCTGCTAGCTATGACTCAGCTGGTCTATATCTTCGACATTTGGGCTGTAGGACCCCTACGCACCGCAGGGTTGAAGGACAGCGGCAAAATGCCGTCAGTCAGCTACAGCCCCAGGGTTGCAGGAGTACCACAGCTCTAGGGGTCAAAGCAAAACTGCGACTCTGGGGCCGGTGGACAACTGCGACCCTGGAGCCATAGCTGACCAACAGCATTGGAAATGATGCAAGCACATCACATGTGCAGCAGGTTCTGGCCAAAAAAATCGCACGTGTATAACGATTTGAAAATCCAGCTGCAGCCAGCTTGTGCAATCCAGATCGCAGCAGGTGTGCGATCAGCTGCGATCTGAGATCCTGAATTTTTCCTGCCTGCAACCTGAGATCCACTCATAGTGGCCAGGATTTTAGATCGCACTTGTATAACAACTCTCAAATCCTGGATCGCACGGCCTGTGCAATAGGAAAAATTGGGAATTACTATTGCTGCTAGCTATGCATAGCTACCGTCAAAGGTACCTACAATTTGGGGCAAAGGACCCCTACGGCCCTGGATTCGGGATTCGGAAGTGTCCTTTGGCCTTTTTTTGGCCGCCAGGGTCCTTTGCCCAAAATTCGGAGATCTCGTGCGGCCTTTTTGGGCCGCCAGGGTCCTTTGGCCGGAATTTGGAGGACTCCTGCAACCTAAAAAGGTCAAAGGACCCCTACAGCTGGGAATTGGCGGCCTTCTGCGCTATTTTGGGTCGCAGGGCCTGTGTGGCACGGCTTTTTGTGCTTATGTCAGCTCAGGAGGCCAGGCATGTGCGCGTGCGCTGGCCCCCACCTGTGCTAGGCTGTGTGAGGTGAGCAGGCAAAGTCATAGCTAGCAGCAGAGTCAACCTACAATCTGGCAGATTGTAGGTTTGCGTAGGCTGTCTACGATTTTCAGATTGTAGGGGATCCTTCTACACAACTGATTTATGGATCCAGACAAGCTGTGCAGATTTCAGGCCGTATACTGCCTACGATTTTCAGATCGTAGCTAGACTAGCCCTACCTACAATTTTCGCATCGTAGCCAGGCTACGACCCAAGTGCAGGCTACAATCTATTGATCACGTACACAAGCTTTGATTGCAAAATACGCTATCTACGCTACTGCAAACAACAATGCAACTGAAGACAAGCGTACAACTGGCAAATACCGAGGCCGTCATTACCACCATTGACCGGCGGCAGCACCTACGCCAGCAGGGGGGGACTCACAGCGAGGGCAGGCTGGGGTCAGCGTCGATTTGGTGGCGGCGGCTGCTGGTGAGACGGAGAGAAGGAGCATTGTCAGAATCGTGCCAGGCGCAGCGTCGTCAATGCGCTAGATGCAATGGAATCAAAAGAGGATCACCTGCTGACGTCTTGGTGGTCCGCAAAGCGCGTGGCGCGTGTCAGAACCAAAGTCAGCGCGACACCCAAGATCGGCAGATGGCGACAAGTTGGCGTTGATGATGGCGGCAAGTTGGCGTTGGCATTGGCGGTGGCGTCGAGTTGGCATTGGTGGTGGCGTCCAGTTGGCGTTGACTGTGACGGCAAGTCGGCGTCGGTGGTGGCGTTGGCGCGGAGCACGCGCGTGGTGTCGGCGACATCGATGCCGGTGGGTGACGTTGACGTTGGTCAGGTGGTGGCGGCAGGCCAGGGTTGATGTCGCTCAGGTGGCGGGGGCGGGCAAAGGGTCCAATGGCAGGCGAGGGTCGATGGCAGGCAAGGGTCGATGGCAGGCGAAGGGTCCAATGGCGGGCAAGGGGCTGATGGTAGTGGTCGGGAGGGAAGGAGTGACGGTGGAGCGGGGCAAGACCTTATACCGAGGCAGGCGGGCGGCGGTCAGCGGGCCTGCGTGATCTTGCACGCAGGTGGTGGCGTGGCCTGGCCTCCACTTTTTTTTTGCGCGCGCGCAAGCTTAGTCAGCCGCGCCAGCCAGCCAGCTTGCGCGCCCAAGCCAGCCAGCCAAGCCAGCCGGCCCCCGAGCCTGCCAGCCAACTGCCGCCCGAGCCTGCCAGCCTGCCAGCCACCTCGCCCGCCCAAGCCTGCCAGCCAGCCAGCCAGCTTGACTGCTCGCTGCAGAGCGGAAGCAGAGCGGCCGTCACTCATCGGAATCCTTGGAGAGGTCTCTCCGAGGATTCCGATGATTGACAGCATTGACTGTGCGGAGGCGCGGCAAGGCCGCAGGCAGGCAGGCAGGTGGGTGGGTGGGCTACAATTTCGGATTGTAGCTAGATCGTTGCTAGGCCGCGCATCGAAAAATCGTAGACAGGCGTCGATGCCCAATTTCCGATTGTAGCCTGCCTACGATCCAAATCGGGCCCAACCCTGCTGCTAGCTGTGAGTGAGTAGATGTGGAGATGATGGTTTGGAGGCAGGAGGGGCGCGCCTATGGCGGTGCGGAAAATAGGGTGCGCGTGCCGGCCGAGAAAAGCCAGCGCGTGACACCACCCTGGCCCCTTGCAAAATCCATCTGCCCGCCCAACCGTCTCTCCTGCCCTCCTACCACCACCACCACCAACGCCACTCATAGCTAGCCGCAGGATCTGGTCGAAAAACGTCGCACATCATGAGTGGCTGGCGGGTGGTGGGTGGCTGGCGGGTGGCTGACGGCTGGCTGGCAGGTGCAGACAGGTGCTTGCAGGTGCTGGCAGGTGGTGTTGGGTGGTAGTGGTAGGAGGGCAGGAGAGCGGGTTGGGCGAGCAGATAAATTTGGCAAAGGGCAGGGTGGCAAAGGGGCCAGCGCGCGCGCACAGGGCCTCCTGAGCTGACGTAAGCAACCAAAGGCCTTTTCCTAGGCCGCACGGGCCCTGCGGCCCAAAAAAGTCGCAGATGGCCTCCAAGTCCTGGCCGTAGGGATCCTTCGGCCTTTTCGGGCTACAGGACCCCTCCAAGTTCCGACCGAAGGACCCTGGCGGCCCAAAAAAGCCAAAGGACTCTCCCAAATCCCGAGCTCAGGGCCGCAGGCCACCTACGGACCAAACCATAGCTACCTCTGACACTAGCTATGGCTGGACTGACGGCTGGCTGACGGCTGGCTGGTGGCTGATGGCTGGCTGGGCTGGGCCAGGCAGGTGGCGGCTGCGCTGCGCTGAAGGCTGGCAGGTGGCTGGCGGGTGGCGTCGGGTGGTGGTGGTAGGAAGGCAGGAGATGAGACGGGCGGGCGGATAGAATTGGCAAAGGACCGGGTGGCCAGCGCGCGTGTGCTGTGCCTCCTAAACTGACGTAAGCAGAAAGGGCCATTTTCTGTGCAGGGTAGGGTTGGCCCAGGGCCGTAGGAGGCCCTACGGCTAAAAATGCCGTAGCTGCCCCTCAGAAAATGGCCGTAGGTAGCCCTACAGCCCCAATTTCCGGCCGTAGGTGGCCCTACGGCCACTTTTAGCGTGGATGACCCCCGATTTCCCGATTTCAGGCTGTAGGCTGGCGTACAGCCAAATGCCACCTGCCCTTTGACGCTAGCTATGACTCGCCAGTCCAGCGCAGCCCTTGCCCGGCCCAGTCAGCTGCCAGCCAGCCAGCCGTCACCTGAGCCAGCCAGCCAGCCCGCCAGCCACCCGCCAGCCAAGCGCAGCCGCCAGCCGCCAGCGAGACTCGGCGAGGCCCAGCCAGCCACCTGGTGAGCTGCCAGCCGCTGCTGCTCTGCACTGCTTGCTTCCGCCAGCTGACGCCATCAATCATCGGAAACTTTGGAGAGGCCCTCTTCGGAGTCTCCAATGATTCTGACCATTGATGGCTTTGCTTCCGCTCCGCCTCATGGGAGTCAACTGTTGCTGCTCTTCTTCTGCTGCTCCGCTGCACACCATTGCTGACTCCTTTGCTCCCATCTTCCTTTTGCCTGCTCCTCCTTCACCGCCTTACTTTGCTGCTGACAATCATAGCTGGCAGCAGGGCCAACCTACAATCTGCCAGATCGCAGGCCTTGCCCAATCTGACAAGCGTTATACACGTGCGATTTACGGATCGGCAAGACCCTTGCCGATCTGCAGAATGGCCCAACCAGTGCGATCTGCCAGATCGCACCCGGCCCGACCCTGCCTGCGAATTGCAGATCGCACCAGCACTGACTCCGCCTGCGATTTGCAGATTGCACCAGCACTGGCCATGCCTGCGATTTGCAGATCGCACCACCCAGTGCAAATTTGGGATCGTAGGCGGAGTCAGATCTGGTGCGATCTGCAAATCGCACCTGGTTGACCCATCTACTAGATCGCATGTGCATACCAAATTGTCAGATCGCACAGCACCTGCGATTTGGCGGAGCACACAAACACTGCAATCTGGTGTGTCGCACTTCACCTTTGATCTGACAGGGCGCACAACGCTCGCGATCTGATGGGGCGCATGACATCTTTGATTGCAAAATCGCACTACTAGTACGCCTGTCGAGTCGTACTGATGCCACAGCAGGGCACGCGTGGCGGCAGGGGGGAAAGCCCAGGCGCGGGTGGCGGCGGCAGCGGTGGCAGACAGGCAACAATCATGAATGGCAAAGGAGCCCAGGGTAACGGGGCAAGATGGCAAAGAGCGAGCGGTACGGAAGCAGAGGTAAGATGAAGGCAAGAGAATGGTCAGTCATAGCTAGCAGGAGGATCTGGCCAAAAAAAAAAAATCGCTTGTGTATAACGATTTGAAAATTCAGCTGCAGCCAGCTTGTGCGATTTCTCAGATTGCAGCAGGCATGCGATCAGCTGCAATCTGAGATCCTGAATTTTTCCTGCCTGCAATCTGATATCCACTCATAGTGGTCAGGATTTCAGATTGCACGTGTATAACGACTCTCAAATCCTGGAACGCACAGCCTGTGCGATAGGAAAAATCGGGAATTCCTTTTGCTGCAAGCTATGAATGGACAGTTATCTACCAAGAGTTGTCATCTCTACTTATAGCTTTGACGCGACCTGGCATGTCTCTCCTACTTGCTACAGCGACTCCTCTCGCAGACATCAACGTCCTTCAGCGATGTCTCGTCGAGCTTTGGTCAAGTCTTGACAAGGCATTATTTGGCCTCAATGGGGCAAGTTAGGTTGTGCTCCCTTGGTGATGTATGAGCTCAGCCGACCCTTGTCCTTGGGGCATTGGCTTTGGCCTCATTGCCAAGGTGCATCCCTCCCTCAGCGTGATGAGAATCTAGCTCGGTGATTCCCACTGGGCTGGCGTTGGAGGGTCCTGGACCCTTTGGCTCTTGGCGGCCCTGATCCGAGTCCCGACGACCCTGGGCTGAGGTTGTCGGCTTGGACCTGAGGGTCTGCAACAGCGGAGGCGACCGTTTTTCTCAACACCAGCCAGCCAGCCAGCTTGACTGCTCGCTGCAGAGCAGGAGCTCTCCAAGGATTCCAATGATTGACGGTGCAGAGGCGGCAGGGATGTGGCTGTGAGGTGGCAAGGCAGGCAGGCAGGCAGGTGGGGCTACGATCTCGGATCATAGGTAGGCCCAATTTCGGATTTCAGATTGTAGCTAGTCATAGGTAGGCTACACATCGGAAAAATCGAAGATAGGGATCAATCCCCAATTTTAGATCGTAGCCTGCCTACGACCAAAATCAGGCCCAACCCTGCTGCTAGCTATGATGTGCGATTTCTCTGGTCCAGCCAGATCCTGCTGCCAGCTAGGATTGCACACCTGCTGCGCGTCTATGAAATCGCACAAGCTGGCTGCAGCTGGACTTTAAGATTGTTATACATCTGTGAGTTTCTGGACCAGACCCTGCTGCTAGCTATGAGAGTCGTAGGCTGGTTCACTCTATGGCTGGACAAGAAGGGAATGAAAACTATCCGCCAGAGGACGAGGGGCTTCTACTTTGCGGGAGTCGTGAATTGTGCAGGACGAATTTTGAATGTTGTGTCTCTAGGTGCGTTGTATGTAGCCTTGATCAATTGCGAGGGGGTCCGCCATTGGCGCTGACACCGCGACTAGCGCGGCCGCGACCACGGCCGCCTCCGCCTCCGCCTCCGCCTCCACGGCCACTGCTGCCTCGGTAGCCGCCTCCTCCGCCTCCTCCGCCTCCTCCGCCTCGTCGATAGCCTCCACCGCCTCCACCACCACCTCCATTGTGCCCATGGTAGTGCTTCCGCCACATGGACTGTTCAATGATCGGCCTGCTTGGATAGTCTCCGAGGTCGACACTTTGGTTGCCGCTCAGCGTCCAAGGATGGTGAGCGTGCGAGCTTGGGACCGCGTGTAGCTGGGGAAGCCAGGCCTTGACATACTCTCCGTCAGAATCATAGTCCTTGCCCTGCTTGATGGGGTTGAATTGGCGCGACGACCTCGGGTCGTTGCCGACGCCGGCAACATACTGCCAATTGCCCCAGTTCGAGTTGGGGTCGTAGTCAACAAGATAGCTCTCGAAGAGCTCTGCGCCGTAGAGCCAGTTGTAGCCGAGGTCCTTGGTGAGGAAAGATGCGACGTTCTGCCGACCGCGGTTCGACATGAAGCCGGTCTGAACAAGCTCCTTTTGGTTTGCGTCGATCAGGGGAACGCCGGTCTTGGCCTTTGCCCACCGCACGAAAGGATCCTTGGCGTTCGACAGGTCCGACGTCTTCTTCCACTCGTAGGCCTTGCTGTCGGCCGCCTTCGGACTGATGACCTCCTCGATACCGCCGAGGGTGAAGAGGTGCGAGCCGAACTTGGCACCGACAAAGTAGAAATAGTCGCGCCACAGCAGCTCAAAGTTGATCCAGTAGCCACCCGCCTTGGGCCCTGCGCCGTTGGCCTCGTCGAGATCAACGGCCTTCTGGGCAATCAGCCGAGGCGAGAGCAGGCCGTGTGCCAGAGAGGCGGCGAACTTGGTCGAGTAGTCGACGCCCAGCATGCCGTTCCTCGTCTCCTTGTAGGAAGCGGCGGGGGCCTGCTTTCCGCCGCTGAAGTAATGCTCGAGTCTCTCGAGCGCTTGCGTCTCGCCGCCGGTCCATGGGAAGGCGGTCGGACCGTCCTCGCCCTCCTTGCGAAGGAGCTCGTGCCCAAGGGTCGGCTCGTCAAGCAATGGCTTCAAGAGTGCCTTCTCGACATTGTCCTTCTTGTCCCAAGCCTCTTGCTTTTCTGCCGACAGCGCGTACACGCCAGGACCCTCCGGGAGTGCATCCAGCTTGGCAAACGGCTTGAGCTTTGCTGGAGCCGGCAATGGAGGCCGGAACATGTCGGGACCCTCGACCTGCTTCTTGAAGTGGGTGAAGACATCGGGCAGATCCTGGATGGGGAAACCGAGGTCGTCCGGGTGGACGAGGGACTTGCCCTCGCGCAGCTGCAGCGGACATTGCAGGTCGTCGAGGATCCGCTGGAGCCGCTTCTCAACATTGACCTCTTCGGTGTTGACCTCCTTGCCCATCCAAACGGCCTCGACGGTGTCGCCCGTGTTCCGGATGGCCCTGATCAGGCCAGGCACGATGGCTTCAGGCGTTCCGGCGTACATGGCCAGATCGCAGCCCTTCTTGCGCAGCCTGTCTCGCAGGTCAAACACGGAGTTGTTTACGAACCTGTCGAAGGTCGGAAGGAGGTCAGGAGGCGTGCCGCGCAGTTGTCGCGGGTCAGCCTGCGTCGATCCCACGCCCACGGCACGATGATCCAGCGCCTGCGCAGGACAACTCACTTTACCCGGTGCACGCCGCACCGCCAGAGGCCGAGCTCGCGAGTCTTGGCGTACTGCTGCTGACCGAGGCCGCCGCCTTGCTTGTCTGCCTTCTGAATGCCGGGGAAGCCACCCACCTCGACCTGCCTCTGATCCCATACGTAGACGGGAAGGACATGGGTGACGGGCTGCTTGAACTTGGCGCCAGAGGGTGTGGGCTCCGCGCAATAGTGAAAGATGGGATGGTCGTGCAGCCGCAGGTCGTTGCGCAGCACGGCGATCAAGACGTTTCTCGTCATTGGCGGCGCAGATGGGGTCGGTGGCGAGCCGTGAAGCTGACGAGAAGAACGCAGCAACGGAGCGGTAGTGCGACGTTGTCGAATAGAACCGGATGACGGTGAGATGGCGCTTGGTTCGGTTGGGAGGGTCGAAAGCGGTGGTAGGAGTGGGTGTGGGCGACGGTTGGGTGAGCAACGAAAGTCGAGCTGGCTTTTTGTGCAGCGCTGCAAGTCAAGGGCCGACGAGGTGTGTCTCGTCGCACGGAGAACAATGGAAGGCGCCACCCGGGTGGAGAGAGAGAGAGAGAGAGAGAGAGAAGAGAGAGAGAGAG